CTGTACCCGGTGTGGCTTCCTCTACATCGGGGAAACCAAGCGGAGACTCGGGGACCGCTTTGCAGAACACCTACGCTCGGTTCGCAACAAACAACTGCACCTCCCAGTCGCGAACCATTTCAACTCCCCCTCCCATTCCTCAGACGACATGTCCATCCTGGGCCTCCTGCAGTGCCACAACGATGCCACCCGAAGGTTGCAGGAACAGCAACTCATATTCCGCTTGGGAACCCTGCAGCCCAATGGTATCAATGTGGATTTCACAAGTTTCAAAATCTCCCCTCCCCCCACCGCATCCCAAAACCAGTCCAGCTCGTCCCTGCCTCCCTAACCTGTTCTTCCTCCCACCTATCCCCTCCTCCCACCTCAAGCCGCACCTCCATCTCCTACCGACTAACCTCATCCCGCCCCCTTGACCTGTCCGTCCTCCCTGGACTGACCTATCCCCTTCCTAACTCCCTACCTACACTCACCTTTCCTGGCCCCATCCCCGCCTCTTCGACCTGTTTGTTTCTTCTCCACCTATCCTCTCCTCTATCCCTCTTCTATCCGACTCCCACTCTCTCCCTATTTATTTCAAAACCCCCTTCCCCTCCCCCTTTTCTGATGAAGGGTCTAGGCCCGAAACGTCAGCCTTTCTGCTCCTATGATGCTGCTTGGCCTGCTGTGTTCATCCAGCCCTGCACCTTGTTGTCTCGTAAATTTTCTTTAGTTTAGACATAATAGTAAAACAAACTATTGGAACAGTATGTTGATATATAGAGACATTGTTGTGTTTTTTGAACAAGATAGGAACTGTATTCCTGAGTGCTAGTGTGTATGTATCCATATACACATATCCAGAATGCCACATCACTCACTACTACATTAAAGCCAGTGTACCAAACGGTTGCAAATCTTTGGAATTCACTACTCCAGAATGCTCCACCAATGTTTATATTTAAGACTGCATTATGCAGTTTTTTGGTTCTGAAGGAAGTCAAGGTACAATAGGAAGTTGTCAAGAAGACGGAGTTGAAGGCACAATGAACCACGATCATTTTGAATGGTGGAATAGGCTTTCCAGGCCATATTGTCCACCTCTACACCAATTTCTTGTGTTCTTAACAAACAGATATGAACTAGAATATATTTAGCTTTTTGGTTTCTTAACGATTAAATACCCATTTAATAGCAGCACAGTTTATTTAAGAAAAAAAAAATGGCAAAGGTCCTGTGGCCTTGCTGAATTGTTTGGTAGAAATACTATATATTTTAATTGAGCTTGTTGTGAGAAGTTACAGCTTGATTTTACAGAATTACTTGCATACTTTAGAGTTTAGTTGTTGTAGAAGTTACAGCGACATCTTGTGCAGACAGTAGAAATAACAGGCATTTACCCATGCAGGGCTATTCTCGTGGTTTCCATAGCAAACTTTGTCCGCTGAAGTGAACTGCCTCTCTCACTTAGAGGGGTCTTGTGTCTGCCAGTGGTGTTCCTGATGCCATTTTATCCTCACCCTCAGGAAGATAGAGTTAACTCGGTATGGAGTCTTCTCCCCATTAGCAACTCTGCTGATGCTATCCCTGTAGTTGCGTGAAGGGGTGGCCCTGTAATCAAACAGGAATTGGGACAGTTTGGTATTGAGTGAAGCTGTAGGCTGTTTCTTTAAGCCTACCTTCAATGTTTGGATTGCTTTTTCCGCCAGACCTTTGGACAATGGATGGTGTGGAGCAGTCTTTATATGTGAAATACCATTTGTCTTCAGGTGATATTTGAATTCCCTGCTGGTAAATGATGGCCCGTTGTCTGTGACCAACATCTCTGGGAGTCCATGTATTGCAAAGTAACTTTTCAATTGTTGTCCCTGTGTTTGACGAATGAACTCTATGCATTTCCAACCACTATGAATGGGCATCCACAATGACTAAAAACATACAGCCCATGAAAAGACTGGCATTGTTGACATGTAATCAAATCCAGGATTTATCTGGGCCATTCCCATGATTGTGGGGGAGCTGCTGGTGGTAATTATGTTGGCATCCAATCCCGGCCACCAGACATAAATTCTCGCCAACATCTTCATTTTGTAAACCTCTGGATGACACTGGTGGCATTCAGCCACTACCTGGCAGTGACCTTTGCTTGGGACAATCACTCTTAATCCCCATAGCAATATGCCATTCTCTATGGTGATCTGGTCTTGCTGAGTCCAGAAAGGTTTCAGTTCTGGTTGTGATGGCCCTTTTGTCTTCCTCCATCACTACCGGCTGGTTTAGTTTTGTTAGGACAGGATCTTTTAGTGTCCACAGTCTGATATTATCAGTGGTGACCGACATGACACTGACCCTGCGAGTACAGAGCTGGATCTTAGAGTGAGCAGAACCCTGACACTCCTGTGTATATCTGTCAGCCTGGGCTCCCTGATTGGGGCTGTTAATCTAAACAAATCCGGGAACTCATATTCTATAAGATCCACCCGGCTGATCTCATTCTAATCACTACATCACCCATTAATTCTTCTTCTCTCTCTGCAGATGTCTCACACGCTGCCCATTTTGAGAATTTTCTGATATACTTGAGATTTCCAGCAGCCACAGTGGTTTGCTCTTACCATTCTCATGTTATCATGTGTACTGTGGGTAGTTTGACATTACCAATGCGAGGATTTTGCTGCGTTGCAGATATGAATTTTGTATCATTTTAAACTGTAACATAATACATTAATTATATAATTTAAAATGGATTGTATATAGAGTGCCAATCCATTACACAAGTAAGTGGACTGGATGATTAGCTTTTACTGCTGCACTAACTGCAATTTCATAGCTTACACTTAAAAGAATGATCCCAACTTTCCTTTTCACTTTTCAGGGTCCTGCTGTAATCTCGTTAACCTGGGGAGTGTTTTACTTTAAAGAGATAAAGGTCAGTTCATTTGAATTTTGAAGAAATTGCTTCAGAAATCTGAGTCACTCCATAACAATAAATGGAAACAGTAACATCTTCCTGTAGCTGTGATATTGCTTGGTGTTACAAAAAGGTATAGATGGCTTGAAAACAAACCACGGTCTCGAATTATGAGGAAAAAAAAAGAAATGGTTGAATAATGCATTATTAAAATTAATTGCAAAAGATCAGATCTGCTTAGAATTTAGAAGCAAAGGAATTGTTAAAAACTTAAAAGTTCTGCCCTTGCTATTACCAAAAAAAAAGACAATCGAGAATGAACAAAGAAGATTTATAGGGATGAAACTAATAGGAAAGGCTGAAAAGACTGGGTAAAAACCAAGAGAAGTTTAATTTAAAGCATCTAGAGACAAAAATAGAAATTGGTGGAAAAGCTCAGCAGGTCTGGCAGCATCTGTGGAGAGAAATCAGAGTCACTTGACATGAAATGTTAACTCTGACAACTCTCCACAGATACTGCCAGACCTGCTGAGCTTTTCCAGCAATTTCTATTTTTGTCTCTGAAAAGACCAGGGTTATTTTGTTTGGAAAAGAGACTGACCTGAGAAGGTGTCATCAAAATTATGCAAAAAGTTGTAAGCGAGGCCAAAACGAAGTGTGATTAGTATAAGATGATCATTAATAAATCCAGTAGAGAATTCAAAAGTAACTGCTTAACTCAGACAATTCTTCAAATATGGAACTCACTGCAGGAGGATACATTTGAAATAGGGTGAGGTAAAGACAGATAGGAGGAGACTTATGTGGAATTAAAGCATCACTCAGAACTATCAAGCTGAATGGTCTAGTTTGCTGTGACAAAACTCTAGGTAAATCTATTCGAGGTAATAATTGTATGAATTGCCGCCTAACACTTGCCTCTGCCTAAGATTATACCAAACGGGATTGATTAATGATAATGTTCATGTGAATATTAAGTAGTCATAGTGTTCAAGTATTGTTTTCAAAAATAGTATTTTAAAGAAAATTACTTCAAATGGACCTAAAGTAATTCTCTCCACCAGGATGAGCTATTGCTGATACCTAAAATTCTATTACTAAGAGTTACAGTGAAAAAATATTCTTCTTCAATTCAGTAACTATTTTACTGCTCATCTCTTATGGTACTGCTCCAGATGGGCTGAAGTCCCAGATGAAAGCTGTCTGCTTTTCATGATGTTAAGGGATTTATTGGATGATGGATGCTGCTAGTAGCTATTCAACTTCAAAGATTCATTGCAGTTGTGTGTATTCATATTGTGACAATAATGGAAAAATTGGTTACAGGCTCTACAGATACACTGATGAAGTCCAGCTCCACCACATCACCACCTCTGTCAACTCCTTGACACTCTCTGATTTGTCAGACTGCTTACCTGAAAACCACAACTAAATGAGCAGGCACTTCTTCCAATAAACATTGGAAAGATTAAAGTCACTGTTTTTCACGCACTGTGTCAAATTTAGTTCCCAAGCCCCCAAACCATTCCTCTTGCCGGTAACTATCTGATGCTGAAACAGCCTATTCACAATCTTGGTATTATGTTTGTCCCCATAATGAGTTTCTAATTCAATATCCACTCAATCATCAAAACTGTCTACTTCCATTTCAGTAACCATTACAACTTTACTGTTACCTGAAGTCATCTACTGTTAACTCTTTGCTTTTGCTAACTCAAAAATTGATTATTCATACACTGTTCTGGCCAGCCTTTCATCATCTATTTCAGCTCATTCAAAACTCCACTGCTGATATCGAATATTGAATCAAGTCCTGTTCAACTCTCTGAACGACATGTTCCATGGCCTGCACGCCTCAGTTTTAAAATGTAACTCTCATTTTCAAATCTCACCATGGACGTGCTCCTCAATTACACATTTGTGTAATTGCCTTCAGTCCTACAACAATAAATAATCTGTGCTCCTGCAGCTCTAGCCTCCTCAGTTTTAATCACTTCATCATTGTTGGCTGTGCCTTCAGCTACCCAAGCTCTAAGGTATTGAATCATGTCCTTACCCCTGCCCATTGTTTCATCTTTCCTTCCTGCTTCACAATTCTCATTAAAATCTCTCATTGACCAAGCTTTTCATCAGCTATCTTAAAATCACCTGTTGCATTTCAATGTCAAATTGTTCAAAAACTCTTCTTGGTCGGCTTTATTACATTAAATGAATATGAATATGTTATTTGTATAATACTTTGTTTTGCATAAAGTATCTCAAAGCCTCACCATTAAGATGATTTGAATGTTATTTTAATTGCTCAATGGATACAAACTAAATTCACCACAAAATTCAGTTTTGCTCATTTCCTGTTTCTTTTTAGCAACAAATAATAATTAAAGTAAGGAGTCTCATTCCTTTAGATTTTTATTGTCTAATATAAAACCATCAACAATAATTATTTTAATCTTTTCATTTGTTTCTTTCTTTTTCTCTCTTTATCCAATCTTTCCTTCTCTCTATTTCCCATGTTGTACCTGATATGACACTGAATTCACTTACTTTAATTTACAGGTCATTTGCCATGCTTGCATTGACTCTTTTGCAGTTCATCAATTTGATTGGTTAAGGAGATGCACACTTCCTTGTCTTGTTCACTCAAACCCCAGCTACCAGCTTCCATCTGTGGAACATTATCCAATTGCCCTTTCAGCAAACTGCCATGCAAAAATGTTAAAATGAAATCATACAAAAGTACATTTAACCTCAGCAGGTATCATTAGATAGTAAATCAGGAAGGCTTGTCGCACAGGGGTAGTATCCCTGCCTCTGGGTCAGAAGTTCTGGGTTTGATCCTACCCAGAATTTGGTTACAGAAGGTTCATCATAACATGGCCAAACAAGTTGATTTATAAATCAACAAGTCCTGCTGACACCCTATGGCAGACAGTAAGATTGGAAGAGTTTCCTGTTCAGCAAGGACCTTTGGTAGTTGCAGTACAACACACTTCACATTAAAAGACTTTATATATACGTCTTGTGGAGAGCAAGTGATATCCTTGTTCCAAGGATCTAACCCAAGGTATCAAATACAGTTAAATTTTTTTGCTCTGTGTTTGTATTCAAACGTAAAAAACAAATACGATTCAACAAAGGGAGGGGAATTATGGTAACCTGTATACATTTCAATAAATGTGCTTATTGTGTCAAGCATTTGCTGTTTGATCCTTGGTGGTCTACAAAGATACGAGTAGTTTGGACAAAATCCAATTTAGGGGGTGCATGGACAATTTAATAGAATGGTCCGTGATGTTAAACCAAAATAGAATTCTTGCACAATGCCTGAAAACGTTGTGTTGCTTACAAAACAGAGCCACTCCATATTTCCCTGATTGTGCTTTTTCGGTTTAGTACAACCAATCACACCTACTCAACAGATGGTGTTTTTCTAACATCTTTACAAAATGTACTGCTACTGGTGAAGCAGTACTGAACAGATGCACATTTAATGGAATGGATGGCTAAACACCAAGCACACAAGTTCTCCTTGACTACCAGAATGTCAGGCTTAGCAATTGTAAAAATATGTTTATTTTGCTGTTTGGTGTTAATGGTACACCAGTGAATATTTAGTAATTTAATTCAAATAAATTGCTGAAATTAAAATATGGTTTATTTCATTATTGTTCTGTCTCCAGGGTTTAAAGAACTTCATAATACTGGGTGTCGTGCTTGCAGTTGCTGTTACTGGAACAATACTCATAGGATTATCTAAAATAGAGGGAATCGCCTAATGCATATTGTGGAAAACAGAATAACAGAGTACCTACCATTTCTCAGAAGGAATAAAAACCCTTCTGTAATGTACCTGATACAAATTATAATAAATATTTGATTGTATTTGTGTGCACTATTATGTCATATGTCTAAATTGACACATATCATAACATAGATGCACTTATAGTTAAAGTGCATTGATTGAAATACACTATGTGATCATTAAAAAGCGGAATTGAATTGTAAGCAGTATTCCAGCAGAAAAGTGATATTGTAATGCTTAGACTAATTCTCAGTTTCTTACCAGGATTCTATTCCCTATGCAATTTTTAGTGAGCTGTACTGTATGCTAATAAAAGGAGGCAATTTGTGTAACAACTAACGATAGAAACAGTACAAAAACTAACAGTACAAAATATAGCAAAATATCCTAAGCGCACTTTCTTCCTTCATTCCATATGGCTGGATTTTGTAGTCAAAATCAATGGTGAAATTGCTGGCTTTAGCCTCAAATATGCTGTGAAACAGACAACACCTTCTGACATCAGCACAGAAATTCAGAAATTGCTAGTAGTGATTTCTCACTTTTCCACTGGGTACGATATTGGAGTCACTGCCAATAGAATTCATTTAGATTAATTTAGTAATCACGGATTTGATGTGAACTTCCAATGTTTATGCTATTAATCCTGATGTAAAAATGCGTTCTTATTATGTGCTAACTCATAATTATTGATTTTGGCCTTAAAAACTAATACTATATTAGTCAAACTACTTTGTTTATGATAAATTTTATAAGATGGACTTCTTAAAATTTAAAATAAGATACTTTAGCCTTCTTTCTTTATCCCAATGCATGCCCAAACATTATTTTGCTTTCTATAAGATAAGTATAGTGAAAGAAAATCAGTGCATTTTACTTCCTTAGAATTCTTCAAATTGATTGGCTGTTTTGTTTGCTTAATGACATCATTGCTGCTGGGCACCAGCGATCTCCCTAGTTGGTGCGAAAATGGAAGTTTATTGGGAAAGGTGAATTCCACATAACAGCGATTACTAGATTTTTCAGGGATCTTTAGGACAATGGTGAACTCCATTATCTCTGACAAGCCACTAAATTCAAACCCCTCTGTTTCAGGTATTTTCATGCATTCTTTGTTTTTTTTAAAGTTTATGGAGCAACCTAAAAGGAGGCCTTCATAAATTAAGATGGCATCAGCAGGTAGAGGACACAGAAACAAAAAAAGACCAGAGTCACAAATAAAGGACACCAAATAGTATAAACGTGAAAAGGGCACTTCATTCTCATTACTGAACTTTCAAGAATCCTCATGGATAGGTCTGTGTCCTTCAAAATATTAAATATGCTAACAATAACCAATTACTAATAAAATCAAGTCATTAATTTTAACTTAATGGGTTAAAGTGTTACTAAACTGTTGTTGAATGAGAATTGCAATCAGGAACTGGTAGAATCTTCAGAGAAAGTAGGTGACATTATTCAAAATGAGAGGAACCCAATCACAGACTATGCACTCAATGTGGTACTCTCTTTCTTTTAAAAATAAATTATTGCCTAAAGCAAGTCATAAACAGTTTAATAGGAGGACCAGTGTTCATGTTCAATGATGATAAGGGACAGCGAAGATTAATAACTAGCTTAAAAATAAGGTTAATGCTATTAAAATATTAAAAGATGCTTTTACAACAGCAAATAGAAAGATTAGTGGATTAATTAATTGAGCAACAGGGGAGAAAAGGACTTGTAATTTTTGTTATTCATGAAAAATCAATGATCTGAAGTGATGGTCTATCTTCAACATGTAAAACTTAATTGGAGAATATTTTTTGAGCAACAATGTATTTAGATTGTAAGGTGAAGAACCAGGGAATCATTGGGGAAGAATGACAGCTATACAACAAATTTGTGTAGAAATTAAAATGTAAATAAAGATTATTTGACATTTGTTTCCCACTATGATTCTGCTTCATATGCGTTTGTATCATGACTATCAAAAGAAATATTGCACCCTCACTTCTTTGGTTTAACATAAAATGTACAGTACATGATCCTAAATAGCTAAGCAATTTTAACATTGCTCATTTAACTCAAAAGAAACATGAGATACAATTAAATACCTATCATCATGTGTTCTGATTAATAGTTATAATACCAGGTGGAAACCTATTGCCAATAAATCAAAACGGCTAGTCACAATTTAAATGAGGCCTAAATATTCCAGGACAGTGGCCATTTGTCTGAAGAGTTCATCTTAACCATCATCAGTATGGTTTGTGGCTGCATTTGAAGCTCAGATCTCATCTCAATGTATACGCAGGCCAGTAGTTCTGAAGATTGGTACATTTGAAAAATAATACATTGAGTTACATAATGTAATCTAAAGCTGAGACAGTAGTACTGTGTACAAGGCTACCTGAAATCCTTGTAGGACAATGGATGGTCTGCCTTGGAAGCTGGGAGAACTTCTGTTCTGGTTGTGATGGCTGAAAATTATACCATTTCTTTTGCTGCTACCACTTCTGCAATAATCACTATTAAATTATAATCAATGAGAAGACACCAACTCCAGATTTTACTTGCTGCAGTTGTGCAATTTCCATTGATCAAGGCAATCATAAAGGAAAAATGCTAAATAGGGCCTGGCCATATCTGAATCTCACTGCAGAAAATCCTTAGTGATCAAAATACTTGATTGCACCAGCAGATTCTTAAAAGGCAAGCAGATCGAGGTTGAGATCCTGATTTTCTACTCTTTTACTTCAAATGAATAGTATGCAGATGAGAAGAAATTCTAGCTTAAAGTGAACTTACATTTAAAATTTGCCAAACGGTGAAAACACAGTAAGACTATAACACATAGCAGCAGAAGTAAGCTATTCAGTCCATTGTGTTTGTTCTGCCAGTCAATGAGATCATGGCTGATCTGATAATCCTCAATTTCAACTTTCCTGCCTTTTCCCCATAATTCTGGATTCCCTTCACTCAACCTTGAATATACTTAGCAATCCAGCCTTGACAGCCCTTTGCAGTAAAGAATTCCGCAGATTGATCACTTTCAGAGAAGAAATTCCTCCTAACCTCTGTCTTAAAATGGGCCACCCCTTATTGAGATTATGCCCTCTGGTCCTAGACTCTCCCACAAGGGGAAACAATCTTTGCAACTGACCCTATCAAGTTCTAAGTATGTTTTGATAAGTTTGCCTTTCATTCTTCTAAATTTCAATGAATAGAAGCTCATCCTATTCAACCCCTATCCACACCTCTACCACCATACGTGGTATCAACCTAGTAAACCTCCAATGCCAGTATATCTTTCCTTAGAGAGAGGGCCCAAAACTGTTCACAGTGTTCCAGCTGCCATCTGACTAGTAGTGTAGTTTCAGCAAAATCTCCCTACTTTTATACTTCATTTCCCTTGAAATAAAGGCTAACGTTCCATTTGCCATCCTAATTCCTCAGTGAATTTATATGCTAACTTTTTGTGAATAATCCACAACTCCCAAATTCCTCTGAATATTGTCTTGTTTAGTGGTTTAGAAAGATTTTACCAATTTTCACTCCAATCCCTTCAAACTAAAGGCGAACATTTCGTTTACTTTTCCTGTTACCTGCTGAACTTGCTAACACTGTGATTTATAAACGAGGACTCACATCGCTCTTCTGTAGCTTTCTGCAGTCTTTCTCTATTTAAATAATATTCAGCTTCCATGTTTTTTCCTGCTAAAATGCATAACGTCACATTTTCTCACATTATATTCCATTTGCCAAGTTTTTGTCCACTTGCTTAACTGTTCTATATTCCTCTGTATTATTAATATGCAACATGGCACAAATTGACTATGACTGGAAAATATAAAATACGGCATGACATGAGCAGCATTGTCTCTATCCAACAATAAAAGAAACTAAATAGATATTTCCCAAGGTGGTCACTGCAATTTGAAGTATTAGTGTAACCATATTTTATTAGAATATTGCTGCTGGAATTGGGTCCGTTTCCATCAGCATTCCTTCAATATAACTATGCAACAGGCAGATGGCAAAAGACAGAGGGTGGCACATAGCGCCAGGGACCTGGGTTCTATTCCACCCTTGGGTGACTATGCAAACTCCATACATACATGCCTGTCTGCTATACTTCCCATAGTCCAAAGATGTGCAGGTTAGGTGGACTGGCAATGCTAAATTGCCCATAGTGTGCAGGCTACGTGGATTAGCCATGGGAAATGCAGGATTATGTGGTGGGTCTGGGTGGGACGCTATTTGGAATGTCAGTGTGGACTCGATGGGCCGAATAGCCTCTTGCTGCACTGTAGGAATTCTATGATTCAATGAAAAATCCAGCACCGTGAATAGAACTGAACTGCAAAGTCATGCAAATTACTGTTCTTTTTTAAGTGAATCTTCTGTCTTACTCTCTGACCCATGTACCTACGTTATATACAAACTGCAAAATGATGAGAAAGAAATTCACATTCCTTTTAGGCAAATATGATTTTAGAATAAAGCAGAATTACAAGTTATACTTTTTTTTACAAGAAAGACCCCTCATTGGGGCATTTCCACATTTTATTTACAATTTTGGAGCATCCAGTTAATATGTTTATATATATCCAGATAAATTTCTTAAAGTATGTACAAAAAATGGTAAAGATGAAAACAAATTTAAAAACTGTATATTATACAGAGAACCATTCACTACCGTTGTCAATAGTCTGAAAGACATAAAATCAATACTGTTTTCATTTGTGTCTATACAGTGGTAACCATACAATAATAAAAAAAACAAATATTGCAACCTGTACTGAATGCATTTATAAATGGTCAGCAGAAGTTTCAAAAGCAATTGTCACAAATTCTTAAATATTACCACAGTTCAACATTTGCATAAGGCATACTGTTTGAATAGGTGTTCCAATTTTCAATTTATTACACATGCAAACTACAAAACAACCAGCTTTTGATAATACCTTGCTTAATCTCTCATTTTTGTCCTGCAAGTTTTTGTTTAAAAAGACAGTTACATTGTATTATTTTGAACTCAAAGACAATGTTTTCATGTATCTGGAGAATAAGGCTGGTTTCTTGCTGGTAAAAGCAGCATTTTGTTGTTGTAGTCCTGTTCTAGTTATTAGCCATTTGAAAGTGTTTATTGTGCTTTAGCCGTGTCTTTTTCCTTCAGTTGAAGTTGTGCCAGAATATATAGGATGACTTGATAGCAGAATATATACTGAGCCTGCACACAGGAACACAAAAAGAACCTTGTTGAACAGTGCATCATTAAGTTTGAAAAAAAGACTTGCATTTACTTAACTCCTTTTAAGACCACAGAATATCCCAAAGCACTTCACAGGTAATAAAATACTTCAGTGTATTTACTGTTGTAATCCAATAAACAATATAGAAAACCTATGTACAGAAAGCTCCCACAAACTTTTAAAAGAAAACTGAACAGAAACAGACGCTGCTAGAAAATCTCAGCCGGTCCGGCAGCATCTGTGGAAAGAAGTCAGAGTTAACGTTTCAGATCCAGTGACCGTTCTTTGGAACTGAAAATAGACCATAAGACATAGGAGCAGAAATTAGGCCATTCAGCCCATTGGGTCTGCTCCACCATTCAATCATGGCTGATAAGTTTCTCAACCCCATTCTCCCGCTTTCTCCCCATAACCCTTGATCCCCTTGATAATCAAGAATCGATGTCTGTCTTAAATATACTCAATGACCTGGCCTCCACAGCCTTCTGTGGCAGTGAATTCCATAGATTCACCACTCTCTGGCTAAAGAAGTTTCCCCTTATCTCCGTTCTAAAAGGTCTTCCCTTTACTCTAAGTCTGTGCCCTCGAGTCCTAGACTCTCCTACCAATGAAAGCATCTTCCCAACATCCACTCTGTCCAGGCCATTCAGTATTCTGTAAGTTTCAATAAGATACTCCCTTATCCTTCTAAACTCCATCGAGTATAGACCCAGAGTCCTCAAACGTTCCTCATATGTTAAGCTTTTCATTCCTGAGACCATTCTCGTGAACCTCCTCTGAAACTGCTCCAGGGCCAGTACATCCTTCCTGAGATATGGGGCCCAAAACTGTGCACAATACTCCAAATGTGTCCTGACCAGCGCCTTATAGAACCTCAGAAGTACATCCCTGCTTTTATGTTCAAGTCCTCTCAAAATAAATGCCAAAGTTGCATTTGCCTTCCTAATTACTGACTCAACCTGCAAGTTTACCTTGAGAAAATCCTGGACTAGAACTCCCAAGTCTCTTTGCACTTCAGATTTCTGAATTTTCTCCCCATTTCGAAAACAGTCCATGCTTTTATTCTTCTTACCAAAGTGCATGACCTCACATTTTCCCACGTTGTACTCCATCTGCCACTTCTTTGCCCATTCTCCTAACCTGTCCAAATCCTCCTGCAGCCTCACCACCTCCTCAATACTACCTGTCCCTCCATCTATCTTTGTACTGTCTGCAAACTTGACCAGAATACCCTCAGTTCCTTCATCTAGATCCTTAATGTATAAAGTGAAAAGTTGTGATCCCAACACTGACCCTTGTGGAACACCACTTGTCACCGACTGCCATCCTGAGAAAGACCCTTTTATCCCCACTCTGTGCTTTCTGCCAGACAGCCAATCTTCTATCCATGCTAGCACCTTGCCTCTAACATCGTGGGCCCTTATCTTACTCAGCAGCCTCCTGTGTGGCACCTTGTCAAAAGGCCTTCTTGAAGTCCAGGTAGATAACATCCATTGGCTCTCCTTGGTCTACGCTGCTCATCACTTCCTCAAAAATTTCTAACAGATTTGTCAGGCATGACCTCCCCTTGATGAAACCATGCTGACTTTGCCCTACTTTACCATACACTTCCAGGTATTCAGAAATCTCATCCTTTACAATGGACTCTAAAATCTTATCCACGACCAAGGTTAGGCTAATCGGCCTGTAATTTTCAGTCTTTTGCCTTACTCACTTTTTAAACAGAGGTGTCACATTAGCGATTTTCCAGTCCTCTGGGACCGTCCCTGACTCTCGTGATTCCTGAAAGATTACCACTAATGCCTCCATTATCTCTTCAGCTGTCTCCTCAAGAACTCTGGGGTGTAGACCATCTGGTCCAGGTGATTTATCCACCTTCAGGCCATTCAGTTTTTCTAGCATCTTCTCCTTGGTGATGGCCACCATACTCACCTCTGCCCCCTGACTCTCTCAAATTTTTGGGATATTACTCGTGTCTTCCACTGTGAAGACTGACGCAAAATAACTACTCAGTTCCTCAGCCATTTCCTTGTTCCCCACTACTACCTCTCCAGCGATCCGATGTCCACTTTTGCCTCTCTCTCTTTCAGTCCTCCTTTATATTAATGGCTAGCTTACCCTCATATTTAATCTTCTCCCTCTTTATTTTGTTGCCCTGTTGATCTTTGTAAGCTTCCTAAACATCTGGTATCCCACTGCCTTTCACCATATTATATGCTTTTTCTTTTGCTTTTATGCTATCCCTGACTTCCTTTGTCAGCCATGGTTGTGTCATCATCCCGGTACCATGTTTCTTTTTCCTAGGGATGAATTTTCGCTGTGTCTCCCGAATTACTCCCAGAAACTCCGGTCATTGCTGTTCCACTGTCTTTCCTGCTAGGCTCCTCTCCCAGACAATTCTGCCCAGCTCCTCCCTCATGCCTCTGTAGTTGCCTTTATTCTGCTGTAATACCAATCAAACATTTGTTTAAGTGCCATTACCTAAGGCATAAAGGTAAAGTTGCCATAAGTTCCCAGAAGACCAATAGGCTGCTCCCTCATTACAGAGAGATGACTGGTGGTGAGTTTAACCTGAGGAACTCTCCACCTCAGGTGAAGGGTGAAGCTAAGAAAGCAAACTCAGCCGGTCCAGCATGCAAATTAGACCCATGCTACTGGTGTCACTTTGCGTCATCAACCAGCTGTCCGAACAACTGAGCTACCGATAAATATCAGGTAGGACATCAAAGATAATATTACCTCTCTTCTTCAAAATGGTGTCATGGGATATTTTATATTCACCGAAGAGAGCACGGGGACTTTGTTTTAACATCTCTTCTGAGAGAAGGAAATCATGTAAACGGTGAAGCATGTAATAGCCTATCTACCTGCAACTTCATAAAACTTAATGATGACCATGATTATATTTGCTGTTAGCACACAACTTGTTACAACAGCATTCCACTGAACAGACTATGTAACAAAGTTCACTAACACTTAATTGGTTTCCATAAAAGTTTGGACAGTGAAATGCAGTGACAGAAATGGATACATTACGGTGATAATTATCATGTACATTTTTAAGTTGGATTGTTATAAATTCACAATAGCCTTTTTGAAACAAATGCACAGAGCTTTATAACAAACCAAAACTCCTGACAATTTGTCTTACAACGAAATATAACAGAGAAACAGATTATTTAACTTAACAAGTCCAACCTGGCATTTGTGCTCCGCTTGAGCCTCCTCCTACCTTTGTTCATTTATCAGTGTAACCATCTATTCCCTTCTCCTTCATATGTTTGTCTAGCTTCCCCCAGGGGAGGCAATGGCATAGTTGTATTATCGCTGGACTGTTAATCCAGAGTTTCAGGTAATATTCTGGGACCCAGTTTTGAATCCCACCATGGCAAATTGTGGAATTTGAATTCAATGAAAATCTGGAATTATGAGTCTAATGATGAGCATGAATCCAATGTAAATTGTTGGAGAAATCCATCGGATTCACCGATGTCCTTTAGAGAAGGAAACGGCCAGTCTTACCTAGATTTCATAACACTGCAAATGACTCAAGTGCAACCAATACAGTAAGGTAGATAAAAATCAAAGGTGGGTCACATCGGTGACCTCAGACCCACAGTAATATGGCTCACTGTTATGGCTAATTAATGCTGGCCTAGCCTCATACTGGAACATTTTCTACTTTTTGTATCCCAGTGGAATTAGGACACCAAACCACCCCAGCCCCATATGCACTTTCTCCAAACTCACTGATTTCTAGCACTTCGGGTTTTTGTTTTCATAATTTCCCTAGTAAGATTTTATGGAGACTTAAGTGAAGAGCAACATTATAAACTGCAAGTACTTTGTACTTTTGTCCACACAAGAATATTATTCAATGTAAGTGATGTACAGTATTGTACGTGGCCAAAACACAGCTCTGCTGCACACTTCCTCAAATTTAACAGTTGTGTGCTTTCATCCTTCAAGTGATTTCACCAGCTTAGAAGGCAGCATTACTTTGTTCTAAAGGGCCATTTCCACTCAGTAGCGAAACAGATTTTATCTTCCTGAAAACTCACCTCAGTCTGGATCATCCCATATCGTTGGCATCTCATAGTTTCAACAATGTGAGAAATGTCAAACTGTTGGCAGACAAAAGGAAGAGTTACAAAGTGACTAACAATCCAATAGGATAGATGCGATTAGAACTCTTTGCAGCACAGACATTTCAAACCAACAAAAATCTATTAACGGGGGCATCATCGTTAAACTCTCTCACTCTACTTTCTGACTTAGACTGGCATTACACATGGCTTCCTGTGCATCAGCCAAGTTGTCATTCTTTATGTATGGTTGGACAGTTGACAGATTTTTTTTAGCCATTCAACATATTTCTAAAAAGTTGATCAGAAGCACATATCCATGGGCATTCTCAAAAGGCAACCTAGGGGCTTTGTATTGTATTGTTATTTGAAATAAAACTAAAACTGACCAAAATTCCTTATACCATATCAAGTCAAAGGCAATAAATTCAAGCCATTGTTCAAAACTAGATTTCACAACACTGCAAATGACTCAAGTGCAACCGATACAGTAAGGTAGATAAAATTCAAAGGTCCATCTGCTGTCTTTTTCAGTTTACCTTCATCCTCATGGAGAACAAAATGATTGGTGGAAATCTTATTTTCCATCAACATTTGCATTGCATGGTAAAACTAATGTATTTCATCATTAATATATTGCAAAAACTAAATTACACAAGCATTACTTGATGTCCATTTCTGTAATGCAGTCCTAGCTGCTGAAGTGCATTTCTTAATAATATGACATGATAATAACTTGCGTTAAGATAGGGTTTTTAAATATAGTAAAACTTCCCAAAGTACTTAGCTAGAGAAATTATCGAACACAACTTGACTGTGAGTCACATAAGGTGATATTATGATGGATGATCAATAGCTTGGTCAAAGAGGCAGGTTTAATGGAAAGTTTTAAAAGGAGAGGGAATTAGAGGTGGAGAGAGAAGGGTCGAGGTGGAGAGGTTAATTGAGGAACTTCCAATGTATAGAGTCTATAGCGTTGCAGACAATGCCATTGATTGACAAGCAATCTTGCTCAACTGGGTCAATTGGCTGGATTGGCAGATGTAGTTTAATTTACATAAATGCGAGGTATTGAATTTTGGTAAAACAAACAGGGACAGGACTTATACAGTTAATGGTAGGGCCATGGGTAGTGTTGTAAAACACAGAGACCTAGGGGCTCGGGTACATAATTCTTTGACATTTGCGTCACAGGTAGACAGGGTGGCTGAGAAGGCATTTAGCATACTGCCTTCTTTGCTCAGACCTTTGAGTATAGGAGTTGAGACGTCATGCTGAGGTTGCACAGGATGCTGGTGAAGCCTCTTCTAGAGTACTGTGTGCTATAGGAAGGATAATGTTAAATAGGAGAGTTTCAGAAAAGATTTACCAGGATGTTGCGGGGACTAAAGGGTTTGAAATATAAAAATACGCTCGATAGACTGGGGCTTTTTATACTGGAGCGTAGGTTGGGTGGTGACATTATAGTGGTTTATAAAATCATGAAGGGCATAGATAAGGTGAATAGCAAGGGTCTTTTCCCCAGGGTGGGGGAGTTCAAAACTAGGGGGCATATTTTTAAGGTGAGTGGAGAAAGATTTAAAAAGGACATATGGGGCAATTTCCTTACACAGAGAGTGGTTCATGTGTGGAATGAACTGCCAGAGGGAGTGGTTGATGCAGGTACAGTTGTAACATTTAAAAGACATTTGGATTAGTACACGAATAAGAAAGGTTTGGAGGGATATGGGCCAAATGCAGGCAGGTGGAACTAATTTAGTTTGGGAACACGGTCAGCATGGACCGAAGTTGGACCGAAGGGTCTGATTCCATGCTGTATGACTTTACGACTCTGACTTGATAACTAAAATCATGCAAACTCAAAAGTCTGGAATTGGAGGAGCTATGATATTTTAACAGGTTGTAAGGCTGGTGGAGGTTTCGGGGAAAGGAGAGATGAGTCCACAGAGGAATTTGAAAACAAGGACAAGCATTTTAAAATCAAGTCATTGCTAAACTGGGACCAATACAGTGCAGTTGGCATGGGATGATGGCTGATTGGGACTAAGTGTGTGTTAGGATACGTGTAGTGGGTACAGCATAAGAGTAAGCCATTCACCATGCTGTGTGTACCCTGGCTATCTGCAAAAGTGACTTTACTAAGCCCGCTACTCAATCCTTAAACAGGAGTCCTGCATTTTATTTCCTCTCTTCATTACACCCACTGGCAGTGCATTTGAGATGCTAAGCATTCACTGTGCAAATTTACTTTTCCTCATTCTGCCATTAGTTCTTTTGCAAACCACTTTAAATAAATGATATACTGCCTCATTCCCACATGATTTTGAACACTTCCATCAAATTTTTTCCCATCTTATCTCCTCTCAGGAAAATCAACTCCATCTTCCCCACCCTAACCATGCAACTGAAGTCCCCCATCCCTGGAAATATTGTCAAATTCCCTCAGGGACTTCACAACCTTCCTAAAGTGCTGTTTCCAGAACTGTACACAATATTCCAGTTGAAGCCAAATCAGTGTTTTATAAAAAGATTCATCATAACGCCCCTGCTGTTGCAAGTGGTGCTTCTATTTGGAAAGCCCAGGGTCTGATGTGCCTTTATAACTGATTTCTCAACTGCCTTTTCAAACAATTTGTTTCCCCAAGTGTTTCTGCACCTCCTTTAGAACTGCTCTATTTTGTTAGACATCTTCTCAGGCTTCCTATCAAAATGTTCCATTTTCATTTCTTTTGGGTTAAATTTTACTTGTCACATGTCTACACATTCCAACAGGCCATGAATGATTACCTGTCTCACAGGTTAACTTCCAAGTTTTGTGTCATATAAAAACGTTGAAATTATTCCTTCTACCCCAAGTCTAGGTCATTACCGTATGAACAATAGTTCAACACTACTTTCCATTTCTTGTCACTTGGCCAACTTTGTATCATGCTGCCACTGTTTTTACTCATTGGGTTTCACCTTTATTGGTAGTCTATCAAATGCCTTTTGGAAGTCCAAATACGCCATATCGATTGTGTTCACTCCAAGCATTTCTGCCATCTTACTATATAAAAGTATATCAGGTGCAATTAAGAATATGTAATAAATGCTGGCTTTGCCCGTGATGCCCACATCCCATGTACAAACAAAATCACGAATTGCCATTTATAACTGCACTGACTTTCTTTACTTAATCTACAGATGTTCAAGTGACTGTTAATTGTGTCCTGGATTAAAAGTTTTCCCATCACTAAAGTTAAATTGCCTAGCCTGTAGTTACTTGGCTTATCCTTACACATTTTTGAACAAGGGTAGCACTTGGAATTCTCCAATTCCGTGGCATTATATTCAAGGAGGATTGAGAAGATCATGGCCAGTTGCGCCGTAATTTCCATTCTTATGAACCTCAGCATCCTAGTTACCAATTTTAAGTACAGTTAACTTTTCGAATACTTCTACTTTATTAATTAGCTCATACCAATCACAACTACCTACTGTTTCACTATGAATTGGACAGCATGCAAAGGAGTCATTTAGCATCTCAGCAAGCCTTCCAACTCCATATACAAGATTTTCATCTGGACCCTAATCAGCTCCAACTCTTACTATTTTTTATTATTTAGATAGTTATAGAAGATTTTTGACTACCTTTCATGTAAGCCACTGGTCCCTTCTCATGCTCTTAACCCCTCTGATTTTCATCACCACTTCCCCTTTGAATGTTTTCGGCCTGGCTCACAATTGTATTATCCATCTATTACCTGTAATACAGCCCACTTTTCTGCTTCATCTTACTCGATTACTTTCATCATCCAGGGGGCTATGGCTTCTATGTCTATTTGGCCATGAAACATAACAGCAGAAGTAAACCGTTCAGCCACTGATACTGCTCTGCCATTCAATGAGATCATGGTTGATCTGCTAATCATCAACACCCCTTTCCTGTCTTATCCACATGAGCTTTGATCGCCTTGCTGATTAAAAAGATGTCCATCCCAGCCTTGAATATACTTCATGACCCATCCTTTACAGCCCTTTGCAGTAAAGAATTGCACAGACTTGCTACCCTCGCAAAGATGAAAATTCCTCCTCATCTATCTTTTAAATGGACGAAACTTAATCTGAGATTATGCCCTTTGGTTCTACACTCTTCTAAAAGGGGAAATTACCTCTCCTCATCTACTCCATTAAGTCCCCTAAAAATTTTGTACGTTGTCCTTCATTTTGCTAAACACCAATGAATACAGATACAACCTCTCAGCCAGCCCTCCCTATCCAGAATCAACCCAGAGAACCTCCTGTGGACAGCCTCCAATGTCAACGTATATTTCCTTAGATAAGGGGATCAAAACCATTCACACAATTCCAGCCGCAGTTTGACTAGAATATAGCATAACCTTGTATAATTTTAGCAAGATCTCACTGTTTTAATAGTCCATTCACTTTGAAGTAAAGGCCAACTTTCTATTTGCCTTCCCTATTACACACTGAACTTCGCTGTTAGATTTTTGTGATTCACGCACAACGAATCCCAAATTGCTCTGTGCTGTAGCCTTCTTCAGTTTTTCTGCATTCAAACAATATTCAACTCTCCCATTCTTCCCATAGCCTCGGATTCCTCCATTATATTCCACCTGCCAAGTTTTTACCCACTAACACTTCCATCTATATCCCACTCTAGACCCCTTATGTTATCCTGCCTATTTCTGTGTTAATAACAAATTTGGCAACAGCATGATCTGCGAGTCCAGAACTCGCAGTCACTGTATCAGGATACATGGTAGGCCATTTTGGACTGATATGAGGAGAAATTTCTCCATCCAGAGAGTGGTGAGTCTGTGGGATTATCTGCCACAGAAAGCATTTGAAGTCTAAACAATGAATGATTTCATGAAGGAGTTAGATGTAGTTCTTGTGGCTAAAGGGATCAAAGTACATTCACTTCCATCATCCAAGTAGTTAATGCTCAGATACATAGAAAACAGGGGCCGGAGTAAGCCATTCAGCCCTTAATGAGCCTGTTCTGTTATTCAATACAATAGTGGCTGATTGTCCAACTCAGCACCCTGTTACTTGTTTCTCCCCATACTCTTTGATCCCTTTAGCCACAAGAACTACATCTAACTTCTTTATGAAATCATTCATTGTTTAGACTTCAAATGCTTTCTGTGGCAGATAATCCCACAGACTCACCACTCTCTGAATGGAGAAATTTCTCCTCATATCAGTCCGAAATGGCCTACCATGTATCCTTATGCAGTGATTGCGAGTTCTGGACTCACAGATCAGAGGGAATATCCTTTCAACTTTTACCCTGCCCAGTCCTGTTAGAATTTTATAAGTTTTTATAGGATCCCCCACTCATTTTTTTAGACCCCAAGGAACACAGGTCTAACTAATCCAATCTCTCTTCATACCTTTGTCCTGCCATCTGAGGAACTCTTCATTTACCAAGTCTGGCTCCATCTACAGCCAGAACATCATTCCTCAGATAAGGAGACCAAAACTGCACACAATATTCCAGGGTATGGACTCACCAAAGCCCTGTACAACTGTAGCAAGACATTCCTGCTCCTGTAGTTCAATCCTCTTGCTACAAAGATCAAAATACCACGTCCTTTTTGCTCTGCCTGTTGCACTTGCATTTTAGTCTCACTAACTAGTGTACAAGGACACCCAGGTCCCATTGCACCTCTCCTTTTCCCAGTCCATCACCATTCAGATAATTGTATTTCTGTTTTTGCTACAAAAGTGGATAATCTAACATTTATTCATATATCTCATCTGACATGCATTTGCCTATTCACTCAATTGGCCAAATCTTACTGAAACATCTCTCCATTCCCCTCATAGATTGCCCTCTCACCCAGCTTTGTTTCATCTGCAAACTTGATGATATTACATTTAGTTCCTTCATCTAATATACATTATTATTATATTGATTAACTGTGGTCACAGCACTGAATCCTATGGCATTCCAGGTTGCCATCTTGAAATAAGCACCTTTATCTCAACTCTGTCTTTTCGATTAGTTTGCTGACCATCTATACATGCTATATGCTTGTCCCACCTTTCCTCTTTTGGAAAAGTACCTCAACAAATGCAAACCATCTCCTCACTTCTATTCAATTAACTGGCACAAAGCAAATTGCAAGTTGCAAATTGCAATTTACCATTATAAAGTACATTGATGCTTGCACAGAAATAGCAATATATCACTATTACATCCAGACATACTCTGCAGCTTACCGTTAAGCATAGGACAAAATGGGAACCACCTGAGCTGAAAAAAAAACTTCTTATAGATGGTTGTGTGTTAAATTATGGGCTTATTCTTCTTTGGTTAAGGCAGGGATGTGAAGAATGGAAATTACTGGATTACAGCAAGAAAAATATAATAGTTTCCTGACCATTTTAAGAAACTGTATTTTATTTCATGTGACTGTGGTCATGAGTGAAGGCTTGAGAATTTATATTTTAGGTGGCAGGAATTTAAACTGCTGAATTTGTTGCTTCCTTCATTCCATTACAAGTCCCCAGAGCTTGACACTGCTAAAATTCACTCTCACAATTACAAAATTGAAAAGGTAAAAATCCAAAGCCAGCAGTAAAATTTGTTTGTTTGTTAGAAGATAATGGTCATTGAGTTGTACAGCATAGAAACAGACCCGCGGTCCAACTCATCCATGCCGACCAGATATCGCAAAGAAATCTAGTCCCTTTTGCCAGCATTTGGCCCATATCCCTCAAAACCCTTCTTACTCATACACCCATCCAAATACCTTTTAAATGTTGTGATTGTACCAGCCTCCACCATTTCCTCTGGCAGCTCATTCCATAAATGCACCACCCTCTGCGTGAAAATGTTGCCTCTTGGGTCCCTTTTAAATCTTGCCCCTCTCACCTTAAACCTATGCCCTCTAGTTTTGGACTCCCCCACCCTGGGGAAAAGACCTTGTCTATTTACCCTATCCAAGCTCATGATTTTATAAACCACTATTAGCTCACCCCTCAGCCTCCGATGCTCCAGGGAAAATAGCCCCAGTCTATTCAGCCTCTCCGTGTAGCTAAAACTCTCCAACCCTGGCAACATCCTTGTAAATCTTTTCTGAACCCTTTTAAGTCTCAAAACTAACTTCCTGTAGCAGGGAGACCAGAATTGCACGCAGTATTCCAAAAGTGGTCTAACCAACATCCTGTACAGCCACAACATGATCTCCCAACTCCTGTACGCAATGCACTGACCAATAAAGGCAAGCATACCAAATGCCTTCTTCATGATCCTATCTACCTGCGGCTCCACTTTCAAGGAACTATGGACCTGCACTCCAAGGTCTCTTTGTTTAGCAACACTCCCTAGGAACTTATCATTAAGTGTATAAGTCCTGCCCTGGTTTGCCTTTCCAAAATGCAGCACCTCACATTTATCGAAATTAAACTCCATCTGTCACTTATCGGCCCATTGGCCCATCTGATCAAGATCTCGTTGTAATCTGAGGTAACCTTCTTCGCTGTCGATTACACCTCCAATTTCGGTGTCGTCTGCAAACTTACTAACCATACTTCCTATGTTCACATCAAATCATTTATATAAATGACAAAAAGCAATGGACCCAGCACCGATTCTTGTAGCGCACTGCTGGTCACAGGCCTCCAGTCTGAAAAGCAACCCTCCACCACCACCCTCTGTCTTCTACCTTTGAGCCAGTTCTGTATCCAAATAGCTAGTTCTCCCTGTATCCTGTGTGATCTAACCTTGTCAAATGCCTTACTGAAGTCCATGTAGATCACGTCTACTACTTGGCCCTCATCAATCCTCTTCGTTACTTCTTCAAAAAACTCAATCAAGTTCACGAGATACGATTTCCCACGCACAAAGCCATGTTGACTATCCCTAATTAGTCTTTGCCTTTCCAAACACATATAAATCCTGACCCTCAGGATTCCTTCCAACAACTTGTCCACGACCGATGTCATGCTCATCAGTCTATATTCTTGGTTTATCCTTACCACCTTTCTTAAATAGCGGCACCAAGTAAGCCAATTTCCAGTCTTCCAGCACTTCACCTATGGCTAATGATGACATAAATATCTCAGCAACAGGTCCAGCAATCACTTCCCTAGCTTTCCACAGAGTTCTAGGGTACAACTGATCAGGTACTGGCGATTTATCCACCTTCATGCTTTTTAAGACGCGTTGCGCCTCCTCCTCTGTAATATGGACATTTTTCAAGGGGTCTTCATAAACTAGTTTGATTTTTATTTCTGTTGCAAGAATGCTTCTTGCTGCTGAATGTAAGCATCAGTATATCGTATGCACACCAGCTGGATCAGCATGACCTTTTTGAAGCAGACAAGAAAGTCTCAAAGACCTGTTCTAATCAACACATGCTGTGTAGCTCCAGATACAAGACGAAACATGTTTTCTGCAGGTGTAAGCACCAAATTAAATACAGAAATCATTTCCTATAGTTTTCTTTATGATTCCATTTTTGTTCCTCATTTTTACAGTATTGTTATAGTATTGCAGGCTTCAAAACTATGCATGTACTCATACACAAGGCCAAGTTCCATGGGGTGGGCGGGTCAATTGTAACTGGATGGACTGAATGGCCTGCTTCCACACCAGAGATTCTACGAATTTGTGCATGTACACAGGCTCAGGCCATTCAAATTGGGTCCTCTAAAATATTTTATGTACGTGTACGTGTGTGTGTGTGTGTGTGTGTGTGTGTGTGTGTCTGTGTCGGTGTAAAATGTTTGAAGGATACACAGATTCAAATAAAACAGCAAAATAAGTTTAGAGCAAACACTGCAGCATATTGCAAAGTATGTGAATTTTCAGCCACATGAAGAAGAATGAAAAGTTTAAGACACTTTGGTAGTGATTTCTAATGAATGTACAATTTGTTATCTTCAACTTGATTTTGGCTCTATTCCTCGCTTTTAAACTTTTAGCACAATCTCAATGGTCACAAGCCCAAAATTTCACTACCAATATTTTGCAGTTTGCAAGTAGATTGCAGGGGTCAATTGTGTCAAATATTTTACACTTTTTTGTATTTGCATAAAATGCACCTGAGTTTAAGGATTTTTCTAGATAAACTCAGAACTGATGAAGAGTCATCAAGACTTGAAATGTTAGCTTGCTCTGTATCCATTCATGCTGCCTGACCCACTGTGATTTCCAGCATTTTTTTGTTTTCAGTACAGATTCCACCACCTGCAGTAATTTGCTCCTTCATAATTCAGTAGTTATGATTTTTGCCAAAAAGAAATACACAGTAAGATGGAAACTGCATTGACACAACACCTTCCACATTTCTCAGGAAATCTCAAGGTGTCAATTAATTACTCTTAAACTGTCATTATACAGCAGAGCACAGTAACTAATTTCTGCACCACCAGGTTTCGGAAACAGATATGTGATAAATGATCAATTCATCTGTTTTACAAAGTACTGAAACGAGAGTAAGTATTAGCCAGGACACCAGACCAAACAATGGACCCTTAGTTAAGTTTCTCATCTGAAAGATAACACTTCCAACAATGTAGACCACTCTTGGCAATGCAGTGATGGCCTAGCCGAGATTATGCGCTCAAATCCCTGGAGTAGCAATTTAAGACAAAAATCATAAATGCCAATTTAGTGGAAATACTTACATCAAGTCCTTTGCTGATGAATGTCAATACTGCATCTAGGCAAATAAGCGTCCCTGAACGACCAATTCCTGCACTACAGTGGGCAATTAAGGAGCCAGTACGTTTGATATGTTTCATGTAGCTGAGAAAGGCAACTAATTGCTCCGGCTTTTCTGGGGTTCCATGGTCCGGCCAGGCGGTAAAGTTCAAATGCGTTACTTGTCGTGACTCGCCACTCTGAATAAACAAAGGAATGATTTTACCCAGAGAAATTAACTACAAGACATCTCCTGTCCTGAAAAATCAAATAAGTACTCAAAATGGAGGTAGGAAAGCTGATTTTCCTGTGCATCCTGAAACTGGGTGCTGTAATTGTAATGATCTAAATATATCTGTCTTTAGGAGTTCAGGCCATGTCAAAACCCTGGATTTCAGCTGATGGTGGTCTACCTCAGGGCAATATCAAACCAGACGTGGGTTAGGAAAGTGAAATATAAAGGCCAACTAGCTGCTGTCTTGAAACAACTAAAGAGATAATGCCAACTCCACTGTCAACTCTCAACTTGACCTCTTGTAAAAAGACAAAAAAAAATAATCTTGTGTCCTATCTGCTTTACAGCCTATCTCTCAGAATCAGAGCATACAGAAGGTGCCCTTCAGCCCATTAGGTCTATACCACTAAAAATATACTACAGTCTACACTAGTCCTGCTTTTGCATACTAGGTCCAGAGCCTTGAATATTATGACACTTCAAGTGCTCATCTAAGTAATTTTTAAAGTTTGTGAGGTTTCCCCCTTCAACTATCCTCCCAGGCAATGCATTCCCAATTCCCATCACTCTCTGGGTGAAAACATTTATCCCCAAATCCCCCCTAAATCTCCTGCCATGCACTTTAAGATTATACCCCATTGTTATTGATCCTTCAACTAAGGGGAACAGCTGCTTTCTATTCATCTGGTCCATGCCCCTCATAATTTTATACACCTCTGTCAGGTTCCCCTCTCAATCTTTTCTGCTCCAGGAAAAACAACTCCAGGTTATCGAGCCTTTCTTCACAGCTGAAATGCTCCATCTCAGGCAAGATCCTGGTGAATCTCCTTTGCATCCCTTTCAGTGCAAGCACATCCTTTCTATAATGTGGTGACCAGAACTGCACACAGAACTCCATTTGTGGCCTGACCAAAGTCCTGTACAGCTCCAACATGACCTCGCTGCTCTTATAATCTATGCCATGACTGAAAATGGCAAGCGTCCCAAATGCCTTCTTAACCATCCTATTAACCTGCCCTGCGCCTTCAGGAATCTGTGGATATGTATTCCAAGATTTGTCTGTTCCTCTGAGTTTCATGTCTTGCCATTCATTAAGTACTCCCTTGTCTTGTTCCTTCTTCCAAGGTGCACCCCCTCACATTTATCAAGGTTAAATTCCATCTGCCACTGATCTGCCCAATATGTCTATATTTTCCCATAACCAACACCTTCCTGTTCACTGTCGATCACCCGGCCAATCTTTGTGTAATTGCAAATTTACTTATCATCCTCCCCTCCATATAATCATCTACATCATTTATGAATATCACAAACAATAAGGGACCTACTGCACACTGGGCTCCAGTCACAAACAGTCTTCTACTACCACCCTTTATCTCTTAACACAAAGCCAACCGTGGATCCATCTTTCCAAGTTATCCTAGATCCCATGAACGTTTACCTTCTTTATCAGTTTCCCATGTGGGACCTTGTCGAAGGGCTTACTGAAATCCAAATAAACTGCATCAACTGCCCTATGCTCATCCAAACATTTGGTCGCCTCTTCAAAAAAAAAAATCCACCAGATTTGTTAGGCATTGCCTTCCTCTGAAAGCAAATGCTGATTATCCCTGATCAAACTATGCCTCCCCAAATGAAGATTAATTTTCTCCTTCACTAACTTCTTTAATAGCTTCCCTACCACTGATATAGATTCACTGGTCCCTGGTCTCTCTCTACAACCCTTCTTGCAAAGTCCCACTCGGTGGAAGGAGTACCCCTCTTGGATGAGAAAAGGATCTCAGGCCCGCTTCTTCCATCTGCTTTTCCAAATGAACATCCCAGAGTGTGCAGGAAAATGAGGCAATAGGAAAGGAATGTCTTCTTCCATCTTATTTATGTGACTGTCCACAGCCTATGCTCTCTGCAGTTAGCACTAGGTGCACAGAAATGGCATGCTGGCCATTTGTTTCCTCTTCTACGGTCTAGTCAATATAGTGACATGAAAATACAAGCAACTATATATTTGAGCACTCTCTTATATAGTGTCTGCTGGCAAAATAGACCAATTGCACCAAAAATAAAGTCACAATTTGGCTGATCTATTCACACAAACCTGTAAGTTAATCATCTCAATTTTTCGAACAATAAATTCTTCCAATGAATGGCAACGTTGAAGGATTATCTTAATCTTGTTGTTAATTATTATTGATTTTCCCTGAAGTTCTGGCCAGTATCTTTGACATTTGACCTTTCCTCCTTCAACTTCGAGAGTCATCATGGCAATGATGTTAGACTCTTGTTCCCAAACCATCTGCCAAAAGTCTGCCAGTGTATGAGGTAAAGGTCCTTGACACGCGATGTAGGTGTAGTCATGTTTATCCACTGGTATTTTTATAAAGCTGGCATTAATGTATCCATGCTCTTCTCCAAGAGGAACTCGTGTGCCATCATCTGCAATTAACCATTAATTAATTAGTTTCCATCTCTTGTATCTATCGGTTGTTTCATTATGTTTATTTGGATACAGAACAGGAAGTAAAGATACAATACTAAGCAATTGAAAATTAATAGCATTCTTGTATTGCAAAGTGGTGAAAAACTGCTGCCACAGTTATCAATTAAATACTATATTCTACATGCTCCCTTCTATCCGGGAATTAAATAATTATCATAAACTTTAAAAGCAGTGCTTTTGTGTATAGTGGGTTGAGATAGGAAACTGATGAGATACTGACACCTAAGCGTGCGCAATAAAAGAAAACTGAATTCATGCCTAGCCTCAGAAATGTACAGCAAGTATGTATGTAGCAACATTTGCCCATTTAGTGTGTTCCATCCAGAAATCTACTTGTCACCTAATTACAAGTGAAACTAAATGTTTTGAAGAGTTATCTTAACTCAAAGAGATAATCCTGCAATACCTTAGGTTATGAAACATTACACACTATTCATCCATTTGTTTAACTGAAGACATTTCTATCACCCAAGAAACAATCGTGCTATGCCCAATTGGGAGATCTAGCATTCTTGTCTTACAAAATGGTGTAAAAATGTTGCAACAGTTACTAAATTAAATACTATACTCTACTTGCTTCCAGTTTTACATTAATGAAACAGTGCGCTGCCCTTATAACACAGTCAGTGCTGCCTAAATTTGTTAAGACCACAGAAATAAGATCCTGATTGGCTTTTGCCTCTGCAAACCTGCTCTAGCCATTTACTAAGGTAATGGTTGATCTTCTGCTTCAACTCCATATTCCCTCACAATCTCATATCCCTCAAGTCCCTTCATGTCCAAAAGACCAGTGATCTCTGTCATGAGAACACTTGACAGATCTCTGGGTTAGAAAACGCCAGTGGTTCACAAGCTTCTCAATTCAGAGATTTCCTATAATCTCAGATCCCCAGCCAAGGGAACTATGCCCTCTGTAGCTACCCTGTCAAGACCCATAAAAAACATTACATGTTTTAACTGGTCACCTCTCATTTTCCAAATCCAGGGTATGTGCAGTCTAGTCAACGCTGTCTCTCCTCATAGGGCAATCACATCTCAGGAACCAGCTGCATGAACCTTTATTGCACTTTTAGGCCTAGTATTTTCCTTAGTCAAGGATCAAAACTGCACACAGTGCTCCAGGTGTGGCCTCAACAATGTCCTGTACAACCGCAGCAAGACCTCTTTACTGATGTTCCATTCCTTTGTAACAAAAGCCAATATACTTGCCTTTCTAAAGTCTTGACATTTCACAATGTTAATTTTCAGTGACTCAAGTACAAAAACATTCCTGTGTGTCTCTGAATGCGCACATTTTCCAGTCTCCCACCATTCAAAAGATATTCTTTGTTTTTCTCCCAAAAGTGAATATCTTCATCCTTTGTCACATTGTATTCGGGCAGGATCCCACCAAGTTGCCCATACTCTCTATATCCCTGCATTGCCACTTTATGTCCTCAACATTGTTTACTTTCTTGCATAATTTAGTTTTGTCAGTAACATATTACATTCAGTTCCTTCATCTAAGTTATAACATAGGTTGCAAGAAGTGCAGGCCCAAGTACGCAGCTAGTTACAGTGTGCCAAACTAAAGAGAGTTCCAGTCAGTCTGACTCTCTCTGTTTACTGTCCGTTATCCATCCATTCTAACATTTTACCTCTAAACCAAACCCATGATTCCTAATTTTTTCATTTGACACCTTGTTGAATGCTTTATGAAAATCCAAACACACTAAATTCACTGTTCACCATTATCCATCTTAATAGTCAGATCCTCAAAAAATTCAAAGATATCTGTCAAAGACTATTTCCGTTTCATAAATCCATGTGATTCTTCCTAACCATCCTATGGTTTTTGAAGTCTCCTGCTGCACGTTCGTACTAATCGATTCTAGAATTTTTTCCAAAACTGATGTCAAGCCTGCTGGCCTATACAGTTCCCAGTTTTCTCTCTTCCACCTTTCTTGAACAGTGGTGTTGTACTTGCCACCTTCCAATCACTAGGACTATTCTAGAATCTAAGGAATTCGGGAAAATCAAAGCCAATACATCTACTACCTGTGCAGCTACTCCATTTAAAACCCCAGGATACAGTTGCCAGGTCCACAAGAATTATTGCCACTTTGTCCCATTAATTTCTCCAGTATTATTCCTTTGCTTATGAGTTTCATTAAAGCTTTATGTTCTGCTAGATCCTCGGATTCCCACTGTTCCTGAATTACTTTTCTTGGTCTTGAATCGTAAAGACACGTACAACACATTTGTTTAATATCTGCCATTTTGTTAACTTTACCTCTCTTAGCCTCTGGGCAGCCCATATTTATTTTCACTATTCTCTCCTTATTTACGTAACTATTAATTTTCCTGCTAATTTATTCTCATTCTCGGTCTCACCTTTGCTGTATTCTAAAATGCTCCCAATCCTCAGGTTTACTCTATTTTTGACAACATTATAAGCTTCATTCTTGACAGATCAACCTCGAAAACTACCTCATACATTTTTGAAGAACTCATCTGCCACACCATTACTCAAGTTCTGAGGAAGGGTCACTGAATCCGAAACGTTAATTCTGATTTCTGTCCACAGATGCTGCCAGACCTGCTTAGCCGTTCTGGCAATTTCTGTTTTTGTTTCTGATTTCCAGCATCCACAGTTCTTTCAGTTTTTACACTATCAAATCTGGTTTACTCAGTCTACATGAAGCTTAGTGCCCCCATAATTACTGTATCACCCTTAATTACAAGCACCCTAAACTATAAGGCCCTAAACGAATAGACAACTCCCACCAATGGTTACTGCCTATTAGTGTTTCTTAGCTCAGCTCAAACCAATCCCACTCAATTCTTCCTGTCTTTTTCCCATGCTGTATTACCAGGGTTAACCCCCCTCCCCTTATCTTTTGCCCATCCCTTCTAACAGTTAGGTGTCAAGAAAATATTTCATTTCTAATATGAATATGAACAAAGATTGGAAAAATTATTGTTGTTCTACGTAACATTATTTCAATAAATTTCTTCTTTCATTTGAACACTGCAAATAAATTAAAATTAGCACAACTTACTTTTTGTTTTTTGCACTGTCAGCTTTTAAAGAGTTTTTTTTGAATTTCTTTTTGTCAGTTTTAGTTTGGTATGCTTAGAGGTCTAACAGCTTTATTATGTTTAAAGTGATAATTATACACTCTTGTGATTGTGGTAAAAATGTTCAAATGTGAAGTCATACAGCATGGAAACAGACGTTTCAGTCCAACGAGTCCATGCCGGCCTTAATCTCAAACTAAACTAGTCCCACCTGCCTACAATGGCCCTTATCCCTCCAAACATTTCTTATTCATGAACTTATCCAAATGACATTTAAATGGTGTAACTGTACCTGCATGCACCACCTCCTCTGAAAGTTCATTCCACACATGAACCACTCTGTGTGTAAAAAAATTGCCCCTCATATCTTTAAATTTTTCTCCTCTCACCTTAAAAATATACCCCCTTGACTTGAAATCCCCCAACCTGGGGAAAAGACACTTGCCATTCACCTTATCCGTACCTCTCATGATTTTATAAACCTCTATAAGGTCATCCTTCAACCTCCTATGATCCAGTGGGAAAGAAAAGTTCCAGCTTATCCAGCCTTACCCCATAACTCAAACCTGTTATTCCCAACAACATCCTGGGAAATCTCTTTTGAACCCTCTCCAGCTTAACAATATTCTTCCAATAACAGGGCAGCCAGAACTGGACACTATTCCAGAAGACGCCTCACCAACATATATAAATATAATGAATGCCTCTAACTAGAAGAAAACTTGCAGCTTAGCACTTACATGGCAGTATGTTTTTATATCTGTTTTTCCTCCGATTGTCTCCTGTTTGTCCAATTAAACATTCATCCAATGGTTTCAGATCTTGCAGATGCTGTTAAAACATACATGATAAATCTAGAAGAGCTGGCTCTAGTGCGAAAAATTATCATTTGCCTTGAGTTACAAATTATGATTAAAAAATCAAAAGCAAAGTACTGAAAATACTGGAAATGTGAAATAAAAACAGAAAAGATTGGAGATATTCTGCAGGCTAGGCAGCATCTGTGGAAATTGAAACTGGGTTAAAATTTCAGGGTGATGTCCTTTTATCAGAAGTGAAAAAGTTAGAAATACAAATTGTTTCAAATAACTGCAGAAGTTGGAGTTGGGGGTGGGAAGGGCATTGTGTCAGATATAAACAAAAGGAATGGTCTATGATAGGGTGGAAGACAGGGCAGATCAAAAGACAAAAAGGGTTATGGTGAATGGTAAAACAAGATGGTCATATGAAATAATTTCTCTCTTCTAAACGGGACTAGCTACTCTCTAGCTGATGCTGGGTCCAATGAAGTGACAGCCAGCTGGATACATCCCTTTTCATACAAAGAATCCAAGCTAATACATGAGTGAGGCATACTGTGCAGGGAGCACTGGCACAAACAAAGTTTAATCATATGAATGAGGAATGGGAATAGGCCACTCAACTCCTTAAGTCATGTCACCATTCAATAAGATCATGGCTGATCTAATTATTTCACGTCCCTGCCTTCCTCTGATAAAGTTTCAGGCTTTGCTTATCAAGAATCTATCCACTTCTGCCTTAAAACAATTAAAGCACTCTGCTCCCATTGCCTTTTAAGGAATAGTTCCAAAGACTTGTGACCCACTGAGAAAAATATTCTCATCTCAGTCTTAAATGGGTGACCCCTTTTAAACAGTGGTTTAGATTCTCCCACAAGTGGAAATATCCTTTCCACATCCATTCTGGGAATTCCCGTCAGGATATTAAATGTTTCAACCAAGTCACCTCCTACTCTTGTGCATCTGGAATGAAACTCTAAGTTTTGCAGGAATCCACACTAACCAAATATGTGCAAACTTACAAATGCACAGATTATTTACACATTAGTATCACAGTTCAGAGGACGGTCTATTTTGGGCTCAACAAAGTATACAGATCAACTCTACCACACAATAACAATGCAACAGAACACTAAGTTTTAATAACAGCTGCATTAAGTAACAGCCAAATGCATTTTTAATTTCGGAATTCTCAGTTTTGAATAAGAGTCAGACTGAACTTGAAACGTTAACTCTGTTTCTCCCTCTACAGTTGCTGCCATACCTTCTGGTTTTCTCCAGTATTCTCTGTTTGTTACACACTTAATTTTAGTACATACCTCAAACTCCTGTGATGGAATCTGCTGATCTAGCAGTCTATGCAATGTTTTAATGATCGCATCCAGTTTGGAGCCTGTGTACTGGCTTGCAAGGGGCACCTTTACAACAGATAGTGTGGCAAGCTTCTCTTTAGTTATTGGCCATTCATCTGCAACAGTTTAAAAAAAAACAGATAAACTCAAAATAGTCCAATAAGTCAATAAAATAAAATGCAGCATTATTAGTTTACCATGCAGACATAGAATGATTATTGTCAAACTGGAGCTTAAATCAAAACTTTATTCCCACAATTTTTAGTACCGGTCTTAAGGACTCGGCAGAAGAATTCGAGTTACAAAAATTTAAAGTTTTTGTGTTTAATAAAATTCAATGATACACATGGACATGTATTCAACAAATAACATGCTTATTTTGGCAGTTTATGCAGAGTTTGGAAATCTTGCCCAACTTCTCTACTACTCGTCTTCTTTGTGTTAGATATGTTTTTTGCAAGATGGCGGAGGTCGCAGGGCAGATGGTGTTTGGGCTCCTGCCCCATCTGCTCCCTCTCGCATGACTGACTGCATCCTTCTTTCTTGTTTTTTTTTAATTTTATTTTCCTTATTTAACTTCTGAATCAAATTCATCTTTTCTACTTTCTGCAGCTGTGGTGATGGAGGGGGGTTGCGGGGAGCTGTTGAGTGGCGGATCCAGTCCATTCCTTGTGGCCATGGTGGTTGCAGCTTGAGAAGTGTTCCAGCGTCAACAAACTGGGGTCCATTCTTTTCCTCTGATGTTTTAGTAACATCTGCAACAGGCAGGGTGAATGATCGCTTGGTCTTCAGGAGTTAACTTGGACGGTCAAATGCTTCTTGGAAGTTGAAGTGGGCCCCAGTCCTTGAGAGTTGGGACAGTCTCCAGGCTATGGTGGTGGCTGGAATATCAGTAGCAGATCTTTGGCAGAGGTGGTATTCTGGGTCTGGTCAGTGGCAGTGAGGGCTGCTTCAGCATGCTTCCTCCTTGGGTGTTGCAGCCTCAGGAACAGCTTTGGCAGCCGCAGTGTCCCATAGCCACTTAGGAAATCAAGAAGCCATGGAGGGAACAAAAAATGAAATTTATCCTAACTTTATATGATTTATTTCTTTTCATAATTTAGGCAATTGAAATGGCACAGGCTTATGGCGACTTTACACATTTTACTGCATTTTCTTAAATAAATCACTATTATTATTACTAGAGGCCCTAGCAATGACAATGCCTTTTTATGAGAAGTTAATCTAATAAATTCCACATGCTCGGTCTACTTCCTGTCAGAATAATGAAGAAATGCACCACCAGAGCAACAAGTTCTTGATCATTTGTAGTCTATTTGAGCTTGCTAATTATTTGTATAATGAACAGACTAAGCAAAATAATCTGACAGCTAAACCTATTCAGATAAGTTATTTTAGAACTGTTCAACAGAAAATTTATCTTCAACTTTTGTGAGAAGCTTGCATTAAAAATCCTACCCAAAGTCTTTTCACTAAAATTCACATTGGGTGTCACTTTATTACTAACTTGAATCCTATCTGTAAATGGTAGCAAAGCAGAAAATATTCTGACTGACTTAATCATGTGACCATCAATGACACAGCACCTCAATGCCAGTAAAGAGAAGCTTCCAGATTGCTGATGGTTCAGCAGGTTGGTTTAAACATTGGTACTGGCTATTGAGGGGGGAAGTTCAGCCCCAATCCCATCACTCTGAAAATAGCACCTTATGGATTTAACAGATATTTATGATTTATTTTAAGCCATGCATTCTATGTTGTGATTTGAGCAACAAATTTAGAAAACATGTACCATCCCTCGATATTAATTTATAGTCCTAACACAAATGATGAAAATTCTACATATTTGTAAAATGAATAATTCTAGTTTACCTATTGATGAAGCGTCATGTTGCAAAGTATCAACTGGAAGTTCCTCACTCCCCCTGGTAACCTCACCCTCCTCTGTATTCTCCATATGTGTCAGGCTGGGCATCCTATCATAATTGAACAATTATACTGCTGTTATTTAACATGGTAATGTCAGCACAAATCTGTCTTTAGCATGTGAAAAGATCATCAGATAATCACAGTACAGGGATAGGAATTGACGTAAAATTGCCAACAACCAATCTGAAGTTTTGAGCTATTCCGTGATGTCCTGTCAAGTTACCACGGTTGGATCAGAAATTACTTCCTATAATAGAACAGGTACTTTTCATATAAATAATGAGTTTTCATAACTCAACACTATGCTAGCTTTATTCGTGCAAAGATTACAATTGACTTAAAATATTTTTATATGGATTTAATTTATTTGTACTGATTCAGATAATAATTCTTTAAAAATAATGCTTTCAATTAAGCAAGTGTTAAGTTTATTGCAGATCAGGGCATACAAGTTGACTTTTGTAGCTTTGAAAATCCTTCCAAAGCTAGGATTTGATTCATACCCCAAGCACAAAATGTGAACTGCCAACATTAGTGACAGTTTCTTTTTATCGGTTACTATGCACAGTCTGCTCTATGTAGGCATGTCTTAAACTCTTGGGCATCTTCTGGGCAACATGGCATATATTGAATATTTGATTCCATGCACTGATTTGTAAGACAAGTATAACCCTAAACTTACCTCGGAGCTGAAAATTTAAGGTCAACTTCCAAAGCAATTACAGCCCTAAACTTACATTTATTAGCTGAAAAACAGAGATGTGGGGTTCAACCTGCATGCCAAGAATAGAACATGTACTTTGACATAACAATATTGGGTTATCTTCAATGCTGAAATGAAAACAGAAAGTGCTGGAGGAACTCAGCAGGTCTGGCAGCATCTGCGGAGAGAGAAACTGAGTTAACACTTTGAGCCCTGTATGACTCAGAACTCTCTCTTTTGTTCAGCATCAGAGAGGATAAGGGCATAGTGAATACACAACATTGGGTAGGATTAGAAAAAGGATGAGAAAAAGTTTCTTGTTAGAATGCTGAATGAGAATAAAATGGAACTGGGAATCAGGGCAGCTTTGAAATAGCGTGAGGCAATGCTGATGAACTTGCAGGTTGAGGGCATGCATTTGATGTCATATCACACTGAATGTAGATTACAGGATGCGGCAGGAACAGCAGTCTGCGAAGTGTTGTGTGTCTTGTAATCCTGGATTGGGTTCAAAACATGAAAGACAGAACTTCAGTTGAAATATGAGCAGAGCCGGATACAGTTACTGAGGAAGGAGAGGTGGCTATGAAAGTAACTTTTGGCAAACACTTTATCAAACACTAGGATGGAGATTGTAAGAGGGACTTGTTGAGTTTTTCCAACAATTTCTGATTTTGTTTCTGATTTACACCAACTGCAGTTCTTTTGGTTTGTACTTGCAAGTAGTAATTACACGTCTTACTTATCAACTATTGATCATGGTTTTCCTTGTTTGACAAGAATTGCAGAAAGCATAAAATGGTCCTATTGCCAAGTTTTTTTTAAAACAATATTTCAAAAGACAGTGTAACAGGTTATTTGCAACGTTATGGCTGTACTATTTTGAGCAGCTGGATATGGGTGCAGGACCCTGATCATTCAGTAAGCTAGCTATGTATTCTTCAAATCTATTGGGAGAGATTACCTTTCAGATGTTTTATTTTCAACAGAGAGCTCTTGAATTGCTTTCTCTATGCTGGTTGAAAAATGATAATCATTCTTTCTGAGTGGCTGTAGAGTTAATAAAAAAAAATTATTAACCAGTAACAATCAATGGAAAAAGAACTTTAAGAAAAGACAGTAATTCTATAAAGCATAAGACCTTGCATTTTCAATACCAAGAGAATATCTCAACAATCTATTGCAAAAGGATCTTTGCAAGTACAGTGGGTTTAATGTATTGTTTTACAGGGATAGAACTCAACTATTGCCTTCAATTTTAAAGGAGGGGATAAGAATGAAGTGTATGATCCCTGAAATGAAAGGACTATCAAGAGACAACAGAGGTCTGGCCTTTAAGATAAATTTTCTGGATGCTGGGATAGTAAATTAGACCAGTCTGAGCTCTTTTAATAACGATCAGCACCAAGGCAGAACTTCTGCTCTTTAGGCAAGAATTTCATTTCTGGAGCAAGAATTTCATTCTCAGGTAACAATTCCAACCAAAGAAATGCTGGTGGTGGGATCCACAGAGTGATGAGAGAGAATCTGGGCAGTTAAGTGTTGCCTCCAAAAGCCCTATCCAATCAACAATGGAAGATAGGCTTAGAAGACGAGAGGGCCAACACCAAAAGTATTTTTTAAATTAGCTTATTTGTTCACATGAAGTGGAGATTACTGACACGGCCAGAATTTATTGGCCATCCCTAACTGCTCTTCAGAAGGTGTTGGTAAACTTCTTAAGCTGTTGCAATCCACTTGGTGTAGCTATACCTGACCATTAGGAAGGGAATCCCAGGATTTCACTAGCAGTAGTGAAGGATCAGTGAAAGGAAAGTTCCAAGCCATGATGGTAGGCGGCTTGGCGGCGAACGTATAGGTAATGGTGTTCTATGTGGTAAAGGATGTGGAATTAGAAGGTATTGTCAAAGGAGTCTTTGAGGGTTGCTGCATTGCATCTTGTAGATGGTATACTCTACTGTCGCTCTGTGTTAGTGATGGAGGGAATGAATGCTTAAGCTGAATGGGATGCCAATCAAGCAGGCTGCTTTGATTTAGACAGTGTCAAGTCCCTACATGTTGTTAGACTTTAACACAGAGTCATAGTCATAGAGTCATACAGCAGGGAAACAGACCCTTCAGTCCAACCAGTCCATTCCAAACATAATCCCAAACTGAACTAGTCCCACCTGCCTGCTCCTGGCCCATATCCCACCAAACCTTTCTTATTAATGTACTTATCCAAACGTCTTTTAAATGTTGTGATTGTAACCACATGCACCACTTCCTCAGGAAGTTCATTCCACACGCGAATCACCCTCTGTGTAAAAAAAATTCCCCCTCACGAGTTTTTTAAATCTCTCTCCTCTCACCTTAAAAATGTGTCCCCCAGTCTCAAAATCCCCCATCCTAGCGAAAAGACAACTACCATAAACTCTTTCTAGATCCCTCATTATTTTATAAACTTCTATAAGGTCACCTCTCAACTTCCTACGCGCCAGTGAAAAATGTCCTAAGCCTTGCTTTATAACTCAAACTTTCCATACTCAATAAAATCCTGGTATATCTCTTCTGAACCCTCTCCAGCTTAATAATATCCTTCCTATAACTGGGTGACTAGAACTGGACACAGTATTCCAGAAGAGGCCTCAGCAATGTCCTGTACAACCTCAATATGACTTCCCAACTCCTATATTCAAAGGACTGAGCAATGAAGGCAAGCGTGCCAAATGCCTTTTTAACAACCCTGTGGCGCAAACTTCAAAGAATTATGTACCTGAACCCCTAGGTCTCTCTGTTCCACAACACCACCCAAGGTACCATTAATTGTATAAGCCCGGCCTTGTTTGTTGTAACAAAATGCAATACCTCACATTTATCTAGGCATAGGGAAAGCATTTCAAGACATTCCTGACTTGCGCCTTGTAGATGGTGGACAGGCTTTAGGGCATTGAGTGGCAAGTTCATCACCGCAGAATCTGTTCTTGTACCTCTAACAACCATCACCATCTTCTTTTTACCTCCAGTCAAGAGAGTTTTCCTCCCCCAGTTCCTATTGACTTTAGTTTTGCTAGGGGTCTTTGATGACATATTTGGTCAAATGCAACCTTGATGTCAAGGTCAAACACTCTCGTCTCCCCTCGAGTTTAGCTTTTCTATCCATGTTGGTTCAAAGCTCCAATGTGGTCAAATGAGTAGACCAGGTGAAACCGAAATGGAGAAGCAGTGAGCAGGTTAATGCCGAGTAGGCACTGCTTTTTGTATTGTCGGCAACGTCTTCAATCATATTGCTGATGATCAGAGTGACGATAGGCTGCTCATTGGTCAGACAGAATTTATCCTGCAGTTTGTGGATAGAACATAACTGGCAACTTCCCACATTGCTGGGTAGATGCCGATGTTGTAGCTTTACTGGAACAGCTACAAATCTTGCCACAAAGTCAAGCTGACACAGCAAATACAAACAACAGTCATAGCCCACCATGAATTTTGACACATCTGAATCAGCACACTTCATGCTGTTTCCCACATGTTAATCTGTATAAGAAAGGTCAATAATGAAGTAGCAAAGTATGACTTTCAAAATGACTTAGTAAATGATTCAATTAGCCTCATTAAAAAATAGTTATCATCCTAGATTTATCATCCTCTTTATTGCTTGTCTTCTAAACACAAGTAGCCAACTAATTACTTGTTCATCTCTCTAAAGCTCCCCTTTAAATCCTACAGTTTAGTGCCTACATTTACCCAAAGAACTGACAATGTTTTAGTGATAGAATCCCTAAATTGTGGAAGCAGGCCATTTGGCCCATCGAGTTCACACCAACCCTCCCAAGAGTATCCCACCAGACCCATGCCCTACCCTAACCCTTTAATCCTGCATTTCCAATGGCTAATCCATCTAGACTGCACATTCCTAGACACTATGGGGCAATTTAGCATGGCCAATCCACATAACCTGCATATCTCTGGACTTGGGAGGAAAAGGAGCATCCGAAGGAAACCCACGCAGACACAAGGAGAAAGTGCAAACTCCACACAGATAGTTGCCAGAGGCTAGAATCGCACCCAGATCCCTGGCGCTGTGAGGCAACAGTGCTGACCACTGACGCACCGTGCTGCCCCAAATCACTACATATCCTGATGACTGACCCTTGTGTGCTGAATTTGACCTTTAATCAGCATTGTCCCTATTGACTACTCCACTCTCCTCTGCTGTGATGCACCTGTTGGTTGTTCCAATGGTGCCAGAAAATATTTAGTGCTTACTGCCTTTTGCTCTTTTGATCAGTTCCCGGAGACATTTTATTAGACGTCAGGGCTGGACCATCTTTAACAGTGGAAAGAAGGTGCAGAAAAGGCCCCAGCAAAAATTTGCTTCTTCTAGATTCTTGGGGAAGGATATAACTCCCTCCTGGAACTTTTCAACAAAGAGTCTCTCATTGAATTTTATGTAGGCTGACTGTATCCCTGAGCATTGTAACGTCAACATTTCACTAGGGAGCCAAAGATCTCTCTGGATAAGTCTCACTGAAATGGGACAGAATATCTGGGCAAATGTTACACTCATTATCTCTAAGCAGATTTTCAAAGACCAGTATAAAATTTCTGGAACTCCCCTATACCCCAGTCAATTGTCTGAATAGTGCATCAAAAGGTGATTGATTGAAGTTTAATTAGTGAGAGTCATCACAGTTCACCTCAGCTCTATTTAAGACAGGGCCTGTTCAAAATAGTAAACTGCACACGGGTCAGGAAGGAGAGATCACATCCAAAAAGTGAGACACAGCCTGAGAATGTATACAGCTTGCAGAATCTGGAAGCAGTGCAGGAATTTGGTGCAGAGGGGAAGCTTTTTGCTTGCCTTTTTGGTTCATAGTTTGTGAAGTCTTTTCACAGGATTAATTGAATTCTTTGCGGAGGTAGCAAACAAATTAGACAAAGGAGAGCCAGTGGACATGACCTTTTTGGTTTTCCAGAGGTCTTTGACAGGTGCCACACAGGTGGTTGCAAAATAACAGCCAATTTGTTAGGGGCAAGGTACTGGTATGAATAGAGGATTGGTTGACTGACTGACTGAAGGCAGAGAGTGGGGTTAAAAGATTTTTTTTCAGGAATGGCAGCTGGTGACTAATGGAGTTTCACAGAGGTCAGCTTTGGGACCACACCTATTCACAATATACAAAGGAACTGAGGGCACTGTTGCTAAATTTGCAGATGATACAAAGATTGATGGAGGGACAGGTTGTGTTGAGGAAGTGGGGAGGCTGGAGAAGGATTTGGACAGCCAGGAGAGTGGGCAAAGAAGTGGCAGATGGGATACAATGTGACAAAGTGTGAGGTGATGCACTTTGGTACAAAGAATAAAGGTGTAGGTTATTTTCTAAATGGGGAAAGGCTTCAGAAATCTGAAGCACAAAGAGACTTAGGAGCCCCTAGTTCACGATTCTCATATCTAAGGAAGGATGTGCTGGCATTGGAAGGGAGTCCAGAGGAGATTTACAAGAATGATCCCAGTGATGAAGGGCTCGTCAATTGAGGAGCGGTGGCGGATTCTGGGTCTGTACTCAATGGGATTTTAAAATCTTATTGAAACTTGAAGAATACTAATAGGCCTGAATAGGGTGGATGTGGAAACGAGGTTTTCACTAATAGGAGAGACTAGGACCTGAGGGCACAGCCTCAGAGTGAAGGGACAACCCTTTTGAACTGAGATGAGGAGGCATTTTTTCAGCCAGAGGGTGGGTAACCTTCAGAACTCATTGCTGCAGAAGGCTGTGGAGGTCAAGCCATTTAATACAGAGATCGATAGGTTCTTGATTACTAAGGGGATCAAGAAGATTATGTCACAAAGGATCTATGGTGTGTTGCTAAGTTGGATACAAAACTGGCTTTGTCATAGAAAATAACAGTTAGTTGTGGAGGGGTGCTTTTCTGGCTGGAAGTCTGTGACCAGTAGTGCTCCGCAAGGATCAGTTCTGGGACCTCTGTTGTTTGTTATAAATGATTTTGAATGAAAATGTAGGTGATCTGATTAGTAGGTTGGCAGATGGCATGAAAATTGGTGGAGTTATACACAGTGAGGAAGGCTAACAAACAATGCAGCAGGATTTAGATTGGTTGGAATGTTGGGCGGAGAAATGGCAGATGGAGTTTAATTTGAACAAGTGTTGATGGCAATGTATTTTGGGAGGTCAAACGCAAGAGGAAAGCATACAGTAAATGGCAGGACCCTTATAAGCATTGATATACAGTGGGATCTTGGGGTGCAAATCCATAGCTTCCTGGAAGTGGCAACACGGTAGTAAGATGGTAAAGGCAGCATATGGTAAGCTCGCCTTCTTCGGTTGGGGTATTGAGTATAGAAGTAGCAAGTCACGTTGCAGCTGTAAGAAAACTTGAGTTAGGCCGCATTTAGCAACTATGTGCAGTTCATGTCACCACATTATGGGAAGGATTTGGAGGATTTGAAAAGGTGGAAAAGAGATGTAACAGGATGTTGCCTGGATTGGAGTATGTTAGCTATAAGGAGAGGTTGGACAAACTTGGATTGTTTTTGTTACAGCATCAGAGGCTGAGGGACGAACTGATACAATTATATAAAATTATGAGTGGCACAGATAGGGTGGATAGTTGGAATCTTTCTCCCAGGATGGAAATGTCAAATACTAGTGGGTATTGGTTTAAGGTGAGAAGGAAAAAGTTTAAAGGAGACGCGCGAGTTTTTTTTAAACAGAGGGTAGTCGGTGCTTGGAATGTGCTCTCAGGGGAGGTGGTAGAAGCAGAGACGATAGCAATGTTTAAGAGGCACTTAAATGACACATAAACAGGCAGGGAATAGTGGGTACGATTCTTGTGCAGACAAATGGGATTAGTTTAGAATGGCTCATGGTTGACACAGGACATGATAGGTTGTACTATGTTCTACACAGAACTGTGCACAATCTCAGAACATCCCAACGCACTAAACAGCTAACAAATTATTTATGAAATCTATTGCTGTCATGTGGGAACACTGTATTCCATTTTACACATAGTCCTAAAAACAATAAAATAAAGCACCATGATTATCAGTTTTTGCTTGTGTTCATTGAGGCACAAATGTAAGTCTGGGAGAAGTGCTTACTCTTTATTGAAAAGTTCTCTGGGATCTTTGATGCCCAGGTGAGACAGTAGTTGTGTGTTGGCTTCATTTATTATCTGAAAATGAAATGTCAAGCTAAATTGTGTATTCAAGTCCAGGATTGGCTCTTGAAGTGTCAATTTTTTGACTGTAGTGCTGAAGCAGCAGGTATAAGGAAGGCATATGGAATGTTGACATATATTGCTAAAGGAATTGAATATAAAAGTAGACAACAGTTGCTTCAACTCTACAAAGCATTAATGAGACCAGACCTGGAATATGTGTACAATTTTGATTCCTTCACTTGAGAAGGGATGCAGCTTTATTGGGGAAGTTCAGAGGAAGTTCACTAGATTGATTCCAAAGATGAGGGGCTTGTGTTATGAAGAGAGACTGAGAAGTTTAGGCCTAAATTCTCTGGAGTTTAGAAGAAGGAGAGGAGATCTAATTGAGGCATACAAAATGCTAAACAACATAGATGTAGAAAGGATGTTTCTTCATGTGGAGCAATCTAGAATGAGAGGTCATAGTTTTAGCATAAGTGCTAGCAGACTTTAAACAGAGATGAGGATAAATTACTTCTCTCAAAGGGTCATGAAACTGTGGAATTTACTGACCCAGAGTATGGTGGAGACATTGAATAAATTTTAGGAGGGTATAGACAGATTTTAATGAATAATTAAGGGTTATGGACAGCAGGCAGGAAAGTGGAGTTAAGGCCAAGATGAGATGAGTGCAGTACATGCTACCAATCGAATTTGTGCAAAATTTGTTCAAATTAGGATTGTTAATTACCTCAGGGGAGTCTTCAGGCAATGAAAAACCTTCATAATCTGTATCCTCAGATTTAGCAGACATTTCTTCTTCCTTCAGTTCACCTATATGTTTAGCAATACCAGGTGTTTTCACAAAATCTGTATCTTTCCCTGTCCAAAAAATAATAAAAAAAAAACAGCTTTTCCTTTAAAACAGTGATACAATGAAGCTTGAGACTCTGAATGCCCTTTCACTTCTGGAACCTGTTCAGATTAAATGGATTGATGTCACTTCTCTGTTAACTGCACTCCTACAGTTAACAGCCTTTGAGCAGCACACACCTATTATCAGAATAACTATTCTGCATTTATTTGAATATGAGATACCGGCTACTATCCCACTGAAAATTACTTTAATTTCTCGGAGTGTATTTTTTTTTGGAATGGCTACAAAAATACACTGAATGGTAAAGAACAAATTTTATTCTTTATCCAATTTATGATTTTTTAAAAAACACTGCAGCTAAAATATTTACAAACATACTTTACCTTTTTTTATATTAGCCCGATAAATGTGGGGCTCTTTATAGGTGTACATATTCTCACCTGGTTCATTACTTCTACTTTTAAAGTTTAAATGATTGTTACCAAGGCACTAAGTATATTCAAGCTTCTGACAAGTGTCCATTTAAAACAAAGCAAGTATTACATAATCAGTATTCTGGTAAACATATGTAATCGGTTACAACACAATAACATTTTAGAGTGTAGAAGAATCACCGGATTCTGATGGGAAACTGTTGCAGTTCAAAATATTTATGAACTTTCAATGCTTTGTTAAGCTAAGAGATTTCAGTGGATGACTGAAGAATCTTCTAGTTTCTCCATCACTCTCAGTAATTGAATAGTTCTCAGTTAAAAATAGGACAAACCAAGTGCAGAATGAAATCACACTTTCTCATCCTCACAAATATGCCTCAACCATAATCTTGCATGAGCTTTCTGTAATACATCAGTTCAAATTTTCTGTTTCCCACATCAGGTGATTTATGATCTGGACACTGACCCAGCAGGTTTATATATAATTTACAATAGAGAAACAGACTTCTGGCTAAACTGGACTGTGCCAATTTTTATACTCCAAATGAGCCTCTTGTTCTTCTATGTCACTGCATTTCTTTACACCCTGTCTCCCTTAGTTATGCACCAGAGTACTCCAAAAAGGGCATCTATCTCCCTGTGCTCATTACCTGAATGCTTAAGTCAACAATTTTGAATTTACAAGGCCCAATCTTTTCAGTCTTCAATTTTACCCCACTGCAGTCTGGTTAAATACATTGAGAATATAGCGGTAGCAAGTGTTAATTTTCCAGAATCAGTGGTCAGGATGTTGTCAACAGTATTCTGTTCCTGAAACATAGCCAGACCTGTGTGCCACTACTGTTTACCCTCTTTTTGCCATTTCCCATAAAATTTAACTAAAATTCCAACATGCAAAACACATGTGCTTAAGCAGAGGGGCAGCATTTTATGGGTGAAACTTGCTATTAGCTGACCATGACCAGTGGGTTATAAAACAGCCTCCTGGAGAAAAGAAAGATTCTGCTTCCTGGTCACAACATTGTTGCCAAAGGCCAATGGCTGTCTTCTACATTACCTGAATGTTTGTCCCTGTCTATAACTCCAAACCATCACCACTCCCTCTCCACCAACACAGGAGCATTGGACTTAACTGGACCAGGCTATTTGGCCCTTTGAGCCTAATCCAACTCTGGGACTTCCTTTTCTCTCAAAACTCAGTGTAGAATAATTCAAATGACCCAGTCTCCACTCTTCTTTGAGGAAAAGAATTCCACATACTAAGTTCTCTATCTTAAAAGGGAGCTATCTTATTTTTTGTGTCTACAATTCTAATCTCCCCACAGGAGATTAGAATTTCTCCTGGCATTCCCTACTATCAGGAACAGGCCTAAAATGTTTGAACATTCTACAAATGATAAATAAGCCCTTCATCTCAGGTGTGTGTCAACTGCATCTTCCCTGAAATGCTTCTAATTCAGTAAAACTTTGTTTTTCAAATAAGGAGAAAGATGTTACTGGGACTGGAGGATTTGAGGATCATGAGAGGTTGGATAGGCTGGGACTTTTTTCCCCTGGAGTGTCAGAGGCTGAGGGCTGACCTTATAGAGGTTTGTAAAATCATGAGGGGCACAGATAAGGTGTATAGCCAAGGTCTTTTCCTCAGGGTAGGGGAGTCCAAAACTAGAGGGCATAGTTTTAAGGTGAGAGGGGAAACATTTAAAAGGGATCCGAGGGGCAACATTTTCCACACAGAGGGTGGTGCACATGTGGAATGAACTGCCAAAGGAAGTGGTAGATGTGGGCACAGTTACAATTTTTAAAAGACATTTTGATAGGTATTATGCTTAGGAAAGATTTAGCCGGATATGGGGCAAACATGCACAAGTGGGACTAATTTACTTTGGGAAACCTGGTCAACATAGACCAGTTGTACCAAAGGGTCTATTTCCATACTGTATGACTTTATGTATACCTTTGAAGTATAGTCACTATTATAATGGACACATGGTATCACAAACAGCAAAGATATAAAGATGAAATGGATGATGGCAGTGGCACAAAACATGCAAAAATAATTTTTGCCACCCATCATGCAACATATCTAATACATCGGTGGAACCAAATACAGACATGGTGTAAAACAGGTAAGCAATGGGAAACCTCCTGTTTTGTGGGCTGCTCATGCTCAATTTCATTCATATTCTGTTTTCGCTGTTGATTGACGGATAAATGAATTTGCCATAGTCCCTGAGGATCGTAGGGCTGCTCTTTCATCACAGAAATACAAGATTGCGAAGGCAGGACCTTCATGGCAACCTCAGCCAGTTATGTTTCTGCTATAGTTTCCAACTTTGCCATTCCAAACAGCAAACTATAGTAGCAAATTTGAATCCACATGCAAAAGCACGAGTCTCCCAGGGTAAATATCGATCAGATTAAACAAATATTCATAATTAGTCCAGTAGTCTAGATTTATGATTCAGGAATTCAGCATTCCATGGCAATCCATTGAGAACTGATTTCAGATCAAAATATTAGGGCAGGCTGTAATCCAAATGAAATCCAAATTGAAGTGAATGGAGGAAACCATTCTGGACCTGAATCCTCTTTCAGTCCATTCTCATACAATTGGAATGCCAAGCAATTGCAAATGAATTGGTAACCAAAACAATGGCTGCAACATTACTTTCATTAACCACAAAAACAATGACATGGCACAATTTTAAGTTCAAAATCCTAAAGCATCACTTAGTGATCATTTTAATTCAAAGTAAACAGATTAGAACTGTGAGAAAAATAAATGACTGCCCCTCAACCGCAAGAGGTTACCCGGAGTGTCTTTTGGTGTTGAGCTTATTGGATTACAAAAAAACATTTATTGACTTCCTGTTGAACAACATCACTTAAAGACTTTGGAACTTCAGCTTCTTGCTGAGAGACATCTACAATAAGTATATGGTAGAAAAGAAAAGAGGTTTAGTCGAGATTGGGGTGAAATAATACTGCGGTATGCAGCTATTTTATTTTGGTTCTGCTGCCATTAAACCAAACTGTTCATATCACAGCTAAAACAGCTGCACACTTCGTGTAAACTATGTTATTCAGTGCTGCTATCTTCTTCACTTCTCTTCATCATTCTCACAGCACCTTTGCCGCATAGCCTGAGGTGTCTGTTTGATCCATTGTGCCAGGTTATAAAGGCAAGAGAAATATTTCTTTGTAGCTCACAAATTGGTGGTAACCACTAATTCATGAAATTCCAGATAAGAGGGAGTAGCATACATACTAAGTAAAAGGTAAAGTCACCACAGTCCTACCAGACTGCAGGGCTGCTTTCTCATTAGAGAGAGATGACTGGTGGTGGTTTAATGTGATCAGATCTCAGACAAGGGAAGAGTTTGAGAAGGAGAATCCTTCATATTAACCTCAGTCAGTGTGGGAATCGAACCCGTGCTGTTGGCATCACTTGCATCATGAACCAGTCATCCAACCAACTGAGCTAACCGACACTCCTCACACTGAGTTCATACTGAAACACAGGTTAGAAAAATGGGAATGTCTTTCTCTGCCATTATGTAATCTCAAAGTTGCTACAGATATGAGGGCTTTAAGATTGTTATGCTTTGGGAGTGTGCCTTCAAAATAAAATGAAGGAGGGGGTTCACTTGATTGTTCCTGTAGCCTGCCTCACAATGGATCTGGGAGATGTAGCTGTTAAACATGAAAGGAAAATCCAGACTGTTTGCTGGAAAGTTGTTGCAAGGAGTTCACGCTTGAATACAATGGCAACAACATCTGTATTTACAGTGGTCAGACTGCTAGTCTCCAAAGTTGTAGAAGGGTGCTGAAAATTGTAAACAGCTATTCTTTAAACAGCTAATTTCATTCGAAGATAATAGACAGTAGAGATTTCAAGGATAACTAATTAATGTTTCTAACTGGATTCAAAGGACCATGTGATTCATGTTGCAACGTAGATAGGATTAAGAAGAGAAGGATTTCTAAGATATCCCTGAAACTCTCAGACACAGGCAGTCGGTGAGGATCTTGGAGAGAGGGAGCAGTAAGTGGTTGAAACTCTCTATGGACCGCCATTAAAAAATGTAGGTGGGGGTTTGGGCTTGGAATGATAAAATCAAATCCATGGGATGTAAAATGAAGCTGGAAGATTAGCCGAGCTTGTGGATAAACCCTTGCAAAGGAAGACAGTTCAGGAGTTAATAGTAACCAAGTTGGGAAAGAAACAGTAGTAAACCTTGGGGAGCTATGAACAACTTTGGACTTGATCTAGGAAAACTGACTGATCAAAGGACAGTGTAAAGTACACTTGTCAAACTAGCTTGTCAGTTGTGTTAGAAGTAACAGGGAACGTTCTGTTCTATTGTTTAACGTATATGTTATCCAAAATAATGGACAGTCACATTGCTTTTAGTCTGGTGGTTGCAATTGGTCTTAAAATATGAAATCTTGTTACATAATTCTTTCATCTATCAACTGACAGTTTGATGTTTTTTAATGTTAACAGTTTCTAATTGTGTGTTCTGTTGTTTAACTGATTAGGCATTTATAGCATCTTGTTATATTTAGATAAATTGAAAGAAATAAATTACAATCGCTGACGTTCACTGTGGCACACAACACAAAAATCAGCCATTTGATTGGTTTGCTTATTGGATTCTTAAATATTAGATACATATTAGTCAATTGGTCCAATCAGTTAGCAGTCACTTACAACATGCTCTTGGAGATAATGCACAGATTAGATTTAAAGAATTGCATAAATTGAACTCAATAACATTCAGTTTTTTCATACCTGCACAATGCTGCACTTTGGAGAAAGAACCTATAGCTTCAGCATCCTTATTTGTATCTCTCATTTCGCTGGAGGATTTAGCTCTGGAGACAGTTAAATTCACTAATCCTTTGGCTTTGCGGATTGTTGTCACTGCTTTAGTGTGGGAGACTCCAACTACACATTTCCCATTTACCTATGATTTAAAATAGTAGATGATGATAGGTAAGTCACAAACAGTAAGATCTTTTGATCACTGCAAACCTTTTGCTATTTTATATGGTTACTATGTACAACAGAAGGAAACAAAGGGTGGAAAAATTGTGATGAAATAAGCACAATGGTATTATTAAAGGCTAATAGTTGGAATATGTTATCCCAGACTAAATGCATTGTAATTTTGCATATTTATTCTCCATCCTCGCTTTCTCCTTGCTAGCTGAATTGATTTCCATCTTTAAAAAATAATTTTGGTACAATTGTTTGGCCTTTATTGCAAGGGGATGACGTATAAAAGTACGGAAGTCCTGATACAGCTGCCCAGGTTATTGGGATGTGTACAATTCTGTCTAATTTTTTGAGATGATGTAAATCTTTTTAATTAACCAGTTCAGACATGTTATAATCCATGTCTGCAGCAGGTGGGACTTGAACCCAGGCCTTTGATTTATGGATGGGCATACTTGCATTGCAGGCAGTACAGTGAAGATTCAGTAGTTGATTCCTGGGGACATAAGTGGTTGTATTTGAGCAGGCTGAGATTATACTTATTGAAGTTTGGAAGAATGAGTTGACTTTATAAGATTTTGATAAGTCATGACACCGTAGATGTCAAGAGAATGTTTCACCTCTTGGGGAATACAGAACTAGGGAGCAAAGTTTCAAATTAAGGGATTTTCCGTTTAAGATGGAGATGAGGAGAAATTTCTTCTCTCTGAGGGTAATCATTCATTGGCATTCCCTAATTTCAAGAGCTGAGCAGCTGGGTCAGATAAGTTTCAGGACTATAGGGGAGTCAAGGCCAGCATTTATTTCCCACTCAGAAATGGCCTTGAGAAGGACATGGTGAATGGCCTTCTTGAACTGTTTCAGTTCTTGAGGTGCGAGGACACCCATACTACTGTCAGGAAGGGAGCTCCAGGATTTTGACCCAGCAACAGTGAAGTAGCGGCAAAATAGTTTCATGTCAGGATGATATGTGGCTTGGGAGGGGAACTTGCAGGTGGTAGTGTTCCCATCCATCTGCTGTCTTTGGCCTGCTATGGTAGTGACGTGGGTTTGCAAGGCACTGTCCAGTAGGCTTGGCTAGTTACTACAGTGCATCTTGAACATGGTATGGACTATTGCCACTATACACCACTGGTGAAAGAGATGAACTTTGAAGGTGGTGGACGGAGTGCTGATCATGCAGACTGCTTTGTTCTGGATAGTGTTGAATTTCTTAAGTATTAGTAGAACCGCACTTATTCAGATAAGTGAAGAGTATTCCATCAAACTCCTGGCTGTGCATTGTGGATGGTTGACATGCACCAGGGAGACAGGAGCTCATGACTGCACAATGTTTAGCATCATTTATGACTCCTCAGATACTGAAATAGTTCACGTCCATTCACCATGCAGCAAGACCTGGACAAAATGCAGGTTGAGTCTAATAAATGGCAAGTAACATTTGTAGCATACATCCCAGGCAATGGCCATCACCCTTCGGCATTTAATGAAATGACCAATGCTGAATCACCCACAAGCAGAATCCTGGGTTTACCACTAGGAACTGGACCAATCACATGAATACTAGTGGCTACAGCAACAGGGTCAAAGACTAGGAATCCTGCAACAAATAAGGTCAGATATGGGGATGCTTGCTAATGATCGATCAACGTTCAGCATCATTCTCAGATAACAAAGTTGTCGTGTCCAAAAGCAAGGGCTGGAGAATACGAGCTTGTGTTGACAAGTGACAAGGTTTGTGCCACACAAGTGTCGGGCAATGATCATTTGCACAAGAGAGGATCAAACTATTGTCTCCTGACAGCCAACAGCATCATCATCTCTAAATAACCCAGTGTGGCGGTTATCACTGACCAGAATCTGAATCAGACTAGCCATAGAAATAATATGGCCACCAGGTCAGAGGCAGAGCAGAGACTAGGAATACTAAGAGGCAGGGAGTAACTAACCACATGACTCTCTAAAGTCTGTCCACCATCTGAAAGGCACAAGCTAGGAGTGTGATGGAATTCTCCTGGTTTATCTGGATGAGTGCAGCTCCAACAAAAGAAGCTTGACACCATGCAGGACAAAGCAGCCTGCTTGAATAGCACTACATCAACAAACATTCGCTCTCAACCAACAAATACACAGTAGCAGCAGGGTGTAATGCTACAAGGTGTACAAAGTGCAGTAATTCATCAATAATCTATTGACAATTCCATCCAAGACCACAAATGTTATCATCCAGAAAGGCAAGAGCAGCAGAGGCAAGGCAAGATACCATCTGCAAATTCCCCTCCAACCCCCACATGACTTGGAAACATATTGGTATTCCTTCACTCTTATTGGGTCAAGATCAGGGAACTCCCTAACAGAAGTAGGTGTCACTACACTAAATGGATTGCAGTGGTTCAAGAAGGCTGCTCATCACACTTTCTCATGGTCAGTTAGGGATGGTAAACAATGCTGGCCTAGTCAGCAAAGCCCAAATTGCCTGAATGAATGAATGAATAAAAGACATTCAAGAACAAAGGTTTAAAAAGCAAAAAAAAGAGAAATATACTTTTCCGCAATATGAACAAGTGAATTGAACCAGGGTAGCGTGGGTAACAGGAGCATCTATCTCAATAACTTGCATGGAGAATAAGCCATGATTATCAATCTCAGAATTTGTACCTTATGCTTCTGTCAAGTATACTACTACAAGGAAGTAGCGTGACTTGACTCAGATCTCAATAATAAGTACATGACCTGAAAGTACAGCAACATTTGGGATGTTGTAGCAAATATAGTTTTGTTCAATTCAAGTATAGAGAAGAGAAAAAAAACTACATAATGAGGTGAAGATGGACCTTTCCTTGATTGAAAGAAAGTTGGCAATAGAACCATAAATCAGCAAAAGAAAATAACTGAACTAGAGGTGAACAGTATACTCCAGCCAAAGGAAACTCCATCAAAATCCAGATTCCATGGATAAGTAAACCAAATTTGATTAAACTTTACATTAAAACCAATTATTAAGCAGCCACCCAAGGAATTCACATATCCACTTTTTTAAAGATAGACTGTCACCAAGTAAAAACCACTGCATTTTAGTTAGCTCATCTTTCTGTTCCGCCAGTATCAGGAGCAACATCAAAACTCAATGTACATCCAACCAATGTGAATGGGTCCCATCAGCCTTCCTGTCGGAGAAAACTGGAGCACCCGGCAGAAACCCACACAGATACAGGAAGAACATGCAAACTCCACACAGACAGTTGCACGAGGCTGGAATCATGCTCATGTCCCTGGCGCTGTGAGGCAGCAGTGCTAACCCCCGTGCCACCCTTCATCTTATTTTAGGATAGTAAAAATAATAAAGGAAGGCGGAGTAGATAGTGAAGATCTATTTTCACATAAATAAAACTAAAAGCTTAGTTACATTTAAGGTATAAAATGTCACCAGGATTTAACGGCTTACTTTCAGGATCCTGAAGGTAGAAAACAGCAGAATGTCTGACTATAATTTTCCAAAATTCTGCAGACAGGAGTTTTGTACCAGAGAACTGGAGAGTAGCAAGTTTGAAAGTCCTCTTTTTCGAAAAAAAAACAATGAGCCAAACATTATAGCTAGATAGTCTTCATTCATTGTGAAGCTAATGTAGTGTCTAACATGAGAAATAAATACTTGCAGAAATATGTATAGCAATGCCCGATTGTCCCGATTTGCAATGAGGTGCCCAGTACCATACGCATTGTGGCCCATTAAATTTTTGTGCAAGTTCAACATTAGCTACTTGCTTTTATGTTCTATTGAATTCTTGGTTTTGTACCTAAGGTAATAAAATTTCGGAACAAGCAACTAATACTGATCTTGTAAAATCTATTTTGTTGCATTTGAAACATTACGTGCAGTTTAGGCATTCTCCAGAAGGGTAGACCTTAAAAACAACAGAAAAAGCTGCAGTTCAGATTCACCGAGATATTACCAGAGACTGGTGCATTAAATGGTTATGATTATGAAGACAGACTCCAGAAGTTGGGACTTCTTTTTGAAGCCAAAGATTAACAACTCAGTTGTTACACGTATACAAAATTATGGAAGATTACATTGTGATAAACAGTTAATTTGTTTTGTCTTGTTATTGACTCATGAACCAGTGGAAAAACTATTATTTAGCTAAATAATTTAAACAATTATGAGAATTGCAAAAATGGAAGTTATAAATTTAAAAGCTTTAGACAAAAGTTGTCAAAATGCTTAATTTTTTTACAAATAAGTTTTCCTGAAACAAAGTACATAGTTGATTTACAAAGAAACTGATGGATGCTTGAAATCGCAAAGTATTATACATAGAGAAAAGCAGGACAGTGCATTTGTCTTTGTGAAGAAAAACAGGCCAGATGGTGGCCATTATTTTTGCACTGTAATCCTTCATAATTCGATGCATGTAACTTGCCTGAAGTAATTGGTCACCAGCTTGCAGCCTTCCATCCACAGCAGCTGCACCACCAGGATGAACACTCTTTACAAAAGTACCACTTTCACCACCTATTAAGGAGAACCCTAATCTTCCTGTGATAGGCTTCTGTAGCTCAAAGTGCATCACATTATTCTACGGAGAGAGAGAAATAATGGCACTGAATTTCCCTATGCAACCATGACTGCAATTTAAAATAATTAACTGAATACGAAAACTTTACAACATCTCTGAGAAACATGACAAGATTCTACAAAATTGCAGCTCTTTCGTTTCCGTTTTTTGAGTTTTGATGTCCTCCCAACACTGGTGATGATGCAAATCAATTTCTCAGAGATCAGAGGTTGCAAGCACAAAAAGTGTCCAAAATTCTTATTTTGTCTTCGCTATATTTTAAGAAACATATATCATGCAATCTCATGTCAAAGTACTGTCCTTTGTTTCGACTGAGTATAATATTCACAAGGAACTAGATGGTCCACAGCAAATTATGTGTTTTAAAAAAGACTTTAATTTATTGTCAAAAGATATTTTGTTGGTCAAACATATGCAAATAATTTGGACTTCAAACTTAATTACTGCAGAAATGATTTCTCCCATTAATGTACATAGTGATAAAATATAATCTTACCTCTGGTACCTTTACAGAAGATGCTTGATCACATTCACTTTGTCCGTTTCCATACACATCTCCTGCAGACAGAAAGTGATACTTGGAAACTAAACTGATATGTATGATGCTTGCAACTATTTAAAACAAATTCAAATCACCAGTAAAATTGTATTTGATTAATTATAATCATCTGGGCAAATCTATTCTTTGGATTTAGCTTCTGTTGATCTGAAATTTGAGTCTGAATAAGAACTAGATAAAAAAAATACTGATAACCTCCTTGCCTTTGACTTAATCTTCAGAAACTCACCTTCATTCAAGACACCACTACTAGCATTTTCTCTTGTATCATGTTCAGCTCTGCTATTATCCTAGGGAATTTAAAATTCTTGTCTTAATGTAAATACTCCTCCATGTATCACAGAAGGTAGACAGTGAGGATAAAGGAACAAAAACAGAAGTTGCTAGAAAGCTCAGCAGGTCACACCTGGTGACAACTTACCCAAAACGTTAACTCTGATTTTTTTCTTCACAGATGCTGCCAGACCTGCTGAGCTTTTCCAGCAACTTCTGTTTCTGTTCCTGATTTACAGCATCCACAGTTCTTTTGATTTTTGAGGATAAAGGGGTCTTTTTCAAGATGGCAGCTGATGACCAATGGGGTTCTGCAGGGGTCGGTGTTGGTCACTTTATACATTAACAATCTAGACGAAGATACTGGGGGAATTATTGTTAAGTTTACAGATGATACAAAGATAGGTGGAGGGACAAGTAGTATTCAGAAAGCAGGAAGGTTACAGAAGGACTTGGGCAGGCTAGGAAAGTGGGCAAAGGTGTGGCAGAAGGAATACAATGTGGGAGATCAGACTCCTACTCTTCTGCTTCTATGTGCCTTCTCTGCCTCTACCACAATCTGCTTGACAACAAATCAGCACTTTCATCTCATACAGTATAAAATACTGTTCCCTTTATATTGGTAGTCTTGTGAATTTCCTGAGGAGTACAAAACGAAAATCTTTGTTTTGGGAGAGGTGATTGTGTGGATAATGTCACCAGACTATTAAATCAAAACCCCAGTTTAAAGTTCTGGGGACACGGGTCTGAATACTGCCATGATGGTGAAATTTGAATTCAATAAAATCTCCAATTCAAAGCTAATCTAGTTGCGGCCATGTATCTATTCTCGATTTTTGGGAAAAACCCATCTGGGTCACTAATTTCCTCAGGAACGTAGGGTCAGGAGTAGAATATCAGCCCTTCCAGCCTTGATCTTACAGAATGGCAGAGCAGGCTCGTCTGTGGCCTGACTCCATATGCCTGCCTTGGGCCCATATCCCTGGGTACCTTGCTAAATAAATTTAAATCTGAGATGAATTTTTAACAATTGAATTAGTATCAGCGGCCGTTTGAGGAAGAGAATTCCAAACCTTCACTACTCTTCGTGTGTAAAAATGTTTTCTAACATCTCCCCTGAATGGCTTGGTCCTAAAATCATCAACCAGTGTAAATAGTTTATCTTTATCTACCCTGTCTTTCCTTGTTAATATCCAGAAGATCACTACTTAACCTTTCAAATTCTAGGCGAATAAAGGTCTAATCTCAGCTCATAATGCAACCCCTGAAGCCCAGGTATCATCCTTGTAAATCTGCATTGAACTCCCTTGGCCACCCAAGTTGTTAGGATTGTTAAGAAGGCATTTGGTGTGTTGGCTTTCATTGGCAGGGGGATTGAGTTTAAGAGCCGCGAGGTTATGCTGCAGGTCTATAAAACCCTGGTTAGACCACACTTGGAATATTGAGTTCAGTTCTGGTCACCTCATTACAGGAAGGATGTGAAAGTTTTAGAGAAATTTTAGTTTTGGCTGCACACTCTATCCTGTCCTTCAGCATCCTTATATTACTCATATAGGGAAGGAAATTTGCCATTCTTATCTGGTCTGGCTTACTTGTGACCCCACATCCACAGCAATGTGGTTGACTCTTAATTGCCCTCATAGATGGCCTCAACAGCCAATCAGTTCAACGGCAACTAGGGATGGGCATTAAATGCAAACCTTGCCAGCACAAGCCCACATCACATTAAAAAAAAAACTAAGAAATCCTTGTAATGTATGTGGCAAGAGGAAATTTTTCTGAAAGTACTTGTCTTCCTGTACCTGTAAAGGACAAGCACTCACATATTTCTCTTTGTGCTTGCAATATCATGCAAGTCTTTGCTACCCAACTAAACATTATTCTCCAAGTATCCTGGTTTTACCAGCATTAACACGCATTGAATTGAATTGATAAATCACTCAAAATGCAACCCATAGCGTGAGTAAGAAGTTGTAATTTTGAGGGGGGGGGGGGTGGTGCCTGGTGTAGTGATATTCTGTGCTTTCACCTCCTGCACTCAGCCTCAACTTGATTAAAGGATAGCATATTTAAGTCAGAAGTTTGCAGTAAAGTGGAGGTGAGGATTATCAGATCAGCTATCATCGTATTGAACGTGGAGCAGACTCAATGGGCTGAATGGCCTACTTCCATTCCTATGTCTTACGGACACTGCAGAGCTGAAGCATATAATCTACATCAACAATTTAATGCAGTAATTCTTTATGCTATCTTTTTGGATGTTAAACCAATATCCTGTGTAAATGCATGAGTTGATGAAAAGGGGCTGAAAGCACTATTTGAAAAGAAGCAAGGGGTTTAGAGCATAGAACATAGAACAGTACAGGGCCTTCGGCCCACGATGTTGTGCCAAACTTTTACCCTAATCCTAAAGTCTATCTAATCTCCACCCCTACCTTATACTATCATCCATATGCCTGTCTAATAGCCGTGTAAATGCCCCTAATGAGGCCGACTCCACTACCCTGTCTGGCAATGCATTCCACACTCCTACCACTCTCTGAGTAAAGAACCTACCTCTGACGTCTCCCCTGTATCTACCTCCACTCACTTTAAAACTATGCCCCCTCGTAATAGCTACCTCCACCCTAGGAAAAAGTCTCTGGCTGTCTACTCTATCTATACCTCTGATCATTTTGTACACCTCTATCAAGTCACCTCTCATCCTTCATCATTCTAAAGAGAAAAGCCCTAGCTCTCTCAACGTTTCCTCGTAAGACCTTCCCTCCATTCCAGGCAACATCCCCGTAAATCTCCTCTGCACCTTTTCCAACGCTTCCACATCTTTCCTGTAATGAGGCGACCAGAACTGGACACAATACTCCAGATGTGGCCGAACTAGCTGGAGCATAACTTCACGGCCCTTGAACTCGATCCCACTATTAATGAAAGCTAACACACCATACGCCTTCTTAACAACTCTATCCACCTGGGTGGCAGCTTTCAGGGAACTGTGAACATGAACCCCAAGATCCCTCTGCTCCTCCACGCTGCCAAGAATCTTTCCGTTAAGCCTGTATTCTGCTTTCAAGATTGTCCTTCCAAAATGAATCACCTCACACTTTTCAGGGTTAAACTCCATCTGCCACTTCTCAGTCCAGCTCTGCATCCTATCAATGTCCCTTTGTAACCTAGAACAGCCCTCTGCACTGTCCACAATGCGACCCACCTTCGTATCATCCGCGAACTTACTAATCCACCCTTCCACTCCTTCATCCAAATCATTTACAAAAATCACAAATAGAAGAGGACCCAGAACAGATCCTTGTGGTACACCACTCGTAACAGAGCATCATGTTGAATATTTTCCGTCCACGACCACCCTTTGTCTTCTAAGGGTCAGCAAATTCTGAATCCAATCTGCCACGTTTTCCCCTATTCCATGACTCCTTACCTTCTGCAAGAACCTACCATGGGGAACCTTATCAAATGCCTTACTTAAAGCCATGTATAACACGTCCACTGCTCTACCTTCATCCACATGTTTGGTCACTTCTTCAAAGAATTCAATAAGGTTTGTGAGGCATGATCTACCCTTCACAAATCCATGCTGACTATCATGAATCAAACAATGCCTATCCAAGTGATCATAAATCCTATCTCTCAGAGCCCTTTCCAATAATTTGCCACCACTGACATAAGACTAACTGGCCTGTAATTTCCAGGGTTATCCTTATTCCCTTTTTTGAACAAGGGAATGACGTTTGCCTCTCTCCAATCTTCCGGCACTATACCCGTGGACAGTGAGGACGAAAAGATCATTGCCAAAGGCCCTATGATCTCTTCCCTTGATTCCCATAGAATCCTTGGATAAATCCCATCAGGCCCGGGGGACTTATCTATCTTCAACTTTCTCAAAATTCCTAGTACATCTTCCTTACGAACATCGACCTCCTCTAGCTGACCAGCCTGTTTCACACTGTCCTCTACTACAACTGGGTCCCTCTCAGTTGTGAATACCGAAGAAAAGTATTCATTAAGGACCTCTCCTATCTCTTTAGGCTCCGTGCACAAATTCCCTTTACAATCCTTGATTGGCCCTACCCTTTCTCTGGTCATTCTCTTATTCCTCACATACGTGTAAAAAGCCTTGGCGTTTTCCTTGATCCTATCTGCCAAGGTTTTCTCATGCCCCCTTATAGCTCTCCTAAGCTCTTTCTTCAGCTCCTTCCTGGTTAACCTGTATCCTTCTGCAGCCTTTTCCGTTCCTTGTTTCCTAAACCTTACATAAGCATCCTTCTTCGTCTTAACCAGACGTTCGACCTCTCTTGAGAACCAAGGCTCCCTCACTTGACTGCATCTTCCCTGCCTGCTAGGGACAAACATATCGAGCACACGCAGTATGCATTCCTTAAACAATCTCCACATTTCAATAGTGTTCTTCCCTGACAGCATCTGTTCCCAATTTATGTTACCCAGTTCTTGCCTAACAGAATTGTAATTACCCTTCCCCCAATTATAAACCTTATTGTGCGGTATGTACCTATCCTTTTCCATGACTATTGTAAAAGTAACAGAGTTATGATCGCTACTGCCAAAATGCTCTCCTACCAACAGGTCTAACACTTGGCCCAGTTCATTGCCAAGCACCAAATCCAAAGTAGCCTCTCCTCATGTTGGTCTATCTACATACTGTGTCAGGAATCCTTCCTGAATGAACTGGACAAAATCCGCTCCATGTAAACTATTACAACTAAAATGTTTCCAATCAATATTTGGAAAGTTGAAGTCACCCATGACTACAACCCTGTGACTTCTGCACCTTTCCAGTATCTGCCTCCCAATCCGCTCCTCTACTTCTCTGCAACAATTAGGCGGTGTGTAAAAAACCCCCAACAAAGTGACTGCTCCTTTCTTGTTCTGGACCTCAACCCAAACTGACTCAGTAGACATATCATTCTCGAACTGCCTTTCAGTAGCTGCTATACTAGCCCTAACTAGCAATGCCACTCCCCCGCCTCTTTTTCCACCCTCCCTATTTCTTTTAAAGCATCTAAATCCCGGAACTTCCAACAACCATTCCTGTCCTGGAGTTACCGAAGTTTCTGTAATGGCCACAACATCGTAGTTCCAAGTACCAACCCATGCTCTAAGTTTATCCGCCTTATTTCTGATACTTCTAGCATTGAAGTATACACACATCAAACCGTCTCGGTGTCCACAATTACGCTCCATTGACCGCATTTCTTTATAAACAACCTCACTCCCTGTTGTGCTCGTTGGAAGGCTGAATACCTCATCCTCTGAATTTCAAATCCAGTTCCTCACCCCCTGCCAATCTAGTTTAAACCATCCCGTATAGCTCGAGCAAACCTCCCTCCCAGGGTATTTGTGCCCTTCCGGTTCAGGTGCAACCCGTCCTTACTGTACAGGTCCCACCTTCCCCAGAATGTGCTCTAATTATCCACATAATGGAAGCCCTCCCTCCTACACCAGCCCTGTAGCCACGTGTTTAGCTGCACTCTCTCCCTATTTCTTACCTCGTTATCACGTGGCACTGTTAGTAATCCAGAGACAACTACCCTGTTTATCCTGGACTTCAGCTTCCAACCTAACTCCCTGTACTTGTTTTTCACACTCTCAGCCCTTTTTCTACCTATGTCATTGGTACCAATGTATACCATGACTGCTGGTTGCTCACCCTCCCCCTTAAGGATCTTGAAGACACGATCCGAGACATGATGGACCTTGGCACCCGGGAGGCAACATACCATCCGCTCATCTCGTTTGCGTCCACAGAACCGCCTGTCTGTACCTCTTACTATTGAATCCCCCACTACAATTGCTCTCCTATTCTCCCCCCTTCCCTTCTGTGCCACAGGGCCAGGCTCAGTGCCAGAGACCTGTCTGCTACGGCCTTCCCCTGGTAGATCGTCCCTCCCAACAGTATCCAAAATGGTATACTTATTATTGAGGGGAACAGCCACAGGGGATCCCTGCACTGTCTGCCTATTCCCTTTCCCTCTCCTGACAGTCACCCAGTTACCTTTTTTCTGTACCTTGGGTGTGACCACCTCCCTATAACTCCTCTCTATCACCCCCTCAGCCTCCCGAATGATCCGGAGTTCATCCAGCTCCAGCTCCAGTTCCCTAATGCGGTTTTGGCGGAGCTAGAGTTGGGTGCACTTCTCGCAGGTGAAGTCAAAGGGGACACCAGCAGTGACCCTTACCTCCCACATCCTGCAAGAGGAGCATGCAACTGCCCTAGCTTCCATTCCCTCTACTCTAGATTTTCAGAAGAATAAAAAAAAGTTCATCGGTTCTTCTGATGAACTGATCAAAATTCAGCTTGGAACCAACCCCACCAAAATTGTGTTACTGGCCTTGCATAACACTAATTATATGTTCAAAGATACATGCAATACATTACACGTATAGGTTTTAGGTGGGATACTATCCTCAGCAATGACATTAACCATCCAAGACACACACCCCATTCACCACCTTTAGACATTTGTTTTCTTCACTACTGGAACACCAGTGGTAGGAGTGAATGTTGTTCATAGAGTCATAGAGTCCTACAGCACGGAGACAGGCCCTTCGGCCCAAATGGGTCCATGCCAACCAAAATGTCCATCCACGCTAACCTCATTTCCCTGCACTTGGCCCATATCCATCTAAGTCTTTCCTGTCCATGTATTTCTCCAAATTCCTTTTAAATGTTGTTAATATACCTGCCTTAATCACTTCTGCAGGCAGCTCATTCATTTGCATACCACCTCTGTGTAAAAAAGTTGCCCCTCAGGTTCCCGTGTATTCTTTTCCCTCTTACTTAAACTGATGCCCTCTAGTCTTCGATTCCCCAACCCTGGGAAAAAGATTGAGTGCATTCATCTCATGATCGTACACACTTCTATAAGATTGCCCCTCAGTCTCCTAACTCTAAAGAGAAAAGACCCAGTTTGTCCAACCTCTGCCATAACTCAGCCCTTCAGTCCTGGCAACATCCTTGTAAATTTCTTTGGCACTGTTTCCGGTTTAAAAGCAGATTAAATGCAGAAACAAAGGTTCCTTCAACAACGTCTCCCAAAATGACGACTCTAGAAACCAGAAAGTTAAGGATAGCAGACACATGGGAACTGGCAATTTGCCCTCCAACCCATGCAATACCATGACTCAGAAATATATAGCTGTTCCTTCAGTGTCGCTGCGTCAAAGTCCTGCAACTTCCACCTAAATGGCATTGTGGTTGCACCTACAAATAGCCAGTAGCAGCTCAAGAAGGAGCTCACCACCACGTTCTCAAGGACAATAAACAGTAGCCTCAACATCAATACTAACAGCACACAAATGAATCTGAATTTCAAAGTAATATTACTCTTTACAAAAGTGTTGTTACCTTCCCATACTTGAAAAGTACCTTTCAGTGTGGCTTTATATTGACTAAGAGCAAATTTGAAATTTTAAAAATAAAAGATGCAAAGAAGTTTAAAGATATTTCATTCAAAACGTACCATTAACTTCAACAGATTCATTAAGCTTTATGCACTTGTCACTGCACTGAACAGAAGACTCGATTACTTTTGCAAATACAGGCTCTCCATCTCTGCAAAATTTAAAAAAAAAGCAACATCCTTAAAATTAAATGAAGCTAAGACTGGAGAAAATTATTCACAAAAGAAACATTCATCTTACTTCATGTATCATCACACTTACCTAAACTTTAATCTCACTTTTTGTTAGTGTTTAATAAAATTATATCTAACATGGCATAGCAGAAGTAGATTTACTACGTACTTGCCACAACAAATGTATAGTTCTGGGTGGTGGGACAGAGATGACGGGAGGAGCTGCGGGTGGGGAAATGAGCAATCACACAATCATTTTGGTCATTTCAGGAAAACATTCAACAGGTCATTTTTCACTCTGAGTTATTGTGCAAAAGAAATTTTGATTCAGCTGATAATGATGCATCTCTTCTGATTTTAAACTTTCTTTTGTAAAGACTTCTTTTTATTTTTGTGTTTTTCTTTTAAAAAGAAGCTGTAGACTGGAAAAACAGCTGCATTAAAACCAGTATTTAAAAGGGTGACAGTATGTTCTGAAAGCAAGAACCCTGACATCCATGTTGTGCATTGTGGAAGCAACTGGTTGGACAAAGAGTAATTGAAGCTTGAGTTGCAGATGATTTGGAGCCTACGGGTGTACAAATGCAGCTTTTACTGGCAATAGGAATATGATTGATCTATGTCCCAGTTATAGTCTAGCCTCCCAACCTGCCTTGCTACCTTTCAACTCATCTACCGTCACAACAGGTCCAAGGCAGACACCATCTCCCTGGCCCTACACTCATCCCTGGAACATCTGGATAACAAGGATACTTATGTCAGGCTCCTACTTATTGACTACAATTCCACCTTCAACGCCATAATTCCAACCAAACCAATCTGCAAACTCCAAGAATTAGGACTGTGTACCACCCTCTGCAACTGGACTCCTGACTTCCTGAACCACAGACCGCAATCAGTGATAATAGGCAATAACACCTCCTCCACGATAATCCATAACACTGGCGCCCTGCATAGCTGTGTACTCAGCCCTCTTCTATACTCCGCATATGCGTATGACTGTGTGGCTAAATTCCATCCCAACTGCATCTACAAGTTCACTGACAACACCACCAATGTAGGCCGGATCTCAAACAAAGATGAGACAGAATATAGGAAAGTGATAGAGTGCTTGGTGGCATGCTGTAAAGGACAATCTCTCCCTCAATGTTAGCAAAACAAAAGAGCTGGTCATGGGCTTCATGCAGCAAGGTGGAGGGCACGCCCCTATCTACATCAATGGTGCTGAGGTGGAGATAGTTAATAACAGTGTAGTAATGATCACCAACATCTGTCCTGGTCCACTGATGTTGATGCTACAGTCAAGAAAGCACAACAATGCATCTATTTCCTCAGAAGGCTAAGGAAATTCGGCATGCCCATAAAGACTCATACTAATTTTTATGGGTGAACCATAGAAAGCATCCTATCTGGATGCATCATGGCTTGGTATGGCAACTACTCTGCCCAGGATGGTAAAAACTACCGAAAGTTGTGAACTCAGCCCAGTTCATCATGTAATCCAACGTTCCATCCGCTGACTCTATACTTCTTGCTGCCTCAGTAAGTCAGCCATCATAATCAAAGACCCCTCCCGCCCCAGTTATAATCTCTTCCAACACCTTCTGTTGGGCAGAAGATACAAAAGCTTAAACACACATAACAACAGATTCAGGAACAGCTTCTTCCCTACTATTATTAGACTTCTGAATGGATGTCTCAAATTTTAAATTTGATGTTGATCTTGCTCTTTCTGCACCTTCACTGCAGTCGTAGCTTTGCATTCTTCAGTCTGTTCTATTACCCAAATTCACTTTGTATGGTATGATCTGACATATGACAATAATGAATCAAATCAAATCAAATAATTGACAGAGATCTTTTGCCTGCCAACAAGAATATGATTGTTTCCCAAGTAGCTGAAAAACTTGGGGCTGGGAACAAGTTGGAGAGATAGAAAGTAAGAAGTGTTCAACTCTTCCCCAGCTCACGAGTGGTCTGTCTATTCTTTGCGGTCAAAACTAACTTTAAATCTGAAGAAAACCAAGATTTATTGCAGGCAGTGATTTTTAACTGACATTTTATATGTGAACAGCTATCTTGTGTCTCTTAACCGGTGGATGCATCTGAAGAAAGACGAGTGAAGCAAAGTGCTGACCAACAGAAAAGTCGTAAGGATCAGCTCAAATACAGGGTACCTGGGAATTAAGACTTGAACTGTCTTTTCAGTTTCTCCTCTCTGTCAATGACTTATTTTTATCCTGTTTGTCTACGTATGTGTAAGGGGAAGTTTATAAAGGGGATGAGAGTTTTAATTAATACAACTGCATGCTGACAGTTTATAACTGGTTACCTGCAGCTGAAGTTTAATTACTTGTAGTAAAGAACAATTCTTGTTCAGTACCGAAACTTGGTTAATGCTTTCCATCAGCTTCAGCCTGAAAGTCAAGTAATAGGGAACTTTGCAAACTTTATGAAATCTTTGATTTTGGTGACAACTTCAGGAATTGCAGGCATCAATTTCTAGCCCCTCACCCCAGTGAATCAAAACAAATTGTAGTCTATCATTTGGAGGATAGAGACATGGGAATCACAGACAGGATGACATGGTGGCCCAGCAGTTAGCATTGCTGCCTCACAATGTCAGGGATCCAGGTTCAATTCCACCCTTGGGCAACCGTGTGAAGTTTGCGCATTCTCCCCGTGTCTATGATTCTATGGTTATGCGAGCACAGACACAAATAGTCTATTCTGTAAACCTCCTGGTCTGTAGGTATCGTGAGCTTTTGATAAAGGCAGCTGTGGCCTGCTGCAGGAGCAAAGGAGGAAGGTGACAGAGAGGAAAGGGAAAGAAGGCGGCAATGAGCAGATAAAATTTGTAGACTGATCTTAGGAGATCGAAAATAGAGAAACACTTTTGCTTCTTTTTTAGGTATAATTTGAATTACTCCCTTGACAACCAGATGTTTAACAATCACAATAGCACGGTAGAAAATGGGTGCAATAATAGACGTTACGGGAACTAATTGTTTTGTCCAATGTCATGCACTTTTTAAAAAATAGTTCAATAGAAATAAAGTAGTAATGTGCAATCATTCAAAAGAACTGCATACTACATGCTGCTAATTAGCAGAACTAAAGTAACACAAAAGAACTGTAGAACTATTGCTATATATTTTGCAATGCCATACTGTGCAACAAGAATACAAACCATACAATTTATACAGTATTTATGATACCTTGTGACTTTTAAAGTGACAATGGGGCCTGCATTTTGAAGAGTTCTCCTTGCCTCATTTGTTGTCATTCCATGTGTGCTAACACCATTAATATGATGGATAATATCCAATGGTTGCAGACTTCCTTCTTTATCAGCAGCTGAACCTGGGGTAATGCCACTTATGTAAACTGACTGGCATGCACTATCACTGCCTCCTGCCACAGATAAGCCTGTACAAAAGAGAAGCTTTATTTAGTTACAGTTTAACATTAGGAAATAAACTACTTAATCCATTTCAAATTGTAATAATCCACGTTCCACAGAACACATTTTCAACAGCGATTCATTTTTCCTGAAAACCAGAAAACATATGGTGAGTGACTGTTATCGTGCCAAAGTGGAAAATGTACAACTTTAAACTGTGCATCCCTAACTCTTTTCACTGCAATTGAAATAAAAAAAATACTCTATTGTACGCACAGTTCTTGGCATGTAATCTTTCAAACAAAGATCATGAAAACTAATTAAACTGTTTAACACCGTAAAATCCTGGATAATTTTTGGACTGGATCTTTGAATTAAATTCTGATCAATTTCAAAGCAGATACCATTAATAACTACATGCTAACGCAAACATAATTAAATATCTAAATTAAAATCTGCAGCCATTACATGGATTGAGCATATGAACCCAAACTATAGGATAAGTTGGTGTCAGGATCTCATTAAAAAGATACAGGCATGTAAGCCTTCTTCAATCGTGGTACACCTCTTACGTGGGAGCTGGCAGCAGGTAAATGGAAGAAATCCTGTGACTCTGATGTTACTGAACAGCAGCTAATGCCTTTTGAACAATAGGTACATTTGAAAGAAAAGCTTCTGGTAGAAGCACTAAAAGGGCACCCCTTAATTTTACCAATGTTCCAAGGTGCAGACATTGAACAGGAGGGGGTTCCTTCTGCCATAGGAACAGAAAATACTTCAGAAGCACATCCACTGCCAGCGGAATGAAATCACATAGGAGATGAATGTTAAATATTTAGCTCAAAGGACATGGGTGAAATATTACAAAAAAGTTCAATAACCTCATCAGAATGGTCAAGGATAAGAATATTGCTTTTATTCTTTGCTGACAGGTCCAACGTCTATACTAATACTACTTACGCTCTCCAATCTCCTTTATATTTCTGCAATTCACACATCATATTCCCACACACCATAACTACCTTCTCACATTTGCCAGTTGTTTAAATTCATTTGTTTTTAAAATTCCTGCCATCAGCACAAATAAAAGCAAAATACACACACATTTATATTTGCTGTGAAGTGAATGAAATTTGGAAGGTTGGACAGAAGCAAGATAACCAGAGGCAATAGTAAAAACAATGGTAATAAAGAATGTGAAAACGTTGGTGTGAGGGATTGGAGAGATTATTTGGATGAAACACTCTTATGAGGCACTGGCAATTGACACTGCACCTACTCTTCATGTTGTTCAGGTGGCAGAAGCGTTGTTTCACCATGAGGACAAAGTTAAGTAGCATGCATTACAGGATTTCAAATCTGGATACCCTCTGAGCACTGTACTGTAAAGCCTGCCCAAATGGCCAGACAGCAGCGAGTTCCTGCTGAGGTCACTGACTGCAGTGTCGAAGGAGCCTGGGCATAAAATATAAGGCTCCTGGTCACAGGGTATTCTGTCTGTGATTTGGTGCAAGGTTGGACTTAATCTTGTAGGAGGGGACACAGCTCGGCGATAAGTTTCTTTGGTAAAGTGGGGGTGACTTAGATGTCGCCCAAAATGATCAGCCAAAAATGTTCCTTAAAGACCTGTGATGGATTTAACCTCCTATGCAGTGTTCTTCTTCCCCCCTCACTCTTGACCCAGCTGCTCCTTCCTTTTCCTGCCTATCTTGCCACTTTCCCTCATTCCCCAACCCTAAACGCAGCCCTACTGAGCTGCCCATGCTTGTGGTACAGCTGATGTGAAAGTTGCAAAATAGCACAGTATCAGCAAAACCTACTTCTCACAGTCAGAATTAATTCAGGAATCTGGCTAAAACTTACAAGAGTTTAACCAGCAGCTGATATGGACAAAATGAATTGTAAATAATGAATGAACCCCTTAAAACAATACAGGTAAGGGGTCTTTTCTGCACACAAGGGCATGAGTCATTGAGTGAGATTAGCACATAATGAGGCACTTTTTGAGATAGTCTACATCACAGCGTAACAAATTGGCAAGTGTACTGGGTGTCTATGGAGGAGCCTGATCCTGAAAACACACTAGGAGACTTTCACCTGCCATGTTACATACTTAGGTGCCTGTTTAGCATCTAAAAGGGTGTTCAGTGTCATAAATTCCTCTAGGCTCTCATTATTCACCAACTTTGCAATATCCTCAAATTACTCTAATTGTGTCAGACACAGCTCAGTTGGTAGCACTCTTGCCTCCGTGTCACAGAGTTTCAGGTTTCACTCCAGGACCTGAGCACATGAATATCAATGTCAACACCTAGTGCCCTAAACTAGGAAACACTGTGGCACGAGTAGTGTTGTCTTTCAGAAGATAAACGAACACCCTGTCTGCCCTCTCATACGGACATAAATCAATATCTGAAGATGACTTTAAGACATAAAAGTAGAAATAGGCTATTCAGCCCATCAAGTCTGTTCCACCATTCAAAGAAATCATGGCTGATCTGATTATTCTCAGTTCCACCTTCCTGCCTTTCCCTATAATCCTGGCCATCTCAGCCTTGAATGTACTTAGCAATCCAGCCTTGACAGTCCTCTGTGGTAAAGAATTCCACAGATTTACTGTCCCCTGAGAAGAGGAGCAGGACAGTTTTGCGTGGTGCCCTGACCAATATTTATCTCCCCAACCCCAAAAAACACCCACAAAAACAGATTACCTGGTCATTATCACATTGTAGTCTGTGGGAGCTGGTTATACACAATGACTGCTCTGTTTCCTACACTCCTCCAGTGACTGGATTTCAAATGCACTTCATTGAGATGTCTCAAAGAATTTCCCAGACAAGTCATGAAGTGGAAATGAATTCAAATCTTTCTTTCTGAATTAAATTAACATACTGAGTTTATAGTTTCCCGATTCTGATTTACCAAACTTTTTGCATATAGACACCATATGGGCCTCTCTGCATTTAATGGGAAAAATCAAAGGCATGCCAAAACTCTTGCCTATTTTCTTGATTCTTAGCAATGTACCAAATAGAAACTGATGTTTTAATTTGTAATTTTTCCCAGGTTTATTTTTCTCCACTAAATTCACTTGTCTGATACAAAAGGCAACTAAAAAACTCTCAAAAATGTAAGCTTTAAACTTGGGAAGCAAACCTGATTTCACCAATTCATAAATACACACAAAAATATAGTTTTTGATTTGGTTCTAACATTAGTTCCAAGACAATTGTAACAGGAGACCCTGTAAGAAAGTTATAGTTCCTAGTCCCTCATTTTATCTAAATAAAACCATTTTAGTCACTTCATTGTGATCATTTTAACATTTAGTAAATTTTAAAAAATTGTTTAATCCACATTACTCATGCATAGACAGCCAGATTAGTAGTGCTAATCTAAATTACAAAAATCTTATGAGATGTTAACTGCACACATTCCCTATTATAGGCTTATTTCAAGTTATAAAGTATACTGAGACAGACAGAAAGGAGAAAAGTCCCAAAAACATGACAGTATTTCAAATTTTAAAAAAACAGTTACATTATACACTGTTCAAACCATTATTATAAACATAACAAGCTGAACTATTTCAAAAAGATTTACCTAGTTCTTGCTTGTGGCACATCATTGTGATATCTGGAAGTGAATGTGGCTTTATTGGAAACTCTGGTATTTCCAGAACCCGTCCAATTACTAGAGTAACTGTGTCTGGGATAGATCGAAGAAAATCCACTGCTTCTGCATGGCTCATACTGGTGATGTCAACACCATTCACCTATGATAAGCAGTGGCAAAAGAACTAAAGCTGTTATCACGTTAGACACATCTTCCAAATAAATGAGTCATCCAAATCTACACCCAGTTGCATGCTTACTGTATCTCTGCCTATGCCTGGACTTGTTTTGTCTAAAATGCTTTGCTCATATGAAGTCAACGTTGTGATCTGATTTTATTCAGCTGAGAATGAAGCAATGTATCTGATAATTATTACCCTGTAATTGCAGAGGTACTTTACATTATCAGTACATCAAAAAGATCTGTAAAAATTCTATTAATGTTGTTTATAAAATATATTGTTGCATTTTAAAAGGACCACCAGTACAGTTTTGCTTTAGCAAAACAGTTTAAGCTATACATCATTCCAGATAGGATTGCCAAGAATTAGGAAAGTTGTAATTTATATTTTGACCACATATAGAAATGATGCTATATGCAGGATGGAAGATTTGGAAATTGGGCGTTTCTTCTTTTTCATTCATTACTGAATTACTTAAAAACAAACAACACGGACGTGTGCCATAACATAGCAACACTAGTTCAGACACTATGCCGCAGATGACAGCATAGCTGGGACAAGATACAATAATTAAATAAATGTCTCAATAGTTTTCTAAAGAAAGCAATTGTAGAACCTGTTTAAATACATGTTTTAAGATTGAAACCTTGCAGCAGTCACTTAACATTTAGGTATTGAGACTCTATTTTTCCAGACGGTCATAAATAATTACAGGTTTCTGGGTTTGAGGTGCATGGGGCAGCAGGCAGATTTGCCTATGAATGTCCCCAAAAAGCTCAGTAACATTCAAGCATGGAAGTGACCAACGAGAGAAAAGGCACGGTTCTATGTGGATGAGACAGAATCTGAGAGGAGCTGCTCCTCTAATCACAGACTATTTATGCCAGCAAATACAGGAGGGAAACAGCTTGGGACTGGAAGAGCAGCGTGCAGTAGGAGCAGTATGTCAGGCTGAAGAGCCAAAAGCAGGCAGGGTGGACGGGGAGGCCCCACAAAATGTGAGGAGAAACACAGAAATTGCAAAGCAGAGAAAGAGAGTTGAGGGCCCTCTCTGAAGTGGGGAGAGAACAGTTTGGAACCTGTCAACAAACAAATACCCCCATAACTAGGAGCAAGGAATACTTGAAGTCACTGAAGTCAGGATTTCCTTGTAAATGAACATGGTGTTTCTAACCTAAGGCTGCAAAGGTTCAACAGCTACTGTGTTGGAGAAGTGGAGTTGATGCTATTACGATGAACACTGTATTGGAAAATTTAATAATGAAGCTTTGATTTGCATACATGTAGTATCACATCTCTTTTTTATTACATACTATATATTACTTAAAATGCAGTTACTGTGTTAGAGACAAACATGGCACCATTTTGCATATACTAACATTCCAAACAGGAATGAGGGACTTAGATTTTTATAGCTCTCTTTATGACTTTAGGACACATTCCAAAGTGCTTTTCATTCAGTTTCATTTCTGAGCTATTTCAACAGTAGCAGTAGATTAGCTTCTCACTTTTCTTTATACTTGTCAGTATTAAATTTCAGCTACTTGTTCTATCCAACCATATAGTTTCTCTCTCTCATTCTTTAATTCCCCAAGTTTCCTGCACTGATTCCATGTTCTTTCCCTTTGGCATTACCTGGAATTATTTTTGCTGATTTGCATTCAGTTTCTCATTCCAAATCAATTAACAACAGGCATGATCTTGTTACAGGGCCTCAGGTCCTCAAATTCAACGTGTTTCTACAATGAAATAACTTTTCTCAAGTCTTCCCTTTTCACTTCTTGCTAATTCCATGATTACAGTTTTGATTTCAACAAGCCTTCTCGAAGTCAAGGTTCATCAGGTCATACTTTGATGAAAGGACATGGACTTGCAATGTTTACTGTTTTTCTCCCTCCACAGGTGCTTCCTGACTTGCTGAATAGTTCCAGCACTATCTGTTTTTATTCCAGGTTTCCAGCATTCACAGTACTTTGTTTTTGACTTATTATTTTAATACAAGTTTAGAAGAGCTATGTTTGTTCTGATCAGGCTTACCATTATCAATCTGTCACCAGGTCTTAGCCTTCCGTCACTTTTTGCAGGGTCCTGAATAATGTCATGTATGTAGCTACCAAAGTTAGCATCCCCTTTTGTCACAGTGAATCCCAGACTCCCCTTTTCTGATTTCTTCAAAGTAACATGCAATTCCATTTCCTATTGCAAAGGGAATATTGATTACGTTAGATTACACAGCAGGTATTAACACAAAAAAATCTACCTGTGCATTACATGAAATCATTCTCACTAAGCTACCTCACATCAGTTTAACTTCTGTGGGGAAATATGTAGAGACAATTATTTGAGATAGAATAGTTACATGGCAAAAAGGTACATTGATTACAAAGATTTAGCATGGATTTCTAAAGGGGAAATTATGTTTGACTAACTTGAAGATTTTGAAGACGTAGCTAAAAGGTTTGAAGAAAGTAACACTGTTGGTATACATGGACTTTCAGAAGGCATTTGATATGGTGCCACTCAACAGACCTGTGAGGGAAGTTCTAGGCCATGGAATAAAAGGGGCAGTAGCAACATGGATACAAAATTGATTGAGTGATAGAAAACAGAAAACAATAGTAAATCAATACTTTTTCAGACAGGAGAAAGGTCTGTAGTTGAACACCCAGGAGTCATATTAGACACTTGCTTTCCTTGATATATGTTAATGACCTAAATCTTGGTGTGCAGGGGTAATTTAAAAGGTTGCAGATGACACAAAACTTGGAAGTACTGCAAACTGTGAGGAGGATAGTACAGAAATCCAGAAGGACATTCACAATTTGGTACAGCAGGCAGATGGGTGGCAGATGAATTTCAATGTCGGGAAGTATGAGGTGATGCATTGTGGTAGTAAGAACATTAAAACACCACATAAAATAGATGGTTCAATTCTAAAGTGGGGGTGGCAGTGGGTACAGGAGCAGAAGGACCTGGGTGCATACTTGCGTAGGGGAATAGAGTCCAAGAGCAAAGGCGTAATAAGACCCTTGTTAGACCTCAGTTGGAGTATTGTGTACCATTATAGGAAGATATGAACACATTGGAGAGAGTGGACAAGTGGCTTACAAGAATGATTCCAGGAATGAAGAACTTCGGTTACAAAGACAGATTGAAGAAGTTGGAACAATCCTCCAAGGAAAGGAGGTGGTCAACAGGAGATCTGATAGAGGTTTTCAAAATCATGATTGGGCTGGATACAGTAGGTAGGGAGAATGTATTCTGTTCATAAAAGGAACAAGAACGACATGACAGATTTAGAGTGGTCTGCAAAAGAAGCAAGAATGAAGTGAGGAAAAAAAACTCTCTCATTCAGTGAGTAATTAGGGTATGAAACGTACTGCTTGCAAGTGTGAAGAAGACAGCTTCAATTGAGGGATTCAAGACAGCATTAAATGATTATTGGGATAAAAATAAAGTGCAAGAGTGTGGGGCATGATACTGACTAATTAAATTTTAAAGTGCAAGGCATTTTCATTGTTTCTTCAAAGTCAGAAGTCACACGACATATAATACAACAGTTTTATTTAAAATCAAGATTTCGGAGCACTGCTCCATCATTACATCACTCCAAAAACTTGTAATTTTGAATAAACCTGTTGGACTATAACCTGGTCTATGTGACTTCTAACTTTGTCCACTCCAGTCCAACACCATCTCCACATCACTCGCTGTTCAATTAGCAAGATGGCAATTGATCAATTACAAATTAAATCCATTGCAGTCAGTATTGCAAAATGATTCTTCTGCCAAAAAGGTGCAGCATGTAACCTATCATTGATATTTACTGGCTGTAACTCAAAATCTTCCTCTTCAAGGCTCTTGCTGTCCTGATGCTGTGCTGGAATGGCTATCGTATCGGAGACTGAAGAATCCATTTCAGATGCTGAACTGCAACTAATGCAGTTCTCATCTACCGGAGTAGGAGAGGAAACCACAGATTGAAGTTTAAAGCCTTGCTGCTGTGCATGACCGAGAAGCACTGGTGAAGGTGGCTTTCTACAATACAAGTAGGATCATAATTAGCTTAAACTGGGGAAGCTTATACAAAAATATAAATCACAAATTACTTTCTTTCAAAAGATACATTCCTTTTATGTTAAGATGTGTTTTTTTTAATTACATAGATTATCAGCAGCTAGATTTCTTTATCAAAGATAGCGAGTCAGTAAAAATTCCTATTGGTAATCTGAATATCAAATCATTGTACTAAATTCAACCTTCTAATCACATAATGGAAACATTAACTCATCAAGTGTTTATATTGTCCGACGCCATATCCTCTTCTTCACCAAATAACCTGTTTCCTTTTGTTGCAATAAAATAGATGACAATTTTCCTCCAGTGGATAACAACATATAGAAAAATCGGAACCCAAAAATAAAATTAGCTCCAGTATTTTGTCTATTCCATATGCAGATTGTACCTGAATTACCTGCATCTATGTAAACATGAATGAAAATATCCCTCTTCCTTTTTTTATTACTTTCTACACAGTACAGAATAGAACTTATTGAGACAATATTGTTTTTGGTTCCGAGAAAAGGATCTTCCACTTCTATAACACTGTTGATCATATCCTGAAGTGTTCCAATTAAATATATTTGAAATGCTTTCGCTGCGGAAATGTAGAAAGGCATTAAAATGAAGACCTTACAACTGTAATTAGATAAACAGTGAGATACTCTGATTCAATGATATTGGTTGATTGGTAGAAGTTGGATAGGACAACAATAGAACCTTTTTTTTTTACAAAAATCAGCATGGGGTCTTACGTTCACCCAAGAGGACAGATGAAACCCTGATTAGTGATCTCATCTGAAATAATCTTAACTCAGAAGAGTTTTGCTTCAAACCCTGCTTGAAGACCTAGACATATAACATGGACTTAACTTTCAGTGGAGTAGAGGAAATGTTGCAAAGTAAAAGCTGCTAAATTTTACCTGAGATGTCAAAATGCAGACTAACGTTGTTGTTTATATAACAGCAATCCATTTGTAATTTGCTATGTTTAGTGAGAAAGAACAGCCTTGGAAAGAAAAGGAAAACTGCAAAGATTGCATTTTGGAAAGGGTAGGCTTGTTGCTGCTTTAAATGAATGGAGACTGGTGCAAAGCAACACTGTGCAAAATAAATAATGAACCAGGATGCTTGCAAACAAATCAAGGTCCTATACAATGTAGAGATTGGATGAAGGAGATGGTAAAAGAATCTTGCAAAAAATGAATGTTGCTAATCTCCTACAGTTATTTCAATAAAGGTGTGGCAGAATCTCAATAGAAATGCCCGAAAATATTTATGGCACTTCACAGAAGCTCTTTTTAAAGAAATTATGACAAGAGATTGGATAAAATTTCACATGATAACTGGACCACTTTCTGTTCATCAGGGCATTGGATTCAACCCAAAACAAATTAAATGAAAATTCAAGAAATTCAATTCATCAGTCTGTTAGTTGCAAAGGTATCAAGGTAATTAAGAAGATGTAGCTTCAATCCTTTAACTTGTGGTGCGTAGCAAAAGCTCAAAGAACAGGACACAAGTTACAACGCTAAATATGCAAGATTGGAAGTGTCAAACTCAAACTTTTGCAACAGTGTTCTTCTGAGTTTGGAGTTATGATATATTATGGCTAGTGAAGAGAACTCTGCATCTGGCCATGGAGATGGAAATGCATTAGCTATTTTTCCTTTGAGTAGCAAAGGAAAATAATCATCAAAATATGAACTGAATATAAAACAGAATACGATCACCAATAAAATTGGATCATGACCATCAACACTGGACTAATCATAAATAATTTATTATTTGCAACCTAATTTAAATGAGGTGAGTTTCCAAATGCATGTACACCATCAATATGACTGTCCAAACCAAGGTAGCATTGCTCAATGCAACATGTAGAAAAAAAATAATAGTTATCAAAAGCAGTAGTTATCAGCTGATCCACTTTTGTCATGTCTCTTGTTAGTTTCTGTTGACAAAATTCTTCTTGTCTTCAGCCTTTGTTCCCGTGTATTGAATCACTAAGAATCACCAATTATTAACCCTTGCGAACCAGTACCTTTGCATACTCAGAGGTATCCTGAACTCTAATTGGCTTATTAGTGCATGATCAGGTAGCATCTGTCTAATTCTTGATTTGCTTTTAAAGGTCGTCTTAGTGACATCACTTCCATCAATTGGAAGATTACCTCTTTTGTAGTAGCATAGTTATCATACCTTACCAACTCCATAGATCTTTATGAAGATGGTGGTATTAGTAGAACAATGTAGGCATCCACTTATACTAAGTAGTGTCCCATTGACTATCATCCCAAATCTCCCAAGTTGAAAGTTCCCTTAAACCAATCCATTATCCTTTGACTGAAAGAACCAGGTGTGACTCCAAAATATAGTTAATGCCAAAAACAAATTAAAACACAAAATAACCATAGAGAAGTATTATAAATAGGCCTATTGTACACTTGAAGTTAAAACATTAAACCAATTTGAAACACAGCTGTGTCTTTAAGTGAAAGCTTTTTTTAAAGCATTCTTGGTTTACATTAACTGGAGCCATAAAAGCAACCAAGTATCAAAAAAAAAACCTTGTATTTTGGCCTGGGCTTTCTTCCTTACAAAAAGTGTTTACAAATAATCATATTCAAATAAAATTGTTTACTTCCTCGCCTATTTAATCAAATTAAAATGATTAATTATTGAACATTCCTACAATGGGATTACCGTTGTTGAAATCCCCTGCCATTAGCAACTTGGGGTTTGGTGGGGTGGGGTTACCACTGACAGAACCCAAACAGGTCCAGCTATTTCAATATTGTAGCTACCAGAACAGGTCAGAGCTTGGGAATTCTGAGTTACATAACACATCACCTGACTTCCCAAAGCCTGTGCACCATCTACAAGACACAAGTCAGGACTGTGCTTGGATGAGTGCAACTCTAACAACACTCAACAAGCTCAACACTATCTTGAACAAAGCCTGCTTGATTGACACTGCCTCCACCACCTTTTAAATTTTGACACCTTCCAACACTGATGCACAGGGCAGCAGTGTGTGCAATATACAAGATACACTGCAGCAAGTTGCCAAAGTTTCTTCGACAGCACCTTTGAATCCAGCAGACCCTACCATTTAATAGGACAACGGAAGCTTGCACATGGGAATGCCATGAATAAGTACCCGCCAAGTCACATATCATCCTGAGTTGAAACAATATTGTCCCCCCTTCCCTGCTGCTGGGTCAAAAGCTTGGAACTCCCTAATAGCATAGTAGATGTACCAGATTGCCAGGGATGCTCATATTCCATGGGAAAGAAAAATTGAAACCCAGCTTTCTGAGCACCACCAATTTCAAATACTGCATTACTGGAGGCCATGCCATTAGCTATTAAGGCCCTAAGCTTTGGTATTGCCTGCTTAAAGCTCTCTGACCGCCAATAAGGCATCATAAAAGCAACTTGGTTTTGGTCATCTGCTGTAATAGCTCACAGGGATTAGTGTCAATTTTTCTTTGATAATGAAATGTGTTTGGGATTTTTATTACCTTAAATAAACACTAGTCGTTATTTCTGTCCTTGCAAGGATTATCAGTCATTATATCAAAGAAATAATAAACTCCTATTGCTTTTCTACCGACCATAGAAACTGATCATTTAATAAAAATGAAACAGAGAATGTTTGAAGGAGCATAAAACATCAACTTAATTTAATCTATTTACACCAACCTGTTAATTAGTTCCTGTTTCGAAGATTCTTGTGGAGAAAAGTAAATACTTTGGATGGTTTCTTCCTGGCGGGATGGCATTTCGTACTGGCTGCTGGTAAAAGAAATTGCATTCCCAAGTGTCTGACCAATGGTGATCATTTTTTTATAACTGACATCATCTTTCAACATAGGACACTTATCAACATCATCAGCATGTGAGTCATCTCTACAGCAATCCCTTGGAGGAGACTTCAATCTTGGATTTTGAAATTCCTTTTCAACTTCTACATCACCTTCATCCACAATACTGGTATTGGTCTTTCCAGAGATCAGCAAGTTGTCCAAGCCCTGTTTCTGCACTTTACTTCTGCAAGCCTCATTTGTCTGGGAATCATGTACACCCTGTAATAATGACAGATTGTCCTTTAATCAAATCATACAACTATTAAGGCATTTTCCAACTGCTGCAAAACCTGAAGCTTTGTTTTTAAGGGACTGTATTCTCTTAAATTATGCTGATGCATAATTATCATTTAAATGAAATTCTACTGCAGTTGAAAAGCAGAAAATTCCTTTCTTAAAATGCCAAATGTTTTATGGATACAACTGTAATGGAAACTGTTCAATAATATGCATTAAATCTTTAATTGTGAAATGTCTATCCTAAAGAACAATGATAAAGGGCTACAAATGAAGTAAAAGCAAATTACTGCGGATACTGGAAATCAGAAATTTAAACAAATTACGGTAATAGTCAAGAAGTCAGGCAGCATCTGTGGAATGAAAGGTTAATGTTTCAGGTCGAGATAAACTTTCAGACTAATGAAAAGTCATCTCAACATGAAACACTGATTCTGTTTCTCTCCACAGATGTTGCCTGTAGAGTAATTCAATTTCTTTTTTGTTGAAGAAGAAACAATTCTGACTGTATTATCTTTAGGAAGGAGGTAGTACAGTATCAATGACATTTGGGACAACCATAATGACCAATATATCTGGAAAGTTCAAATACAAACTTAATGACAGAGAAACAAACAACTGGGATACAAAAATGCATAAGGAATATAAGCACAGAATGTAAAAGCTAATTAAGACTTCAGAATTAGAATACAAATAAGGAAAATAAACTGGCTCAGATTGCAGAACCAGTACATGACTTCCCAAAATGAGAGTCCGCAGACCACCAACCTCTAGCTTCATAACACTGTTGTAGTGAGGCACTGCACTTTGATCAACACACACTGTACAGGAAAGGGAAAATTGGAAGAAGCATTGCGATTGAACCACTGTTGAATGTCTGCCAATGATCAGTTGGTGAGGTGTGGGAGAAATACATCCTCTAACATTTAGGGAGTAGATGGCATACCAAGTTCTTTAAAGGAAGGAAAGGGGTAAGAACTCCCTGATATTGACATATCCTGTGATGAGGAGAGGGTAAGAGGTTGGGTTGGGGATGGGGCTGAGGGGGTGTTTGGTGGCTGAAAAGCTTGGGGTTCAAAATTTTTAATAATTGGAAATGTTATCCCAATCCAATGCAGGAGTACCTGCTGCCATGCTCATGGTGGTAGATTACATGCCATACAAGCCTTAGAGTAATGGAACACTTCATTAACTCATAATTGTGGCACTCACAGTGCAACCAACAGCCTGATGATTTAAATTTTACAGTTATAGAGTCATACAGCATGGAAACAGACCCTTCGGTAAAACGCGTCCATGCCAACCAAGTTTCCCAAACGAAGCTAGTCCCACCTGCCTGCATTTGGCCCATATTCTGCAAAGCCTTTCCTATTCATGTACCTGTCCAAATGTCTTTTAAATGTTGTAAGTGCACCTGCATTTACCACTTGCTCTGGCAGTTCATTCCACGTACGAACCACTCTGTGTGAAAAAGCTGCCTCTCAGGTCCCTTTTAAATCTTTGTCCTCTCACCTTGAGAGTATGCCCCCTAGTTTTCAACTCCCCCACCCTAGGGAAAAGACCTTCACTATTTACCTTATTTATGCCCCTCATAATGGCCACCAGGTTTCAGAAAGTTCAGAAATCAAGGGGACAGGAGGGGCCTGCTAAAGTTGTTTTCCTTTCACAGACCAGAAGGAACTGAAGGAACCCCATTACACATTCAAGTAAAGCTCTGGCCTCCACTCTCCCAGTCATGGCCTCTATCTACCCATTTTCATAATGCTGACCTCCCCTCTTCATCCTCAATCACCATCTTCTTTCCATTCTCCCCACCTCCATTAGCTCCGATTTCTTGCTCTCTCTCTCAATCACTGTTCTCCCCCTTACTAAGTCCCAGTCACATGATCCCCACATCTCTCTCTCTCTCTCTCTCGATTGTCAAGTACTACTCCCACAAGTGGCTGTGCCCTTTAGCCTGGCATAATGTCAATTTGGGCAACTGTTGTGTGGAAAATGGAACAATTAAATGATAACTAGATCTTACTCTCAAATCTGACAGGATTTCTGTTCTTTGGCCTTGTTTGGCTTTGGCAACTCCTATTGATATTAGGATATTATAATATCACACTTTTTTCCATCCTACCATTTCTAAGGCAAACTGAACGCATGTCAATATTTAACACAGAAACAGCTGTTGGTTTGTCTGGAACTCTAATTTCTCACCAAAAAATCCGCACAAGTTAGAAACTATGCTTCAGATGATGCAAAGCTAGAGAAAAATAGAAAATACTGAAAACAGTCATCAGGTTCGGTATCTGTGAAGGAAGCAACAGCGTCAGAAACATCAGATCAGATGGGACATAAGCACAGAAAATCATAATAGAACAGGAAGTAGCGTGTGAGGAAATGTGGGCAATATAGCCGTGGGAGTGACAGGCTTCAATATTCTTTGTAGGCCTATCCCAAGAAATGGATACAAAGAAGTTGAGGAAAGGAAGTTGCATTTGAATTTGATCGATTGCTAAGGTAGAGTTCCAGTTTATTCCTGTTTCTTGTGATCTCCTGTTGTCTTGCATCCATATTTTTCTTTCTTACCAACTCTGACATGTTCTATTACATTACTTGTTCCTAATTTTTGACTGAAGGGATAAAAGTATACCTGGCAATTTTAATTTATCATTCCACGAAACTGATGAGACAAGCACCGCCTTGCAAGATACTCAGGCAAGCAAAGGGAAACCATTTACCAGCTTTGGGAAAAAAACAGAATCCAACTGTAAGTACACCCTAAATTCCACTATTACAACAAATGATAGATTAGAGGATCGCAAGACTGGTGCTTAACAGAAAAAAGAAAACAATGTCAGACAATGCATACAACTCCAGGTTCAGCACAAGGGCTTCCATATAAAATTCAGGACAACCATTATTCCTTATTAAACAGAATGAAATGCCTAAACAATAAATAAAGTACAAAACATTTCTGAAGTGCAGTTAAGCCTTTTGAAGAGCATTATGGTTAGCAGTGACTCAATGCTACAAAAACACTATTAATCATGCAGAAACATGTGCTGCTGTTCTAGACTTACTAAATTGGGTTTTATCATTAAACTAAAAGGATTAATTAAGTTTCCACTTTCTAAAAGATAGTTAAATGTAATAAATACTTATGGACTGTTTTTCCAGGCTCAGGTATCAGTTGCAGAATCAATATACAGTTAGTTTCTTATCCATTATACTGATCTCCAAAAGGAACCCTAATTTTAATATGTTTTACGACAGTTTTAGTGAAAATCTAAATTTACTTTACATTTAATTTGACATTTAAATATCAGGTGGATAATGCTTTAACATTGCTTTTCTCCAAATATTTCTCTCCAGGGAGGGGATTAAAAACCATTCAACAGAAAATGATATTTAATTCAATATGAAAGTTGGGATATATTTATAAAGAACAAAAGTTTAAAACTTGCACAGAAATGCAAGATTGGATTACATATCCTTCTGAACCCAGCTGGGTCTTTTTAAAAAAAAAACACGAATAGCTTCCATTAGCAAGATGACAATTGTTCTTTTTAAACTTGTTCACAGGAGATGTATGCCGCTGGCTAAGCCAGCATTCATTGCCAATCCTTTTTACCCTGCAAAAGGTGGTGGTTAGCGGTCTTCTTGAACTGCAGCATACGGGGCATCAGTTCACCCAAAGTGCTAATAGGAAGGGAATTCAAGGTTTATGACACAATGACAGTTAACGAATGGTGATATAGTTCTCAGTCCAGATGGTGTGGTCAGGAGGGGAATTTGAAAATGGTGGTAGTCCCATGCATTTGCTGCCCTCGTGACCTCGAAGCAGGAGTTTGAAAGTGCTGTTCAAGGAGCCTTGACAAGTTACTGCAGTGCCTTTTGTAAACAGTACACTCTGCTGCCATTGTGCATCAGTGTGAAGGGAGGTGTTAAAGGTGGTGGATGTGATGCCAGTTAAACAGCTTTGCTTTGTCCTGGATGGTGTTGAGCTTCTTGCGCATTGTTACTGCTGCAGTCATTTAGGCAAGTGCATCATATTCTATGACAGTCCTGAGTTATGCCTTGTAGATAGTAGGCAAACACTGGAGAGACAAAAGGCAAGTTACTCACTCAGAATTCTAAGACGTTAACTTGCTGTTGCAGTCACAGTATTTATGACGAGGAATGATTAGGTTTCTGGACAATAGTGAGGGTTTCAGTGGTGATGCAATTGAATGGCAAGGGGCAATGGTTCAATTTTCTCTTGTTGAAGATGGTTATTGCGTAGTACTTGTGGGACACAAATCTTACTCATCACTTATCAGCTCAAGCCTGTGCATATTTTCCAGGTCTTGTTACAGATGGACACTGACTGCTTCAATATCTCAGGAGTTGCAAACAGTGATGAACATTGTGCAATCACCAGTGAAACATCCCCACTTCTGACCTTTATGATGGATGGTAGGTCATTGAAGACGCAGCCGAAGATAGCTGAGCTTACACGCTACCCTGAGGAGCTTCTGCACAGATCTCCTGGATTGACCGCAAGCAACCACAACTATCTTTCTTTTGGTAGATTTGACTTTAAACAGTCAAGAGATCCCCTCACCTCTCCAATTACTTCAGTTTTGTTAGTTGCCTTGATGCCACACTTGGTCAAATGCTGCAATGATGTCAATGGCACTCATTCTCACCTTACATCTGTAGTTTAGCTTTATGTTTGAACCAAGGGAGTTGAAATATGAGATTAGGAGCCAAGAGACCCTGGTGGAAAGCAAACCGAGTATCAGTGAGCAAGTTATTCCTTTGCAAGTGGATGACCTCTTCTGTCACTTTGGTGATGATTGACAGTAGACTGATAGGCTGGTAATGAGTCTGGTTGGATTTGTCCTGCTTTTTGTAGATAGGATACATTGTTGTGTTGTTTCATGGTTAGAATATTAGTGTGCCTTTAGGAGACATGCTCACGATATCATCACTGTATCATAACATGTGACTTAAGACATAATGATCTCATACTCCACCCTATCTTGGATCGTGACATGTTATTGAACGTTTTCTGATCTGTGCAAATAGTTTAATGCAAGCCCTGAAACACGTGTGTCTGTGAATGTAATGTTTGCACATAATAACTAGCTGCAATGAATTTTTTGTTGGATTCAAATATACCTTGATATCCATGGTAACATCCAATTTCTTATATTACAGGAAATAACCCATTGGACACAAAATCACAATACATATTTGGGCAATTTTCCACATCGTCAGGTAGACGTTAGTGTTGTAACTGTATTAGAACAACTTGGCTAGGGGAGTGGCTAAGTCTGGAGCACGCGTTTTTAATACTACTTTCAGAATGTTGTCAAGGTGTACATTCTTTGCAGTATCCAGTGTCTTCAGCCATTTCTCGATTTCAGGTGAACTGCATTACCTTGGTTGAAGACTGGAGTCTATGATGCCAGGGCCCTCAGAATCTTTCAGAGACACTACTGGCTGAAGACGGATGCAAACGCTTCATCTTTGTCTTTTGCTTTGATGTACTAGGCTTCCTTATCATTTAAGATGGGGATATTTGTGGGCCCTCCCGCAGATTGTTTAATTGTCCACCAGCATATCCAATGTGTCCAGCAGGACTGCGGATCATAGAACAGTAGTCATGCTACTGAGCCACTTTTAGTGAGGGATACTGAAGTCCCTCACCTGGAGTATACTCTGCGCTCTTGAAACACTTGGAGCTTCCTGCGAGTGGTGTCCAACATGCAGGGGCACTGATTCGTATATGGAGGGGCTGAGGTTTCCTCGCCATGTTTGACTCGATCAATCAGACTATGGATCCAGAGTTAATGTTGAGGACTCTCAGAGCAATGCCTTCCAGTTGTATCCTAATGTGCCACCATCTCTGGTGATGCTGATGGTGGGCATCTGGGACATTGTCTGTAAGGCGTGATTCCATGAGTATGAATATATTCTAAGCTGCTCAACAATCTGTGAGACAGCTTCCTAGTTTGCTACAAGTTCCCACATATTTGCAAGGATGATTTTGCAGGATGAACCAGGCTGTGTTCAGCATTTCTGGTGCTTCAGTGTCATTCAATTTCATTCCTTTCTTTAGACTTTATAATGTTTTGAAACAACCTAGTTGGTAGCTTGCTAGGCCATTTCAGAGGGCATTTAAGAATCACATTGTTGTGTGTCTAGAGTTATATGTGATCCAGATCATGCAGATTTCCTTCCCAATAGGAACCACAAGGGTTTTAACAACAATTGCAAATGGTTACTTAGTCACCATTAGAATAACTGTTAATTCTGGATTTTTTACTGAATGCAAATTTAATAATATGTTACGATGAGATTCGAACCCATGTCTGCAGAACTTTGGATTGGGTCTCCGGATTACTCATTCAATGACGTTACCACCACACATCATCTACATTACCCTCAGCATGGCATTTCTGAATTGTGAACTTTGCATTACGATCTACTGTAATGTAATTTCCTAGTTTTCCAAAACAACTCACATTGTTGTAGGTACTCTCATATAGAAAAACACACCAAGGTATATCAAAACGATTTAATTGCACAAAAATAAATGCTAAACCAAATCAAGTATTAGGAAGGATGACTGAGTGTTTCAATCTAGATTTGGATATTAAAGAGGGTCTTAAAGGAGGTGGCAGAAGTTTAGTGAGGGAACTCAAGGATTAGGACCTAAACAGCTGAAAGCATGGACACCGACAGTGAAGCAAAGGGCTCGGGTACAAAAGAAATCAGGGATAAAGGATTGTAAAGTTTTCATGGCAGGAGTTGGCAGTTCGGAGGATACCGGATAAGAAGAGAAACCACAGAGCTATTGACATAAAATGCTTGGAAAATTAGCAAGGATGGGAGTAATGGATGAGCAGAATTGAATACTAAATGGGATATGGACAGCAGGATTTTGAATGAACAGTCCTGAAACCAACTGCAATGAATTTCTACTAATACAACTCACCACAGGGGAATCAATATCTGCTAACACACTAGATTTGGGTCTATAAAGTAACAGGGTGACCTCTTGTGATGTCCGCCTGAGAACAGACACTATTTCCTGCAAGAAGAGGAAAACATTAAAGTCAGAGTTATAACCGATGAGTTTTGAAGCAAATATGCCTAAATCAAAATGAGAAATATTAGTTCTTCTGCTATTCTACACACTATTGCCTCAAGAGCACTCTGAGAATCCAGATGGGAAAGGAAATTGTCAGTAACCCTCCATGCTTACACCCTCAAACTAGATTGGTTTTAAAATGTTACATTAAGATAGAATTTTTTTCCCCTCTGCTAGTAATTCTAAAGATTGGGAATTTAGCAAAACACATCACGTATGATACAATCTTAATGGTTTTACTAATCTTGGATCAAAAATACTAGTTCAAACATGACATGCACATTCAATCCTCAGTATAAAGCATTTACATTCCAGAACAACGAAGATACAGAAGCTTAAGGCCTGTTCTAACTTAGAAGAACAAAGTTAGCTGCATTTCTAAATATTATCTGAACCCAGTCATTATATTACAGTCATTCATTTCCTCTCATGAATCATTTTTTAAAAGAACAGAGAAAGCACACAGCTTGACTACAGTATCCAGCTGAAAACTGACTGAACAGAATAAAATAATTATGCTGGAGGAGCAACTCCAATAAGCTGTTGCATCTTATAGGGTTTTTTCCCCCAGATTATCATTTATATTTAAAGGGAAATTGTCAAAAAAAAGGTACTTTTAATATCTTCAAAAGGAAATACTGTTCAAATGAAAGTTCTAATTTATGTTTTCTAATTGAAGCGTATTCAATATGAGAAATGTCTAAAGATGCTTCACAGCTGGCCATAGAAAATGGAACTGGGTGCTGAAGCAGGAAGAATGAGATTACTGTGGTGACAAAGAGCCTGATGATAAGCTGGGCTTTTGAAAGGATACTTAAGAGAAGGTAGGGTTTTTTTGAAAGGGAACTCTAAAAATGAGATTCATGGATAAAATAAAATCATTAGACAAGGAGAAAAAGTCAGCATCAGAACAGTGGAATTTTTGAAAGGCCACAGTGGTATGGAGGAGCTTTTAGACATAAAATGGATCAACACAATGAAGAAACTTAAAATCAGCATACTGAGGGATGGGCAAATAAATATCTATTCATGAGAATGTAGATGAAAGAATTTACTACAGGACATGACATGAGTTAGAGTTTCAGATACTTTGACATTTAAAAAGGAATGGAATTGAAACAGTTGAGTCTTAAAGGGACAAAGACATGAAAAGATTCAGTGGTGGGAAGCTTGATATTTGACAAAATACTTAAGAGCACGGAAGCAGATGAGGGGTCATTAGTAGCCATGGAGAGGGCTGGGTGCAATAAACATTCACGTAGAAGCAGATCCTATGGCATTTTGACTTAGTCGCTAAGCATAGCGAAGCTTGGTTTTGCTTGATTTGGTTATATCAGAACTAATGATTGGTGACTGACCTGACATGACTCCCTGACATTCAGGTGTATATTAGGGTCTGGAACAGAGGAGTGACGGGGGTTGGGAAAGTGTCTAAATCGAAAATTGAAGTTATAGTTCTCAAGGATATGTTGAGCCTTATTGGAACAGTGTCGAAGATAGAGTGGTGAGCGGGACACAGAATTAAAGGGGCAAAGTGTTGAAAGCTCAGGGTCACACTCACAGACTGAATGGAGGTATTCAATAAAGTGGTCAGCCAAACTGCAACTGTTTTTGGAGATGTAGAAAACCATATCATGTGTAGAAAATACAGCATTCTAAACTGAAACTGGTGCAAATAAATAATTGTTTTGCTTGAAAGAAATGTGTGATCCTCTTGAGAGAGGAAAGGGAGCAGGTAAAGAGATATTTGTTGTGTCGTTTTCACTTGAATGTTAGGGTGTTGTTGGAAAAGGATTTGATGTTGGATGATGGAAGTGTAGAGCACTTTGGAATGGTAAGAGGAAAGAAGAGTGGTGGTATTCTGCATGTAGTCGAGGAAAATCCATTCAATATTGAGGTTAGTAGGGTGAGGATGAAGACAAGAAGAACCCCATATTGGTTCGGGGAGGGGTGTGGGCAATAGACGGGGAAAATGCTGGAAGATACAACCATGTTCATCCACCTTATTTGATGAAACAGGAAGCATTGGTGACAACAGATAGCATGAAGGTGGAGAATCCAAGCAAACAGGTTTAGTGCTTGCAGGAAACAGGATGGTAAGAAGTATAATCTAGGTTGACATGGGAGTCACTGGGTTTATAGCAGAAATTGGCTGCAGGCCCATCCTTATAACAGAGATAACAATGCAGAGTAATAGATAAGACAATTTGGAGACAGTCTATGTAAAGGAAAGGAACAATGGAAATTGGCAGTAAATATGACAACATTTTCCAGTTCAGGATAATTACATGAACCTGCACCAATACACTCAATGTGACAAAAAACTTGGAGTGACAGAGGGAACCAGAGTAAGGTGGACATGTACAATATTTTACAAAGGGCTGACATGGTGAGAATCCATGTGGAAAGTCACAGGACACTTACTGTTGGAGGGAATAAAAGGAGCCAAGGGATGAATTGTGCACTGTACCAAAATGTTCAGCTGGATACAGGAGGATGGTAGTGGATGGTGACTGGTTGAGCCTCCATTTAAAGAACAAGCGGAGTGCTCTTAAGCTGCATGGATGGGGAGCAGTTTTAGATGAAGAGAATGCCCATGATGCTAAGTAGGTAGCTAGGGCTAGGAAACTGTTTACGCAGCAGATGGTATGGGAAAGATTATGAATTTAAATCAGAAGAAACTGGACAAGAAAAGTTAAAAGACATAAGAATAAAAAAAACTCAGTTGGGAATAAAAATGAAACCTTGGGTTTATTGGGAAAGATCTAATTGTGGAGGGGAAGGAAACAGAAGTAGGCTATAAGCAACTGGTAGGACCTCAGGCTTAGTAGCATGAGGCGGGACAGGACAATCTCCAGATCAAATGAGGTCAGTCTGAGTAATAATATCTTAACATTTAAATTGTAATCCAGGGGCAGGTAGGTAGAAACTTTTAAAAGAAAGTTGGAATTCAGCCTCAATAAACTAAAGGCTTAAAAATAAAGATTTGTCATGCTTTATGATAATCCTGTGTGTAAGCAAAAAAACTAGGCTTCTTAATCCTTTAATAGCACCTTCCAACCCACAAACTTTACCACTTACAAGAATAAGGACAGCAGATACATGGGAACACTACAACCTGCAAGTTACTCTCCATGCCATACATCATCCTGACTTGGAAATATATTATTTCTGGGTTAAAACCGTGAAACACCCTTCCTGTCAGCACTGTTGGTGTACCTACATCCCAAAGACTTTAACTGTTCAAAACATAGCTCGCCAGCATCTTTTCAAAGGCAGTTATGGGTGGCTAAAAACTGTTGACCCAACCAGCAATGCACACAATGAATAAAAATGAAGCCCTATTACAACCACTAAACCCTAATGCAATAGGGTTATGAGTATTTTTTTTCAGTTATAGAATTAAATTGACAAGATTTGACTCTATTCACACGTCTTTCATTAACATGCGTATCCAGACCATTTCCAGGTCATCCACTTATAAATTAAACACCTCTGCAACTCTACTCAAAACACACCGATACAGTTTCACAGAAAATTATTTACGTGGTTCAAAAAAGTTGGATTATACAATAAACTATCTTATTTCCAGTGTAACATACCTGCTTTGACAGTCCTTTCAAAGGGAGGTCATTCACCTGCATTATAACATCTCCAACATTAATCTTCCCACACTCTACTGCTGGTTGCCCAGCAAAAAGTTTCTTTATTTTTACTGCATTTCCGTTATGTTCAGGAACAACGTCATTGCCTTCAGTAAAACTAAAACCCAATCCAGAGGAATTTTTTATTAACTTTACTTTAAATATGTTACCTGCAAAAGATGAAAAATATTTTCTATTTTAAATGGATTCAAAAGTTATTTTGCAGAGTAAATATGGATTCATAGCATTAAAGAATAGCGCACACAAAATGTCATTCAGTCTACCAGGTCTGATCCTGCTCTTTCAGACACAATCCCTTTAGTCCAACTCGTCTACTGTTTCCCCATATCACTGCAACTGTTTCATCTTCAGGAATTTATCCAAGATCAGTCTGAAGGCTACTTTTGTATCTTCACCCAAAGCTAAATGAGCAGTGCATTCCAAATTCTAAACCATCATTGTGTAAATGTTTTTCCTTCATATTGCCTCTAGGCCCCCGGCCAATCATCATAAACTTATATCTTTGTTTCCAGTTGCTGAAGAGTTGATAACTATCTCTCTTCATATACCTTAACTAAATATTTAATGATTTAAACAGTTATATCAAAACCTCTCTTAGTCATTTTTCTAACAATAACCCCAGCTTCTCCAACTTATAACCTCATCACTGAGAACCATTCAAGTAAATTTCTTCTTTACCTCCTCCAAAGCCGTCACATTCTTCGTAAAATATGACATCCAGAACGTAAACAATACCACAGCAGAGGCCACACTAGTGTTTTGTTTGAGTTTATCAAATTTCCTGGCTTTTGTACTCCATGTATGCTCATGTCTTCATTTTCTGTTTTGTTAACATGACCAGCCACATTCAAATTCAATTGTGCGTAGATACTCTCCAGTTCGCTCACACACTTTTAAAATTGTACCATTTAAATTGAATTGGCTCTCCTCATTCTTCCTTCCACTGTGTATCATCTTATATTAGTGTGTATTCAATTTCACCTCCAATTTTTCCACCCATTCCACCAGACTGTATCATTTCAAATGTTATCATATTATCACCCTCACTGTTTATCATATTTCCAAATTTCACACCATATGCAAAATTTGAAACTGAGTCCTGTATTCCCAAGTTCAACCCATTAATACATAGCATAGACAACATTAGTTCAAGTAGTAAAACACTGTTTATATTTTGGACTGAAGTGGAATTTCCTCAAAGTCATTCATTATAATTCTCTATTTTCTATCCTTTAGGCTATTTTGTTTCCTCACTGTGATTACCACTTTTACCCATTAGCTTCAACTTTGCTGACAAGGCTACCGTATGATGCTTGTCAAATGTCACTCGAAAATCCATATACACAACACTAATGTATGTGTATCTCCATTTTGAAATACACTTATAGGGGTGGCACTGACTTTTATTAAAAAATTCATTCCTGGGATGTGGGCATCACTAGTTACACAAGCATTTATTGCCCATCTCTAATTGGCCAGAGGGCAGTTTAGCATAAACTACATTGTTGTGGGTCTGGAGTCACATGTTGGCAGATTTCCTTTCCTAAGGGACATTGATAGGGCCACGTAGGCAAGCCTTGGTGGCTAGAGTAAAATCTCAAACAGCAGATATGGGGTAAACTCCGGTTCAGTCCTCAAGCCTGACCCAATGCTCTTAGGCGCCTGTCATTTTAATCCTGAACCAGCAGTGATAACTCTTGCTGCTCGTGGTAAACTACTTAATTCATCTGGTTGTCTCTCCAACCAGAGGGATATTGGTCTGCCATGTGCAAATCCTTAGCAGCCTAGGGAAATGACTTTTTAAATTGGGCCTTTATTTAAATCGGCACTCGTCCCTGGTCAGAAGGCAGTCAAGTTACTGTCATTGCTGCCCAGCAGAGAATCTCTCCAGCAGCGTGATTACATCAGGAACTGGTCCCACTGCAGCTCTTTGACATTGTACCACCCACCTGCCTCCCAACCCACTGTCTCTGTGCCAGTAAAATGCTGCCAATGTTTTAAGGTGGTGTGAACGGAAACATCGCTGATGAACACAAATGACAGAAAATAAGACAGTGTTATGATCAAGATGGGAAGGGTCCACTGTCACTCTAGTCCCCCTCTTCCATGCGTCAGGCCATGAAATCAAAACAGTTCTTCCAGTTACTGAGATAGTCAATAAAATACCTCATCTTTATCAGGTTTTAAATAAAATTATCCATCAGGTTTCTGAATAAATGAATTAAGTTAATTATCAAAACAAAATTTGCTAATGAAGGTGGAATAATTGGTTACCATATATCATTGGTAATATAGAAATAAAGACATTTATCTCTCTATATATCCTAATGCGTGCGCGCGCGCACACACACACACACACACACACACACACACACACACACACACACACCACTTTGGTGAATGGTTATTCTTGAAGGCAAGTGTAGGATGTTCTAAGATCTCTCTGACATTCTGAGATGTGACATCAAATATTGACAGTTATCTCTGGAGTCTCTGCAGACAGACTGTTCCGGGAATACAATATTCAGACATCCCTTCAATCATTTTTACCAGAATAGGTTTCACCCTGATCTCATAGAATCTCAGAATTCCTACAGTGCAGAAAGAGACCATTCAGCCCACCATTCTGCACTGACACTCCCGAAGAGCCGCGCACCTTGACCCACCCTCCCACCCTATCCTCTGTAACCTTGGATTTCCCATGGCCAATCCACCTAACCAGTACATCCTGAACACTATGGGACAATTCAGCATGGCCAATCCATCTAACCTGCACATCTTTGGACTGTGGGAAGAAACCAGAGCACCTGGCAGAAACTCACATAGACATGGATAGAATGTACAGACTCCACCCAAGGCCCAACAAGGTTTCCTTTTCAGAAATAGGAGAGATAGCTGGGGAGCTCTCTCTTGCAGGCTTCTTCTCCCCCCAGCTGATGTGATGAAGAGAACCTCACTAAGCCAGTCACTATTCGAACAGCCCCAGGAGGGTCTACAAAACAGCACTGGCATCTGTATTTGGCAGTAAAAAATACTGATATTACATGCTAAATATCCTATACGTCTTCGGTTTGTATTTTTCATTGTGATCGAATAATATGAACATCATGAGAAAATGAACTCATGGAACAGGGCAACTTCAAAAATAATTTTCTCTCTGGGATTGAGATGTGTGGAAAAACATTCTCTTAAAATGTCTGATACAATGGAAAAACATGCTTTCTTCCTTAATAGCATGTTTTCAAACTTAGTCTCAGTAAATATCACTTTATTGCACCAGCATGAAATTTTCCATTTCCAAGAGCCATATTCCAAGCTAGTTTTCTATTCCTAAGCCAAACATAGTGACCAAACTTGCATTCCATTTGAATCAACTGCAGTGCGCAACAGAGAAGGGCCAGAGACTATTCTTGTTGACTATGGTTTAACTGTCTTTAAACAAAAACTGAACAATTAGAGGTGCCTGCAAATGTTGCTTACAGCGTAGTTACGTCTCAACAATCTTAAACATCACAGCTCCTTACCATCATTGATGGGACAGCAGTCTTTGGCAGTTGAGGACATGAGTTCTGAGACTAGTTCTTGCTTGTCAGCTGATTCACACGATGTATTTTGATTGGTTGCACATGGAGGCGTGCACTGTGGAGTGACAGGAGCATGAACACTGGCTGCAGGGAGCTGCCCCTTCTCCACTAACAGATTGACAACCTGGAGAGGATGGATTTGTTAAATACATTTTGATTTAAAATTGAACTTCAATGCATTCAAATGTATGACAAGTGAATTTAACAATTCTGTTGGTTATAGGGCTTGCTTCTATCCTTTGCGCTTGTCACAATATACAGTAAGTACTGTCAATTGACTTCAAAGAGCTGGACGCATCATCTTCAATTTGACAGGCAAACTAAAAATAGGGTTTCTATAAAGTTGCAATATATTCTGCTACATTGGAATACAATGTTAAATGTTTGAAGAGGCAAGGAACTTTGTAGTCACCAAGTGAAAACTTTAAACAAAATGTCATAATTCGGGCTGCCTGAACAGTGGTTCAATTTAAAGCACAACACTTAATAATAATGAAGAAACAGAACAAAATATATTAATAACTACATCCATAGCGCTTGCAAGGCAAAACAGTTCCTAGGAGTGCTGTTAACGTATTTACAATACATGGATTGCAATAGTTCAAGAACTTTCTCAATGACAATTAGGGATGGGCAGCAAATGGAGGCATGGTCAACAACACCACATCCCATGAATAATTTTTTAAAACTCTTCCTGGTCAAATTGACATAATGTTTGTGCAGCAGAATTTTAAGAAAAATCTGAATCAACCAGTAATGTATATATTTTCTGAACTCTCTCCAATTTAATAATAACTTTCCTATAGCAGGGTGACCAGAACTGCACACAGTACTGCAGAAGAGGCCTCACCGATGTCCTGTACAACCTCAACATTCCAACTCCTATCCTCAAAGGTCTGAACAATGAAGGCAAGCATGCTAAACGCCTTCTTAATCACTCTGTCTACCTGTGACACAAATTTGAAAGAATTATGTACTTGAATTATCTACCCCTAAGTCTCTGTCCTTTTACAACACTACCCAGGGCCATATCATTAATTGTATAAGTCCTGCCTTTCTTTGTTTTACCAAAATACAATACCTTGCACTTATCCAAATTGAATTCATCTGCCACTCCTCAGCCCATTGACCCAATTGATCAAGATCTCCTTATAATCTTTGATAACCTTCTTCACTGTCCACCATCAAAATAAGGAGGTCAAATGATGTCCAATAAACAGGTTAATTTATTTTAATTACAGTTTAAATGATGTGTCTGAAATGGAGTTGTACATACTTGTCCCGTGCTTCTTAGAGTCTCCACAGCCTGCTTATGAGTTGCACCTTCCAGGCAGATTCCATTCACAGAAAGAACACGGTCACCTAAAAGTGAGTCAGAAAAGTTTAGAGAAAAACAGAATGAATAAAACTCCAGAACTTGGATCCCTTTCTGTCATATGGCAATGAGTGATTGCTGAACTTGTGCCAAAGCAAACAATTTTCCACTGCAAAGATAACACTGCTAAAATCACTACTCCAAAATTACTACAAGGCTGTTCTACGGCCAGAACACTAACAAAGTCTGCCTGAGCAAACAGGTTTAGGCTCGATCTCAAACGGACAGGTAATGGAATCAATTCCAAGAGAAGGGTGGGTTGCTAATGGAACAAGATCATGTCATTCGTAGCTGTTCCATCAGCAACTGGGAGGAATTGATTACCTTTACCTGGTAAAGGGATTGCAGATTTTCAGAAGGCTTCAACAGAACTCATGCTAATTTGCAACTGGCAAGGCATTAGAAACGCACAACAGGTGGAATTTCTGGGCTAGCTTGGGAATATTCCCACGCACAATATTTGATGTCATGGAAGAAAGGAGGGAAGATGCAGTATTCCATGCTATGCTAATACCGGAAAATGGCAGCAATAAAGAACAGAGGTGGAAGCCCAATGCAATCACATTCCACCCCAAATTCCAGAAGCAAGTCAGAGATGCACTCGCTCTTTTCACTGCATTGTGAATCAGAATTTCAGGGCCATCATCTCTATTAACGATGTCACATGGGATTTCATTGTGAATATTTGTAATGAACTTCGGATTTCAAAACGGAAGAAATTGTTGTCAAACCCATTGAACTTTGATGATCAGTTTTGGACAGGAGAGGAGTCCATATATTTGCATTTCACATATATGGAATAAGGTAAGAGAGATAAAAGGAACTATTATAAAAAAATAGCAAAGACATGATACAAGAAGAACTCACTGTTCTTCCTTAAAATAGCACTGCAAGATCTTCCAAGGGGGCAGATGGAGCCTGGGTTAACTGCCTGCATCACATACATAAGTGCAATACTCCCTCAGTGCTACAGTGAAACATCAACTTCAATTACTTGCTCAAGTCCCAGGAATAAAGAATGACTTGATGGCCTTCTGTCTTGGAGGTGAGAGTGAAATCACTGAGCAAAGATTTTTAGCTAAAATACCTATTCTACATATTTATAGCATTCAATAAGTTGTCCTACTTCAACACTGCAGATAGAACGTGGTCAGTATGTGCACCGAGCGCTGGGATTTCTCTTTCAGCATTGTTTTATGCCAAGCCAATACAGTGTCATGTTGTCCCATTGGTTCCACTTTGGAGTGGCCTCTCCTGTTCCCCTACCATCCCCCTTACCACCATCCTGCTTCCCAACTTCCTCATCACCTCTCTGTCCCATCCCTTCCACTTGCAGTTTCACTTGCTGCCCCACTCCCGAGCCCTTGTCACTGGAAAGCTTCAGGAGAGGTAATAGGCAGCTAGAGGAAGCATGGGGAGGGAGGTTGGGAGCAATCGCATCAGTAAGCTGAAGTGTTTTGGAGGTAGGAGTTAGTATGTTGCTCTTATATTTTTACATTTATTTTAAAACTCATTTTCTTTATAGATAAGATTTAAGGAATGTACAGCATTACAGGGTACTTACAGGATCAAATGCTTTCCTGATGAGAAAAGTCATGAAAAACATAACTTTTGCAGGTCATAATAGGAAAATCTGATTTACTTAACATTGACATTTTTATTACACTTTTCAGGAATACAACTATAATATTGCATGAGGAATTACTGAACTACTCCAGCAAGTATAAAACAGATTGTTAAATCATCAAAGAATTTATTTTAATCAAACGTGTATCTCTACAAATACCTTAAACAAGCCACAGAAAACAATACACAAATGATTGACACTCATGTTGCAGTTGAACAGGTCATTGGTGAGACCACTTTTAAAATACTGCGTACAATTCTGGTTGCCCTTCTATAGGAAGGATGTTGTTAAACTGGAGAGGGTACAGAAAAGATTTACAAGAATGTTGCCGGATTTGAGTAATGGGGGATGGGGGAGTCCAAAAATAGAGGGCATAGGTTTAAGGTGAGAGGGGAAAGATTTAAAAAGGACCCGAGGGGTAACTTTTTCATGCAGAGGGTGATGCGTGTATTGAATGAGCTGTCAGTGGAAGTGGTGAGGCAGGTACAATTACAACATTTAGAATATGGGCCAAATGCTAGGTCAGACTGGGATGTCTGGTCAGTGCAGACGAATTGGACCGAAGGTTCTGTTTCCGTGACCTCTGACTCTATAGATATTAATTGTGTGTGTAAGTGTACACTCTACAAATATGTAACTATTTCTATTTCTCCATGTAACACTGTCCGATTATCATTACAACGAGCGGAAACAATCTAATCTCTGAACTAAAAGATATTTCTGAAATTTGGTAGTTGGATAGTTTGAGTAGTTATTAAAAATTGCAGACCATTATTTTGTGAAAGAAAACACAAATTTTCTTAAACAGAAGGTTAACATTAGGTTACAATCTAGAAAAGCAATTTAAAATGAATTTATTCATTTACATAGTCTGATTACCATGTATGGACAACTTACCTTTCTTAATACGTCCATCAGCTTCAGCAGCTCCACCTGGTATAATGCCTTTTACATAAATCCCACCATGTCTCACACTTGTGTTAATACCACCCTAGACAAAAATACTGCAAATTCATATGATGGAAGATACCCACAGACAGTTGACTAACCTGTGAGAATATTGCAAAATCTTTTCTTTAATAAAGGCATGGTCTTATAGCGTGTTGATATCAAAAAGCAAAATTATGTGTAAAATTGCAAGAGAACATAGCTTAGTGCACTGGGCAGATAGGTGGCTCTCAGTTACTTCAGAAAATTGTGAATTTGTGCATCTTGGGAAAACAATAGCGGAGATAATGCCCACTAAATGCTAAAATCATTTAATCAAGGAAAAATCAGAGACTGATGTCAACAAAAAACAAAGATTTTGAAAGATGGGAGTGAAGATTAAATGTGCTATTCTGAAAGGAAATTATTCATTGAGTTTCTACATTGGGACACGGTCTACATGGGGGCACAAAATATGCAAACAAGGAATTCATGGATATTCAAGAAATATGTCAGGCCTTAATTGGAGTAATGTTACAGCTTAATCATCTCACCATTAGGTAGGATATAGAGTCACAGAAATCGTACACTTAAAAGACAACAAAATTATATTAGATATTATCGTTATGGCTGGTTTGTTGGTTTTGTTGGTGTTCCCACAGTATCAGAGAAACTTTAAGAAAGTATATAAATTCAGGCAATGTTTTGAAAGGTCCACTTACAATCACAATCTCATTCTATGGGCCAGTATATTTTCTGGCTGTTATTTTATAACAGGTGTATGGTAACCCAGAATCTTGGGGGAGTAGACCTCTCAAGTCTGCAACTGTTTCTGCCCGAGACCATTGGCAATATCACAGCATAGAGAGCATAACTGTGTTAAGGGTGTGACCAGGCAACAGTAAAACCCTTGTCACATCAAATGTTAGTCCTTCAAGACCTGTGCAGGTCGAGCACATCTTGGGTACCCCTGTCCATTCAGTGTCCAGACAATGGAAAATCAGCTGCTATAGGTTTCCAATTGATTTTAATAGTAAAGAATATCACAAATGTTTGTGAGATAGTAGGAACTGCCGATGCTAGAGAATCTGGAGAATTCCTTCTTCAGGAAGGGTCCAGACCCGAAACATCAGCTTTCCTGCTCCTCTGATGCTGCTTGGCCTGCTGAGTTTATCCAGCTCTACACCTTGTTATCACAAATGTTTGTGATGCTACTGTATTTGGTCCTGTTGTCCAGTCATTTCTGAAATTTATCATACCGAATCTAAATTTAAATACTTTAATATTAATATTTCATAAAGTAGAGAAACAGAATGTTGAAAACCTTGCCAAACAGTACCGTGACACTAATGCCCAAGCTGTTCTCTATTTTTGACAACTCCACTTCGAAAATATCTCCTGGCTTTAGCAAAGTGCTTTGTTTAGCATCAGGAAAACCTCTTCTTTTCACCTTATCTGCTGCAGAATCCTGTATGTGAATAAAGTTGAAATTAGTTTAAATAGCAATACTTAAAATACAACTAGATTTGATCTGTGTTTATGAACTATCCAGGGTACTGTTTCGGTTCAGGAATATTATTTCTCCAGTGTTTTGAAATGTGCAAGGGAGAGCTTAAAATAGAAATTCGGAGAGCATAAAAAAAAGGGGGCATGAAAGGATAGCTGTAGGCAAAATAAAGGAAATGACAAGTTATTTTTCAAGTACACTAACTATAAGGGGCATAGATACAGCAGACAGGAAGGAACTTTTCCCCTTGATGGAGGGATCAAAGTCTCGGGGCATAAATTTAAGGAAAGGTGCAAGACATTTAGTGGAGCTGTGAGAGTGGAGGGATTCTGGAACTTACTGCCTGTAAGGATGGTACAGGCAGAAATCCACACAACATTTGAGTAATATTTAGATGTGCACTCACGATGCCAAGACACACAATGCTATGGGCTAAATAAGATCAGAAACATAGGAAAGCTTTTGCTTCAGGATGCCTGATGGACCTAGTATTGAGAACCACTGGTAATAAACAAAAGATTTAATGAAAATTTTCACGGACATTATGGTTGGATTTTTTTGGTTATAAAGTCAAACAGGAATTCATTTTTTAAAAAAAAATTTGTTGCTACCACTAGAATGCACAGAAAATTTTGCAATATGCTGTTTGCTTACTGACACAGGGATAGTGGGGCAGGTGGGGACTGATGGGAAAAAGGCAAACTGGCCAAAGATGACAAAAATTACATTCACCTTTTTTGAACTTTGTTGCTCTTGACTGCTGGAATAAGTTGCTTCATCCATGTCAGAGTCACCTCGGTCCGAGCAATCTGTCTCTTTAGGTGTTTCAACATTAGTACTGCTTAACGGTCCTGTGCTGTCCAAAACATTCTGAATCATATCCTGCCTCATTTCCATTAGTGCAGACACTCCTTCGTAATCAGCACATTGTGGTGCTCTAGAGATAGTTCGATTTTTGTAGAAACCATGTACTTGGCTTTGTGAAAGCCCTGCACTTTCAGTTCTGGAGTCCTGGGAGCTTGTACTTACTCTTCGTTTTTGCTCAGGTGGAACAGAAGTTCTTACAGGATGAGTTCTATGATGATCAAATGATCCATTATGTTCTTCCGAAGATGACACTTCTTCATAATCCCGTCTTCCTAAATTACGGCAAGGGCTTCTAGACTTGTTCCTCATTCCTTTTTCCATTCAGAGGAGGTGCGTGAGAATAAAATAAAAACACACAGTTTGATACTGCAAACTATAAACCTCATGAGACCCCTTTCCCAATTAAAGTTCGATCGCCGTTACAAATTTAAAACATATAGAGTGCGGGCTCTTCTCTCATTACATCTTAAAGGGAGGCTTACCAAACCCATTTGATTGCGCAATGCAAACTTCTGCTATTTAAAATCAGCTGGACGTTTTGCAGCCAGCTATAATTAAATCTATTGAACACTTTGCTGTCCTACTTAAATACCAAAATACTCGAGCCCATCTTTTTTGTCTCTGTAATACTGTTAAAGTTTAGAGCTGGTCCTCATGTCTGAGGAGACGAGTTCACACATATCTGGAAAAACAGAAACGACCGAAAATACTCAGTAGGTCTGGTAGCATCTGTGCAAACTGCAACAGAGTCTGGTATGACTCTTCTTCAGAACTGAAATATAGATAGGTTGAGTGAATGAGTAAAAGCTTGGCAGACAGAGTTTAACAGAGCAAAAAGTGTGAGATTATACACCTTGGTAGGAAGTGTCAAAAGGCAGACTATTATTTAAATGGAGACAGACTCCAAAATAGTGCAGCACAAAATGGATCTAGGTTTTCTTTTGCATGCAGGAGTAGCAAGTAATTAAGAAGGCAAAATAATTTTTGGCCGTTATTGCTAGAGGTTTGAAGTTTAAAAATAGGGAAATCTTGCTACAATGGCACAGGATGTTGGTAAGACCACACCTGGAGGATTGCTATACAGTTTTGGTCCCCCAAATTTAAGAAAGGACAGATTGGCATTAAAGGCCGCTCAAGAGTGATTCACTAGGCTGTATTCCTGGGATGTAGGAGTTTACTGATAAAGAATAGTTAAACAGGTTAGGCCTTTATTCATTAGAGTTTAGAAGAATGAGGGGTCATCTGATTGAAACTTTACACAAGCCTTGGCGGGGAGGGGTGGGGGTGACAGTGCAGATGTTGAGAAGGTGTTTCCACTCGTTAGGAAATCTCAAACAAGTGGACATAGTTCAGAATAAGGGGACACTATTTTAAATTGGAAATACATAGAAATGGTTCTTGAGTAGATCTGCAGCTCAGGTTGTGGATGTTTTGGTTGGTTTGCTCGATGAGCTGGTTCGTTGTTCCACAGACGTTTCATTACCCTGCTGGGTAACATCATCAGTGCAGCCTCCGATGAAGCGCTGTTGTGTTTTCCCGCCTGGTATTTAAACTCTAGGGTCCGTTGGATTTGATGACCTCATTTCCGGTTTTCCTACACAGTGGTGTATATATAGGGTCTAGTTCGATGTGTTTGTTGATGGCCTTCTTGGTGGAGAACCAGGCCTCTAGGAATTCCCGTGCTTGTCTCTGTTTGGCCTGTCCTCGGATCCTGATATTGTCCCAATCGAAATGGTCGTTCTCCTTATCTATGTGAATGGAGACCAGTGAGTATTGGTCGTGTCTTTTTGTTGCTACTTGGTGTTCATGCACCCTTGTGGCCAATTTTCTTCTTGTCTGTCCAACGTAATGTTTGTTGCAGTCCTTGCATAGAATTTTGTGCACCAGTTTGATTGGGACAACACCAGGATCCTAGGACAGGCCAAACAGAGATGTACAAAATTCCATGCAAGGGCTGTGACAAACATTACATTGGACAGACAGGAAGATAATTGGCCACAAGGGTACATGAACACCGAGTAGCAACAAAAACACACGACCAACACTCACTCGTCTCCATTCACATGGATAAGGAGAACCACCAGTGCAATTGGGACAACACCAGAATCCTACGACAGGCCAAACAGAGACAAGCGCGGGAATTCCTAGAGGCCTGGTTCTCCACCAAGAAGGCCATCAACAAACACACAGAACTTGACCCTATATATACACACCACTGCGAAGGAAAACTGAAAACGAGGTTATCAGTTCCAACAGACCCCAAAGTTAAATACTAGGCAGGGGAACACAATAGCGCTTCTTTGGAGGCTGCATTGATGATGTTACCCAGCAGGGTAATGAAACATCTGTGAACTAATGCACCAGCTCGGTGAGAGAACCAACCACAGCACACAGAAATTTCTTCAATCAGAGCAGCAGATGTCTGGAATTCTCTATCCCAGAGAGGTGAACAGGCGAGGCTATTGAAGGTATTTAAGAAGTAATCAGATAGGTTTTTTTTGAAACCTTGAGGAGTTACGGGCTATGAGGAGTTAGCATAAACATGGAGTTGAGGCACGGCAAATCAGCCAACATCTAATAAAATTATGGTGCTGGTTTGAGGAGCTGAATGGCCTACTCTTGTTCCTATTGTTTATGTTCCTATCTTCTCCATAGCCAGCTTAATGGTATTCAGTGACAACTAGCATAATTTGGAAATGAAGTCTACTCATAATTGGTCTTTAATTAGAGTTGTTTTAGTCATATCTGCGTACTTGTTCTCAAATGGTGGACTCAGTGATATGGGCAAAGCTTGAATCATGTAAAACTTTAATATTTGGTAACGTATTAGCTCCCACTGCTTTAAAATGCTGACACTTGTATAAAATCTCTGCCTTAATGCCAGTGTAAGTTCTATCGTGAGGGGTCGATTCAAAAATATAGAAAATATAGGATTAATTGGGTAGCTGCCAAATCCAATTCAACTGCCAAAAGGCCAAATATATGAAGAATATGAACTACACTTGTACAATACTGCACAGCTCTTCCTGGTCATTGTTCATCATCAATCGTTCTTGTTCAAGGTTTTGAAGATGAGGAAACCCAAGGAAAGAAATTTAAAGTTTGTTAGGTTACCTTGCAGTATGGTACAATGAACACACGTAACAGCATATTCAGGTTTTAATAGTTAAGACTTGAGATTTTGAGTTTTGAAATGCAGATTTAGTACCTGAAGAAAAATCGGTTCCTCTATAAAGTTTCTCTTTCAACTGAGACACCACTAGGGTCACGTCTTCAGGGGCATTTTGTAAAATTTCAACTGCTCTGTCATGGGTAATGCCTTCTAAACTGATGCCATTTACAGATATCAGGCGATCACCTACAGACATGAAAACACAGAGGTTATTTAGCAAACAGCAATATTGCAAGCATTTTTGGTGCATCTTAAAAGGTGAGGCTGAAATAATTTTATATCTTGCAGCAAGCTAAAACTATATGGAATTTCACAACATTCGAATTCATAGAAATGCAACTGTGCTCACGTACAATTAGTTCAATCACTGAATTTAAGAACTCATTTTGAATAAAATATTGAATGGAAACTTTTTAAAAAAAATTAAAATGACCTAGTTAAGCTGATGTCCATTGTGTGGTATTAAAATAGTCAAAAAGGAAAGTATCTGCATTATAAAAATTGTCCACGCATCATGACTGTTAAAGATAAAGGAACTCAATTATTCCCAAATATGCTGTGTCTAAACATTGGTACAGACTTTAGAGGAAATGCCCACAAGCTTAAAAATTTTCATGTCTCCACATACCGTTAGAAGACAAAGCACCACGTGCACATGTTGGTCATTACTTGATGCAGAATCCATTAATTGGGCTGCAAAGTGACTGACAAGTAGGGGTATATTCTCTCTACCCCAGAAAAGAATTAAACAGCTACTTTGTAAAGGTATCATATCTAAATACTTGAAAGAGAACTAACTGCCTTCCCCACTTCCTTTCTAATCACGGTCACAATTTTATGCTGGACTCCCAACAGGTAACCACTGGATCTCTTCAGGGCCTTGGAGTGTGTTAAAACACATTGCACTCGAAGTCTCTGCCCTTATCTCCCCTACTATGGTACATGCGTGGGAACTTATGCCTCTTTCATGGCTTGCAGAGTCTCAGCCTATCTTCCTGATCATGTCTGCCAGGCTATGTAATAGAAGAGCTGAGGAATTTCAACTCCTCCTTTCCTAAGGATCATTTGCAATATAGATATACCTGGATTTAAACGTTGATCCAACTCTGCTGGCCCTCCTGGCATTATTGTAGTGACAAAAATTCCTAAGTCGAGTTTGCCAGTTTTTTCTCCACCAACAATTTGAAAACCTATTTTGAAAGAGCAATTAAATAATATTCATAGGATATTTTAATGACATTAATAAGATACTTTTAATTGGTCACCTTTTATCCCAGAGGACACAAAAAGAAACACATTGTGACACTGAGCATTTCATATTATGTGCTTTCTTATACTTTTGCTATTATTAGGTCATGCAAGGGGGAAAAACACTTTTTGACGGTTTCTAGTTTAGAATTCACCTAGTCAGAGGATGGTGACCTTTATTATTCAGAAAACAAATACATATTCCTTCTTGATCTTCACTGTAAAATTGTGTAGGCATTAGTCATATTAACTGCTGTTAGCACTCTTCATCTGTAGATAAATCAAACAAATGCACCGAACGAACATACCTAAGCCATGTTTTACAGCCTTCTTCAGTTTTATAAATCTAAGCTCTCTCTCAGGTGAAGGCAAGGCACTAAATTTCTGATGAAGAGTATCTTTCAAAGAAAAAATTCAGACTCCAAGTTAGTGCAATCAAAAATTATATAAATTAGAAACATTGATAAAAACAAATTTCAAAGAAGATTTAATCTACACATCAAAGATATTGTTTTCACCATGTTTATATTAACGAACAATTGAATTTGCCTTAGCATTCTGTTGATAATTACTATAATTTTCCATCCATTTCTAATTCTTTTATGATCTTATAACAGCACCCATTTAATAGAAACATGTACTATTTCAGAATTGCAGCTGCTTTCTGTGCAAAGCTGATTAGAATGGTGTAGTGACAAAACCTTTTAAAATATATTTCGGGCTGGCGATTGAGAAACTGGGCACTAAGGGGACTTAAACATTTTTGGTCAGAATTGAAATACTAGTTCACATAATAGTTGGACAGAATAATTAGAAGGTTTGCAGCTCCAATTATTCTGTTGAAACTGTTGCATATAAAAAGGAAGAATTAGAAGCTGGTTAAAATATCACTGCCAGGAACAGACACTAATGATTAGTGTGCAGTTGCATATTTGGTTTCTCCCATTTTTCTTTATTCTCCAAATGAACCATTTAGCTATCAGTAACTAAAGACATTTTGGTATGTTCTTTATAATGAATTTATTATTATTTTGTTTCAATATTTACTGATTATTAAACATCGTCTTTCTATCACACAATCATATCTTTCCTACAAAACATTTGTGTCACCTAATCATAAGCCGTTTGGATCC